TTATCTCTTCCTCTCTCTTCCTCTATCTTCCTGCTATTAATTTGTAACAGAACCTGATCTCTAAAACCCTAATATCACTTGCATGCGTATCATCTCTTTAAAGCCAGAAGGGCATTTACTCTGTGTCAAAGTTTATGAGTTAACACCCTTCTGGCTCCAAATAGAAGATATGAGCTCACAGCATATATTATATGCCAGGAGGAAACATATTTTTTTACTGACTTGAGTATCAAGATTTAGTTTAATGCTATATGTATTTCAGGTGCTATTAAATGGTTTAAAGCGAAATATGAAAGTTATTGCATCATGCATAAATCTTTCTGAATTTGTTTATGTTGTCTTTCTTGGGTTTCTCAAAGTGGTTTGATAAAGCACTTGGGTTTGATATTTCTAAATTAGCCAAACTTTACTTTATTAGAAGAATATTTCACTAAGTTTTCTTACTTCTTGTTAGCTTTAATATCCTGAATACTTTGAATAGATGTTTGATCATTTCCCAACAGAGTTATATGTATATGTAACACATACCGTCGCTGTTTTCACGAAGTGACGGTAGTGAGGAATATCGTAACGCAAAGTGAATGCAATTTTTTTTCACTACCGTCACTTCGTGAAAACAGCGACGGTATGTATGATTAATGATACATGTATATCTCTTTAATACACAAATAAAGGAATATCAGAGATATAGCTTGTGGCAATATGACTTCTCATACATTAATATGCCTAAAATTTCCTATATCCTGATTATCATTCTCCCTTTGATTTTCTTAAAGATATGAAATGAGATTTGCTATTAGATTTATCAGTGTTCTTGCAATTAACCATTTTTGACATTCCCTTTGAAATGCACTTCTCTAATTGGATCTTTCTTACGGTTCGCAGGATATAGGAAGAGAGGAAATATACTTGTATCAGATAACTAGTTGAGTCATATCTTTGTGAATTTCATATCAAGATTTGAATGTGAAGGGAGTAATGAGTTAGAGGAGATAGGGGTAGCCAGGATGGAAAGAGGGAGTGGGTGGGGGAAGAGGGTTTGGGGTTGAGCTAGAGAGAGAGAGAGAGAGAGAGAGAGAGAGAGAGAGAGAGAGGGGGGAGGAGTGAGGGGGAGGGGTGGATAAAGAGGGGTAAGGGTACACACATTAGAGAGGGGTATTGCTCGAAGATAGGTAGAGGTGGCGGGAGGGGGTATAAGGGTGGGGCTGAGAGAGAGTGTAGACGTTGAGAAAGAGAGGATAAAGGGTGTAACCAAGATAGGGATGAAGAGGGGTGTATGTCTGCAAAGAGGGGGGGGGGGTAATGATAGATGGAGAGATCATGTAGGGTGGAATGAAGGCATACAACATGGATGGAAGGGGTACAGGAGTAGAGAGAGAGAGAGGGAATAGATGAAGAGAAGCCAGTACCAGTTGAGAGGGGTGTCTGGGGGAGAGAGAGAGTTGGAGATAATGGATGAAAAGAGGTGAGCAAAGGTCGGGAAGGGTGTCATGGAGAGGGAGAGAGAGAGGGGGAGAGGGGGGGGGGGGAGAAACATTCAAGATACATCTACCTGACACATCTCATGAAAAAAAATGCTGGGCTTCCTTTTTAAGTACTTCTCCTATTTCCATACCTTTTCCTGTGGATAATTTTTACCAGGGTAATACGATGGTATCTCCACGAATGATGTGGTAATGAGAAGATCAAATTAGTCAATTAGATCAGTAGGGGGTTAAACAGAGGTTGTGGTGTATATATATGTAGCATTAATCATCCCCTAGATTATAGATAATTGTACCAAATGCTCTTTTATTTATATTTTCATCTACTAAAATATCAGAACACACTTGCAACAACCATCTTTCTTGAGAGCTCCAGATTTTCAGTTCAAGTTGTATTTTTTTCAAACTCTCAATCATGTAACATTCTACTTTGATTAAGAGAAAAAATCTCAGAAACAGTTTAGAATTAATATCATTTTGCTACTTATCAACTGAAAAACTAAATATAAGAAATATAAGAAATAGATTAATTGAGTCTATATACCAAGAGGGCATGAAATAGTTGCTATACTTTTGGAGCGCATTAATTGTTCAGTATTTATATTTCTTCTGCTTGATAATGTACATGTAACAATAGAAGAATTCGCTAGATGATACATTTGCAGTTTCATGAGAAAAGAATAGAAAGGACCATTTTCTTGGCTGTGGAAGAGTCAAAATCAAAAGAATATCATTATAATAGTACTACTTTAGCATATTTTGTTTTGAGCTAGAAAAAGAAATTTTTCCAAATTTCAAAATTTGTATCCTGTTAAGAAAGATAGCAATCAACTCTTGTGATGAAGACATCAGGCTTCACAAAAGTTTATGGTCCATACAAGTTACATTATCCTTTTGAAAACTTTAGCAGATTTCCCCATGTGGAGTTTACCCCTGAACTTCATGTATACATGGACTTTAATACTTGTATCATTACTCATTACCTTTCTAGCTTTGTGAAGGAAGCTAGTAATCCCTGCCCCAGATTCCATGCACAAATATGGCCCATTTACACTGCAAAAACTCAGTTTTATAAGCCATCGGGTTGGGGTTTTTAGCATGTAGATGAATGGCAACTATGTACAAAAAAGGTCCTGTGTGTATATTCACTGAGCTCTATGTTATGAGACACAGAAATGTAAATTATATTGCAGTTATCTCATTATTTTTAAAAAATTAACGCTACAGTTCACTGCATCATATCTGAAAAGGGCTTTATACTGCTTGAAAGTCCTGTTGTGAGTAGTGCGCATGAGCAGCAGCAAGTCCCACATATGCACTATACTCACAAAAATAAACCTGATAGCATGGATGTGAGGAGACTCATGTGTGCAAAAACTACTAATTCACCAGTGTTTTCAGAGCAAGCATTTATATTACACAAAAAACAGCAAAACTTCAGCTGGAGCTTTAAAAAACCACACTCCAGATATGGGTTTCTCGATGTGGGTTTTTGTTGTGTTTAAGGGTAGTTGCCCAGACAAAACTCTGGTTTTCAAGAAAATCTCAGGGTTTTAGCTTCCAGTGTGAATGGCCCTATGGAGACGGAGGAACATGAGATGGGGAAAACATTCTCTCCCTTCAATATCTAGACGCTAGCGAGGAAATGAGTTAGGGTCTACCAGAGATCTGTTTTGCCCAAACGATTGACGGAGGAGGAAGCGTACAAAGCTTGTTTTCAGGAAAAAGTGATGAAAAGCAAGAAACGGCTGGGTTAAGGATGATGGAGGGGAGGGGGTATGATGTTACAACCTGTAGTTTGTCTGCAAGTTAATCATGTTTTTGAGATTCTTCTTACCAAATCATTCACATGGAGCCATTTTATGACATACAGTTAATAACCAAAGTATTCATACCCTTCCCAACCCTTGTTTAATTTTTTTTAAGTATTTGAAAAATGAATTTGTCTAGATTTATGTTTCTTGAGAATGTGACAAATGAAAGCTTACATTTAAAAGTATTTATCAAAAGCCCTAATTTAACCAGTTCACCTTTTATTCTTGAATTACGAAGAAACACAGAAGCATCAAAACTACAAGGGTTATGAATAATTCATTTATTAATTTTCAAAATATGAATTGCTCCCTAATTTTTTGGCTAGTGTTACCACCTCTCCCATTTTAAATGTTTGCATGACATATTGATAAGTTTAGGGAGGGGGGGGGGGGGGGCTATCAAACGTAATGTAGGTGCAATATCAATTGCAATACTACACATAATATCCAGATTTAAGTCAAGTACCTCAGCTTTTGAATCATTGACATTTTCATTGGATTTTAGAATTTGTATTCAACACATGGAAATAGTTTGGCTCTTTGAAATCAATCTTCATAAAGATAATTCAAACCTGATGTATGCAACATTGGAAGTATCTTCATCAGCAAAAAAATCATGCTTCAGCGATAAAAATCATCTCAACCCTCGCTGCCCCAACCCCTAATCTCCCCCTACCCCAAACCTCTGTATGCAACGATTCTACCTGTATCGACTCAATAAAAAGGACGTACAGATACAACTGTAACTGTAAAGGAAGAGTCCAAGAAAATGATGTTGCAGAGTGATGTGGACCAGTTTACTTTGGCATATGGGAGTGATAGATTCTGTCAAGCACAATCTACGAGAGCTAGAAAAGACTGAGGGATTCAGATTTGTAAGGGCTCTGGCGTATGTTTGTTAACAAGACGATCTGCAAAGTCATTGCTCGACTGACATTGGATCGAAATTGCAAGTTCATATATCGTTTGGTTTCATATCTACGATTTTCCAGGACCATATGTGTTTCCCAGGAGGTACAAAGCAAGCCTTGTATCTTCTTGATGTTTCTAAGATCTGTGTGTATTTATCCTTGCCTACCCTGGCCATCTGTAAATGTACAAAAGACCGGTTTATTAACATATTCTGATTTTATGCATACTCTATTAAAAAAAGTTTGTCTCTACACATCGTGAAAGCTTGCTTGACATAGCAACAAGTAATATACCTGTATGTGCAGACTAGTTTCGGAGTATTGTAGGTCATTCATTATTGACAGGTTAATGGAATAACAGTAATAACTTGTATAGGTCCCCAGGAAAGAAATTAACGTCCATAAATTTGAATTTGTTAGCAAACTGGTCTAATGTACCTACAATATACTTTCAATTTACCTAGTAGGGAAATTTATACATTTTTTATATTAAATATGTGGGTAAACTTTTACCCCTAGTGTGATAGAAAAGAATCTCCAACTTTCAATATTATATCTTTAATAAAATATATCTAGCATTTTTGATATTATTATATTAATCATAAATTGATAGTTTTGCTACACATAGATTATTTTCACGTTCACCTTCATTCTTTTAGTACAATTAAAGTTGCAATTAATATGAGTATTCATGTTTATCTTCCTTATTATTTTTTTTTCGCAATGAATTGATGAGATACTAGTTATATAAAACTCTTTCAACATGTTTTTTTTCTTCAACTATATTTCAGATGAAGGTGACCTTTATTTCTCTGGAGCTGCGAAATCAGACGAGGGAGAATATTTCTGCGTGGCCAGCAACGATTTTATTCCTCAACAAGTGACGTCACGTTCAGCAACCTTTACGGTAGCAGGTACGTCCATCAGATCCATCGTGGCACCCAGTTTTTCCCTTAATTGTAGCCCAACCTTCCTTAAATACTTTTAAATCTGTGCTTAAAACCAACTTAGAACCAGCACCTTAAGTTGGTGGCCGCACATGACAACACACCTCCAGTTTAAACACCTTTACAGCCTCTTTTGGAGGTATCCTACCAAGTACGAAGTACCAAGTACCAAAGAGTTGCGCCGTATTGATAGCATATATATCATTTGACAATCCTGAACCTGAGGTTGCAAAAAAAAAATTGTTGCTATTTTCTCTATATTTTTATGGTATTTCCCAGAAAGCTGCACTATTTCGTTATAGGAAAAAAGGAAAATAGGCATGCATGTATGCAAGAAGGGGGAAGGGTGGGAAAGTGAAAGGATGAAGAAAGTCTGAAAAATATGAGAGGAAATGATACTTCATCTTCATTAAGCATGTGGAAAGGGGGAGACGGCTAAAAACCAACGGAATGAAGTTCTACCTGTGAAAAAATTATTGTTGGCATTGAGACAACCGCAAAAAGATTAGGCTTATTTCCACCAAAGCTTGATTGATCCTTCCACATACTCCCAATCAGTAAAGACCTTTCACATTAGACTGAACCTTCAGGAAAATTCTTAATTCAGATATCACAATCTCTCCCTATCAATAGCTCTTTGAGCTTCATGTTATTTGCTATTATCAAAATTCGTGTTTGATATTTAATCACTTTTTAATATTTGTATGTAGAAACAAACAATGACGAAATAAAAATAGCATATTCATGCAGCTTAACACAGAGAGATATGTCCCAACTTGTTTTCTGTGTAAGTACTGCAACAGATAATGAATATTTTGAACTTTTTACACAGAAAAAAATACGTAGTTTCACTCTTTCAAAGTACCAGTATGTAGTGTATAGTATCTCTCCTAACTACAGGTATACAGGTTTTGAACATTTTTGAAGTGAGAGCCAAGAACGCATGACTATCTTCTCTTTTAATACAATTTTAAGTATACGTTTGGTTTATTTTAATAATTGACCTATGAGTGTAAAATAATTTCATACATAAATGTATATGAATTTTCTTGACAATGAGAACAAAGTCCTTTTTTAATTCAAAGTGTTTGATATACCTAGTTGTGTAAAACCACCATTGGGTTCTATTTTTAGGTTGGGTGTCTTTGTGGGAAAGGAATTATAAAACTTTAGGGCGATTGTAGATTGTTTTAACATTTATGTCCAATACCAAATTTGAAGGACTTCCCTCTTAGACTTGGGTGTATAATTGACCCTTGGCGTTTGAAACAAATAGTAAAATTGTGAAAAAATAATGACACATCATAATTTAGATAATGCAATTTGTATAAGGGCTTGCTTAGCAATTAAGTTTCATACCAAGTGCTCTACATGTACATGTATGTATGTTTGTGTGTATGTATGTATGTATGTATGTAACCAAAACTCATTAAATGTAAAACAAGATTTAAACATGATAAGATAAGGCATTCTCCTTTAATTCAAATTTGAATCTGCTTTATGTATGTCAAGTTTATTAACATTTCATAGTACTTTTATGCACAATTAAAGCACTCAATTTAATAAAACTTGATTTATTATCAATATCTGTTACATGTATCTTTAAAGGTATTACAAAGTTTTGGTATGGGGTCATGAATTTGGTTTAAATGAACATATTGGAAGCATATGCATTCCTACAATATCCATTGATCGTTGTCGCGGTTGAAATCGAGTCTAAAGTTTTGAAATTATAGATAATAAACTCTTTATGTTGTATAGCTCCCTCTCAAGGTCAAGATATTAATTTAGCTATGAAACAATGTTCCTTGACTAAAATCGACCTGTTAGCTATTCTCGTTTGGAAATTGCATGTATATCACAACTACATATTCTGAGATTTGCATGGTCGCAGCTACCATTGTACGGCCGTAGGCGCTATCTGAAATTTATCAAAATTTACCGGGAGCACCGGTAAATTTTTATATTCAATTTTTCTAGAAAACAGAAGTGTTTTGGGGGCTAATTTTTTTTTAGTGCTTATAATACATCCACAGGGGCATCCAAATATATCAAATTGTAAAGATTCACTTTCCACCCAATTTTCAAAATTTCCCAAAACTTTGTATTACCTTTAAGACTCTTATGTGTCCTCTACTAAGATCTTCGCGACTATCATTCCACATTGTGTGGTTTGACTTGATAACTTTTGATTCAGAGCCCTTCCAGATGCATGAGTATAGATGGGGGGAAAGTTCTGCACACACTGCATCCATTATTGTTTCCTATCTATATTGTGTTTGATAAAGAAAATTAGCTTTAATACCCTTAAATTGGCAACACAACGTGAGATTCAAAATCATTGTTTTACAATAAAAAATTGCATTTTCTTTCTCAACTTTTTTACAAGATTCTCACCCATGCATAATGTTTTTACAGACATTATGTTTTATTTTAACAATGTAGTTATAAAAGAAAAAATATTATTGTTGCCAATTTGAAGAACAATATGTGATCAATTTAACACTAAAAAGATTTCTGTACTGAAAGGGTTAACTGAAGATTCGAGGTAGAACTCATGTGTTCTCTCTCTATCACCAATTAAAAGCAGACTTCCTGTTTTTGTCTTCCTCACGTCTTACTTTCTCGCTCCTCTTTTGACAAGACTGATCCCAAAACCGGATGTCTTGATAACGATACAGGAAACAATAGCGTTCTATATTGGTTATTTTTGTTTTTTTGTAAGACGACAATAAGATGGCAATATATGTATAGCTTGGGAGGGGGCAGGGGAGGGGGATAGAACTGGGGGCAAAGGACAAAGTATTGTGACAAAAGTGAAACATTTTGTAAATCTTTGACTTTAATGGGAAATCAATTCTTTAATCAGAAGAGGGAGAACAATACAAGAACAGTATTTTCATTTTTGTTAAGAAGATTTGCATATTGCAGAAAAAGTTCACTCTTTTTCCTGATCATGTATAATTCTAAACGTTGTGCTACATTGTGTCCATTACCCCAGTGTAATAAACTTAAATAATTAATTTTGAGTCTGACAAATCAATCTACTCTTTATAGCTCCCAATCAATTTCAACTTCAGGGAACTAAAATTCAATTGCATAAGAAAATGCCCAAGTTGTATATTGCAAAACTTATGTTGCTTTTCTACAATTTGTAATGTTCTTTTAGTATTCTTTATGTACAGTCGAACTTTAGGAATAGTTCAACCTGTTTCTTATAAATCCAAGTTTTTTTGTTGTTCATGTAATCACCTTTATCTCTTCTTTTTCTGATATTGTCTTAATCACAGTTGGAACGAGCATTGTAATGCCTCCTAATGGCACAGAGGTGGTTCTGGGTAACGAGCTGAGTTTGATCTGCGAGGCAGAGGGTGACCCTAAACCTACCGTCACATGGTACAAAGATGGCCGACTTCTGACGCCGGATGAACGCACTACCATTGGGTAATTAAGCTGATTGTAATTTCAAGTGTATTTAATATGTTAATGAATAAACTGAACACTCTCTTTTTTTCTCTCTCTCCTTCTCTCTTTTTCTTGTTCACTCTCTCTTTTGCACCCTTCTCTCTCTCTCTCTCTCTCCCCCTCCCTCTCTCACTCTCCCATTCCCTCTCACTCTTTTTGTTTATTTTGCTCACTCTCTCTCTCTTGCCCCCCCCCCTCCTCCTCCTCTCTCTCTCTCTCTCTTTCTCTCTCACTTTCTCTCCCCCTCCCTCTATGATGTCTGTCTCCACTCTTTCACTTTCAGATCTTGCTCATAATGCTCCAAATATAGCAACATAAAGTTAAAAAAAATATCCCACCATCAAAAAATCTTACACAAACTTTCATTGAATCCACACAACTCCTTGACCAATAACAACAATAAAACAAAGGAAAGGCGGAGATAGTCCATGCACTTCTAAGCGAGGTGTCGTCATCAGTCCTAGAGCGGTCCCAGGTGGTTGGTCGTGCTTAGTCACATGACCCTGTTGTCTAAACTTGTGTTCATCAATTACCCCGGCATTTCCGGACCAGACACTTTTACTCCTTTAACGGCAGGATATCGGCAGGATATCAGCAGTACCCCCAAGACAATAAACACTTGTAAACCAGATTGTTTGGGTGTAATTCTCAAATCGAGAGAGAAAGTGATGCGAAACAGATTAATTCACTCTCATAAACCTAGATTTGTTATGATTCTGCTAACAAAAATGTCCCTTTTTCAAAGGTAAACAGATGGTGCCCATATTGATGTTCTTCTTTTTTAAGAAAAAGGGGCGGGGGGATGATGTGATGGGGTCGAGATATTGGACAGGTATCTCATTTTTCTTTTTTCTCTTCTGAATCATGTGACCAAAATAGTTCAAAGATGAAATAAAAAGTTTAAAAGTTTCTGCTCAAGAAAGAGTACCGGTACTGACAAACATTTGTGTTCAGTATTGAATTTTAAAGGGAGATTTATTGGTCAATGTGTTGTGTTACCGTTACCAAAATTATTTTTTCCAAGCCTAGCTGTTTAAGAGTAGTAATATACCATATGTATATAGCGCATATCACAAATGTGTCCCTATGCACTGTATTGGAGAGAAGAAAAGAAAGAGAACAATAGAGATGATGGAGATACGCTCTGCATACTTCTTTGAAACTTTGGAAATTGTTTCTAAAGAGGAAACATTTTTAAGACACCTTTTAAGCATGCTAACAGTTTCACAATTTTTGATATACATGTCCTCTAGCGACTTATCCCAAAGTTATCTTCATCTGTTTGCAATTTTACCTGTCGTGCAAGTCCTCAGTACTGTCAGACTGTCTGCAAATTCTCACATGAATTTCGCGTTACTATGATTCTATTTGACTGACTTCCAAAGATCGACTTTGTTCTTGGTTTGCAATAGGTATCAGTTTTGTTGAGTCTGCTTTTGTGACAGGTTAATCCTTTTGAGATGGTACTGTCATCATCATTTATTAAAGAAAGCATTTTCCCCTCTTACAAGGGTTACTGACTTTCACGCCATGATGACACTCCCTCCCTCCACTTCTTCTTGTCTCGAGCATCCTCCTCATATTAATCAACCTTACTGCTTTCTTTGTTCACATTATCTTTCTGTGAAATCTTTGATCTTCCTTTCCCTCTTCTGCCATCCACTTCCTGTTCATATATGAATTTTGCAGGTGTATTTTCATCATTTTTGATGGGGCTCAACTTGTTAATTTTGCAGCTTCCTAGTTTTCAGATATTATCCTTGTCTTGTGTGGGAAAAGTATATTTAGGGAGAAAAACATGATAAGTGTGAAATACTAATAAGTGAGTTAATCTTCCAAAAAAAAAAGAATTGTATAATTCAGTTATGAAATAAGAAATAAAGCATTTATTAACAAAAAACTATGTACCTGATATGTACCTAAAAGAAAAAGAACATGTATTTTCTTCTAAATAGTGTTAGATAGAAACTGTCTGTTCCATGTATTGTATTTCTTGTTTAAAAACATAGTTGTTATCTCAAATACACCACCTGTAAAAAGTTTAATGTATTGAATCTGAAATTCCCTTCTTTTTTCTATACAACTTGCACACAGGTCCAATGGGTTACTTCACATCCGAAACATTGTCGCTATCGATGAAGGAACCTACCAGTGTGAAGCAGGCAACCAATACAACATAGACACAGCGTTAGCATTTGTAAATGTCCTCAGTAAGTATTTGAAATATCCATCTTGATTCTCTTTTCACTTTGCTGAATGTTTAAATTTGTTATTTAAAAAAAGTATCTGCTAGGTTGTGTGGAGAGTGATAAGTTTTTGAAGAATATATTGTTAAAGAGATGATATGGTAGTACCAAAACGAAGAATAGCAAAAAATACAGACATACTAAAGTGCCTTTGTTCCTTTTATTTAAATCTGTTACTTAAAAAAGATCTGCTGTGTTGTATAGAGAAATATAGATTTGTGAAGAATATATTTTTTAAAGAGACGATTGGTAGTACAAAATTGAAGAATAGGAACAAATACTGTACTAAAGCTCCTTTGTTCCTTTAGTATGTTTAGTAGCTTCTGCATATATTGTCTGATTTCATTCTTGCGATTTACTCCAATGAGTGCAGGACAAGAAGCTTTCATCATGTCTTTATCATTAAGAGTAAATAATAATACTGTAACATGCAAGGTAACATGTTCAAATGCACTTTAAGTTCACTTTGAGCTCACTTACTGTCAGTCAATAATGGCACACTTTGCACCTGAATGCACTTTTTTATCTTATCACTCTCACAAATGCATTACATTTAATTAATTTCAAAAGGTCATTGTACAGAGAACTTTGTGCTATGAAGACCAGAGTCGGCACCTTGTGCTATTACAGTGCTACAGTCAAACCTGCTTTAGCAACCACCTGTCTATAAAGACCACATTTTTTGTTTCCCTTGAAAGTAGTTTCCCATTGAAGCATGTGCCGGAACCTGTACATAAAGACCATCTGCCTATATAAAGACCACTTTATATACAGGTTTCACTGTACAATGTATATGGCAAGAATAAAATGAAAAAATAATGAAAAGGGATCTAAATATAGGTTTCCACTTCTTTAAGGGGTCTGTTGAAGTGGAACGGTGCCAAATATTGCTGCTCCTATATCCTTTAAAGCATGGTTGCAGAGAGAAACGATGACTCTGCGTTAATAGCATAATCTGGCTTACAAATTAGCCTGATTTGTGTTAATCACTCGGTTTAGGGGAGATCAGGTTAGCAGGGTTTCGTGAAATCCAGTTTGGCTATTTGAAGATTGGTATCATATTTCAGGAGAGATTAGTCATCAGCTGCTGGGTGGTGTCATCCAGAAGAAAGGGTACCACTCACCCTCAATCTCTGCTTTAGTATTATAGCTTGAATCAAAGCTTAGGGCATGGCATATTATATACTCTAAAAATAGAAGTTCTTTTGACAAAGAACGCTTTAAAGGTGTAAATGACATATGCAGTGGACATACAACCCTTTCTACTAGATATGTATATGTACATATATTTGCTTACAAAGTGAGGCTATATTGTGGCATTCTCTTTCACTTCCCTGATTTTGCCAATTACTGGATAAGTTGTCAATGATGCACTGCATTTTGTAAAGACTTCTCACTACCTGACCATGTTTTAGACCATATTTGAAAGCCTTTCTGATCTGATGTTTGATATGAGGCATATTTAAGTTCTCACTTCTGGGACCCGTTTCACAAAGCCCTTTTTCAATGACAAATGACAAAAATCAGTGACGAGTCTGCTAATTACCAATCAGAAGCAAGGATTTCAGTAGATTATAACAAAAACTGGCATTTGTCACTGATGACAAGTTTTGTGAAATAGGGCCCTGGTATGTCACAAAAATTGCCCCAAGCCGATGGAATGTCCCAAAGATTAACATACCAATCACATCTTCTCCCATCACAGTTCCACCTCAGATCACATCAAGCCCTGGCGAGGTCACCGTAGGTCAAGGGTCACAGACCACCATGACCTGCACCGTCATCGGAGACCCCGTCCCAACGGTCACATGGTTCAAAGACGATGTCCTACTCCAGGTCGACCCCTCCGGCCCGTCCTATGTCCAGACCAACGCCGGACTGGTGATCACTGGAGCGCATCCTATGCATGCTGGAAGTTATCGTTGCCGAGCAGAGAGCAGCGTTGGGATGGCCGAGGCTACTGGAACGCTGGTTGTATGGAGTGAGTTGATAATTTTTCCTTCGCAAGGGAACTTTATTTGTAACTACAGTCAAACCTGCTTTAGTGACCACCTGTCTACAAAGACCACAATTTTTGTTTCCATTGAAAATGGTTTCTCATTGAAACATGTACTAAAGGAACCTGTCTACCAAGACCACTTTTGTGTTTCCCTTGGGGGTCACTATAGACAGGTTTGTCTGTACATGTAAATGGGTCAATCATATGTGTATACTGCATCGGATGTAAAGTTTAGCATTATGTCTTCTAGCCTGCCTCCGAGTTGACAACCATGTTCATAAAATACAGGTTACTCAGACAATTTTTCGATTGCCGTGCTTTTTCTTCTTTATTTATAATCCTACCAAAATCATTCCATGATATCTAACTTTACAATTTTTGAACAAATTTAAATTTTCAAGAAGGAAGAAAAAACTTCAAACCAATATTTTATACTCTTCAATTGTATAGTGCCTTTAAAATAAATATGTCGATCTCATCTTTGTTATTCCATTATATCTTACACGTGCTTCACAATTCATGATCCAGCTTTGAATTTCAGTGAGAGAAACAAACCTTTGTTTGTCCAAAAATCTTATATGCAACATGAAAATGTTAGCAGTTTAAACTGTCTCATATAGCCATGAAATATAGTCTGGTGATTTATTGCCTACATCATTAAGCTCTCTTTTCTAAATTTCCCCTCCCTTCTCAGCTGTTCCCGAGTTCGTTGTGGAACCAGAAAACCAGACTGCTCATGAAAACATGGTAGTAACCTTCCAATGCAATGCCACAGGCACGCCGACTCCAGCTCTCTCCTGGTCGTTCAATGATGGCGCTCTACCGTCCTGGGCAAGTGTCGATGAAGAAGGAAGAAGACTGAATATCGCAGACACTCTGCCCGAGAGTGCTGGGAGGTACACCTGCGAGGCGAGCAACGCTCAAGGAACGGTGACCGTAGATGCATACCTGGATGTGTTCGGTAATTCAGATTTAATCATATAATGAATCTACTAGCCTATCCCGAAATGGTCACCCCATTGTATTTCCCCACAATTTAAACTACATTACTATACTTTGTCATAATTCAATTTCATTTGTCTATAATCGATGTTGATAAGTGCCATGGTTAATTTTGTTCTTTTTTTTAATTTTCTTTAGTTCATGAATAAGTAGTTATCTGTAATTTTGTTTTTTTAATGATTGTAAATCATTGATATTTTCTCTGAAGATGGAATGTGTACAGAAGCCTAAGTTATTATTATTATTATTATTATTATTATTATTATTATTATTATTATTATTACTATATCCATAAAATTTGACCCCTCAAAGTTAATTAGACCATCCCTCTTATTGACAAACAGGTGGTCAGTCTGACTGTAGCTGTCAGGTTTAACCGCAAAAGAGCCCCAATGCAGGTCAATTTTACCCCATCCAGCCCATGCACCAAACTTTGTCATTAGGAATTTGTATGACTGGAAATTGTTGTCATTTTTTGATGTTTTGTAATGTCCAGTCATACTACTTCCGACTGACAAAAGTTTGGTGCATGGACTAAATGCGGTCAAATTGACCCAAGTTTGGGGGCTCTGGGGGCTAAACTGGACAGCTATGGTCAGACTGACAACCTTTTGTCAATGAGTTAGATGGTCTAATTAACTTTAAGGGGTCAAATCTTACAATTCTTTTTTGGCACAGAACAATTTACAGTACCAGTACATGTTCTGTAATCAGTCCAAGTTTTGAGGGAATCTCTGTTATAAAGAATTTTGTTTAACGTTTGCAGATATAGATGTCATTCAACCTTACAAAATTTTGTGCAAGCACAGATATACTGAAGTTTGCTCCTGGTCAATATCTAACAGTAGCAAAATTCCTTAACTTGGACCCAACACTATACCTGATCTTAACGCCAATCCTAGCCCAAATCCACCCCTAAAGCTAACTTTAAAACCCAATCGCTATCCATGCCTTAACGCTATTGATTTGGGGTGGTTGAGGAAAAATAAAAAAATCCCTTTTTTGGGGTTTTAGTTCTCACTACCACTTCTGAGTATACAAGCACTAGTGATGTTTTGAACAGTAGTGTTATCCTGTGACTTATTCTTTCTTGCAGTTGAGCCCACCGTGACACCACTCCCCAACATGACCCTCCAAGCCGGTCAACAGCTGACCGTTGCCTGCCAGGCCAGTGGTCATCCAGACCCTTCCTACACCTGGCTGAGCGGTCAAGACACCTTGCGGTCCAGGGGTAGGGTGGCGGTGACCGATATAGGGGTTCTGACCATCGGAGAACTGAGCAAAATTGACCAAGGTGAGTGACTACTCCTTTTTCTTTTTTTTTAAATTTCCATTCACATACATGTAATTATGATGATAGCAACATTTCTAATATGTGCCCATTTTCCTAGGAAATTCTGAAGGAAACCTAACAAAATTTGTTAGCTAGATCCTCGGTACAGACTAATCTTGCACTGGAAACGGTTAAATAATCTTGAAGCCTTTAGTATTTATCTAAATGATATTGAATACAATATGGCTTATTTGTGTGGCATATGAAGAACTTTAAAACATAATGGCAAATTAACAAGACATTGGATTGTTGGAATTTTTTTTTTTTTTTTTTTTTTTTTAAATCATTTTCATTCAACATATTTATAGTGGATATATCGTCTCAAATTCTTTAAGGCTTAGGATTCAAAGGATAAGGTGATGCTTGTTCCTTGTTAATAATTGATAATTCTAGATCAAGATTCAGATGATATATATATATATATTATATGTTTATAAAGCAAAGTGTTGGATATGCCATGTTTTTACTTTAAAGTCAGTTGATATCATGCATGGTTTCAAACTTCAACTAATCTCTACAAAAATATTCAGAATAAATGTCAGTGAGTGATTTCTTTATGAAGTGTTTCCACTGTCAGAAACACTTCTTTTTCAACAGGAGGCACATGTGTCATGCTTACAATGTTATTTAGTAGCAGACTTCATAATTAATGCACATTTGTGATAATAATCGAAGCCTTGGTATCCACACTCCTTATTGATGTGTTCAAAGAAGATCATGTAATCTAATACAAACCAATTCACAACACACCCTACCCCCAGTGTAGTCCCACCGTATCGGTTTTCATGTCGGGGGTTGTTTGCGATACAAATTTGCGACATTCCGACGCCTGCAAATTAATGCAGAGGAAATGTTTGAGTTCTGATGTTTGATCATTTGACAGGAAGGCATGGGAATGAGTGATCATGGCAACGTGAAAAAAAAAAGATATATTAGAATGTCTTATTTTGCCGAGGAAGGATTGAGCGGGATCACTTTTGGTTTCAAGTGTCATGCCTTAAAAGTGCTGGAAAGAGAGAGGTGTTGTTTTCCGTACCTCATTTGATGTTATATTTCATTCAATGTTATATAACCTTTATATATAGAGTGATGGAGGTTACTTATTCCAGTCCGTGAAAATTTACAATATTTAATATGTTTTTCTTGGGTAGAACATATTGATGAGAGGGAAGGGAGAGATAGATAGACAGAAGTAAGATAAAAGATAAAATATTGGATCCTTTCCTAAATTTTTCAATGCCTAGATACACTGATTAATTTATGTATTGTATGTAGAAGGAGAGGGGAAAAGTGAGAAAATTAAGAGGGGAAGAGAGAGAGAGAGATAGAGAGAGAGAGAGAGAGAGAGCACAATACTGAAATGGAGGAATAAGGGAGAGAAATATGAAAATAGTGAGTGAAAGAGAGTAATATAACCAGCATGTACATACATGAGAGAAGAAAAAAGAAGAGAAAAAATAGATTGGGAAAGAGATAGAGAAACAGATAGATAGATAGATAGAGGAAAGGGTAAAAAATACTGCAAAAATATTTCATGTACTGTACATTGTTTAGATAGAACAACAGGTGAAAAGGATACATATTCATCAAAACCACAAAAATATACAACACAATTACTGAGACACCTCGTGCAAATTGGTTAAGAAGGAAAGTACTCAGGGACACATAACGCACAAGTTTTGGCACGAGACTGAGTTGAAACCAAGTTCATTGAATTACTCATTCATGTAAACTTCCTATAAACTCATGTCTTACTAAATGTTGCAGGATCTAATCAGAGATAAACAGGTTGAAACTTCCTCCACGTACAGTTATTCTTCAAATATTTTACTCCTAATTTCCCTGGTGCTTTGAAAACATGTTAATCACGGTAGGATTATTTTTAGTTCTCTTTTTTTTTTTAAAGAAAGAATTTGACATGAAGTTGATTGATTTCTTCGCTTCAAGTGTCGGAAGGATATGTCATTAAAGAGCTAGCATATTTTTGATGAGGTATACATTTCTTATTAGTGGCATTTTAAAAAGAATTTAATTTTACCTTTGGGGATTGGGGAATGCTCTAATGACAGAGCAAGAAAGAGCAAGAAAACATAGATTTTGTCAACTTAAAAAATCATCGCTTTATTCTAACTTGTATGGAGAACTTTAGGGAAAGGGTGTAAGAGTTGTTTGATTCAGAATTAGGAGAGAAGTGAAGATAATTCTAATGTACCCAGCAGTGATTCAATATTTGCTTTTATAGATGACATTTGCTCTTGGCTAGGGTTGCAATTAGGCTCTATGTCAGGGCTTTGTCTTATTAAGAGTTGCTATTAATCACAACTTATTTGCAATTGATATCAATCACAATTGTGTACATAAGAGATTAGAAACTATAAATTTGCGATTGATTAAAGGAATTGCAATTGAACCAAATCAATCACAACTCTTTATAAGACGGCCCAAGTTTAGGGTTAGCATCGGTTCAAGGTTATATTCAAACAATTGACCAAGGTAAGAATGAGACCACGGACCAGTTTTCACTGGTGCATGTGTCTACCAGCAACCCAAATTATTATCCCTTGTTCATTTGTTTTGAGAACAGTTCTTCTAGCCGAAGACAAAAGCAGCTGCATCAACGTATTTCTGCGGGGAGCGTAACACTAGATTTCCCTTGGTGGCTATAACAGCTAAGAATAGGCTGTGAATGTTGGCAGCTACTAACAGATCTGACTGCTAGGTCAGTAACTTTTGAGTTCAATGGTTGGTTGTTGTTTTTTATTTGGAAGTCAGTGACTCTTTGACTGCAGTGGGAATTTATATTTCACAAAACTTGGTTATTCATATATTTACATGTATAGGTAGTTCAGCGAAAAGACATGTCCGGAATACAAAATGCATAATTGTTGAAAATCTTAATTTTATCACATTAGCGATGGTACCATATTGTTAGGATGTGGAGCTGGTAATACATGTACTATCTCCATTGGGCTTTATGTTATCTAGACTTTCATTGAGATATGTCAAAACAGAACTTTTGATTAACAAAAATTAACTAAATATTATGCCTTTTGCATTCCAGACGCATCTTTAAATGCCACTACATTTTGTTATAACGCTACCTTACGACTGATGTTATTGTTTAGATGGCAATCTTCATTCTGTTACTTATATTGTATCTAGATGCACCTCTGTATTTGGGTTGTGATCAATTTCTCATGCAATTATACTGCTGTGACTGATTGTTTAAAGAAATATTGCCATAATTGATGATTTATTATGGTTACTCTTTTTGTTTTTACTTTAAATGATTCTTTAGAAACTTGTGATTAATTGGTTCTATAAACCACTTGATACAACCACTGATGTATGTGTAGCATGTTGTTTATTGAAGCCAAGTATATACCATGAGTGCCGTGATTTGAACACATTTATTGCAACTGCTGTGATCGGATATTTATTGCAGTCATTTCAGCTGCTTTGATTGGTATGTAAAAAAAGTGATTTTGGTACACCTCGTTTGATTGGTTGGGTATTGAAGTCAGTTATTTTGTATTTTGTATCTGCTGTGACTGATCAGATGAATATTAATCTTGACTGCTCTGATAAGCTGTTGAAAATCAGATGAATACTCATTGCTTCTTTGATTTCAAATAATGTTAACAGTGATTTTTGTTGCCTTATGAATTACAGGTGAACGAACCATTAAAACAAAATTGATTTTCAGGCATTTATAAATAGCCATTAAGTAAAACAACATTTATATCAAATGCAGCAACTATTTAACCAGAAAGTGTTCACAATTAAGAAATGTGGCACAGCTAGTTGAACAAAACCATTAACCAGCTTTTGCAGAAAGTCTGCCATACTGTACATACATGTACATGTACTTGTATGTATCTTAATTTAATCTGAACTTTTTTTCAACTCTAACTTCTAAATTTTACAAAATCTTAATTTCCACTCTTATATTCATGGGTTGATGTAGGCCATTCCACAACCTACTGTACCTTCTGAGATTAAAAATACTTTCTAGCTGTGAAACTGAAAGAAATCATTAAAAGTTCAAATGGTTAACCCCTGAAGAAAATTCAGTCAGTCGTCAACGTGCCCAGAGCCATTAGGTGTAGTCCTTTACCAAGGAGTATATAACACTGATAAGAGTATAGGACAGCTAGAACAAGGGAAAGACCTAGTCACGTCTTAATTGAGTTTCGCCGACCGAGGGTTAATGATCCATGAAAAGCTATCTGAGGGTGTTCTCTCCGCGCCAGGAGTCGGATTGCCGTATCTCCTCACACGAGAAGTAAGATGTGCATGGATTGCAGCTATTGCGAACAAACTTTGACTAAACCAACAAACATGGATTTGATAGTGAGGTCGTATTTCTGCGGTTTTTGTGATTTTTTGATAACCCTGAGCGTGCTCACGGGGACTCAAGAGGTGTTGGGTTGTAGGTGAGCCTGAGTTACGTCAGTTGGCCCTTGTGGATTCTCTTAGGACATTGCACTCTCTTAAAACATATTTGGACTGAAAAGAACAAGTCATTTTTACTTTACGTATCCTACTAGCGGAATCATGATTAGGGTATTCCTGAGCTCTGGCAATGACGTAGAACAAAATCATCATACAATCCAGCAAAATTTGAATTTAATGCTTTCTCTCTCTCTCTCTCACTCTCTCGCCTCTCCTTCTCTGTGTCACTTTCTCTCTCTCTCTCTCTCTCTCTCTCTCTCTATCTCTCTCCCTCTCTCTCTCTCCCTCTCTCTCTATCTCTCTCCCTCTCTCTCTTTCCCCCTCTCTCTCTCTCTCTCTCTCTCCCCTCTCTCTCTTTCCCTCTCTCTCTCTCCCTCTCTCTCTCTTCCCTCCCCTGTCTGTCCCCCTCTTTTTCTTTCTTTTTTTCTCTCTCTCTCTGTGTGAATTTTTCTATCTCTGCTCTTTTAGCTTTGTATTTATCCTTTTTCTTTTACTTTAATAAGAGTTGGAGATATTCATTATGTTGCTCATCTTATTGATGAGAAAGATATTGGTCCGCAGCACCTCTGTTTCTTTTAAAAAAAAAGTTATCTAGCTGTCCCTCCACATTTCAGACTTCCACTTTTTTATGAAATTTGTCATCTCTTGAAATTAATTACCAATTTATTAAAATATGCCTCAGCTTTGTAACAACTTCTACTTGAAATATACAGCATGCATGTACTTGTCCTAATTGTAGAAAGTTGTTATAGGATTCTGTATCTTCAACCACCTAAAAAAGAAATTTGTTCCTGAACGAAAAGAGGGTGAAAGAAAGTACTTTTTTCATCTTAAGGTGTCGTATCAGTTCATAAATCAGTTTCATTCCTGAGGCATTTCTGAGGAAATATTGTGTAATTAGGGTAACACGATCTCAACATGTGTAGGTGTCGAGGCAATAGTCCACTAATTGACATATCTCCTGTATTCCTAGTTAGCGCCATCAGAGCATGAAAGAAGGAAATCGGTGCTAAAATAAGATTTGTCAAAAATAATTACCACACTATGATTAGGAAATATAGCACTTCATTATCAAAAGTTAGATTTACAGCTCTCATTTTTGATAATATCATTCTCCCCCTCATGTCCTCTCTCTTTCTTCACCTCTCTCTCTCTCTCTCTCTTTCTTTCCCTCTCTCTCGTTGTATTTTATATTGCTCTCTCTCACACATTGTGTTTCCTTCATTTTCTTCGCAAAATTATTTTCCATTATTTTACTTTACATATTTGTCTGTTATAAATCTTATTTGTAGTTTATCCTAACTGTATCAACCCTCTCTCTCTCTCTCTCTCTCTCTCTTTCTCTTTCTCTTTTATTCTTTTCTCTCTCTCTCTCTCTCCCTTCTCTTTCTCTCTCTCCCTTCTCTTTCTGTGTCTTTTTGTCCTTTTTTGTTTGACTCACTGTTGTACTTCCATTCAACTTTGATATTCCTGATAGAAAGATTATAAGAGATGGAATCTACTGATAATTTCTTTTACGAGCAGTGTACTACTTCTCTCCATAAAACTAATTGATATGTTCATTCTGGTTCCCATACGGTACATTATTTTGTAACATTTATAATGTACAGTTTCCTTTACATGAAGTTATCATCTCATGTTGGCCTTCTATCAATCTAAATTTAATTTATACGCTAATTATTTTCCTCCTAGCCTTATTTTTAAATAAGGAGACATATACCAATGACTTTCTCACACCTCAATGCGAACAGGCGGAAACACTTTGCGTTGGCTTGCGAGAGAAAATAAACGATGTTACTTCAACATGTACTTCAAGGTTTTTTTATGACAAATCAGTGGAAACTGTTAATTATCCCACAGCTACGTGCACAGTTCGAGTCCCCCGTACACATCAGAAGTTACATTTTACTTCCTGCTCTTGATTTGGCTAAGGACGGGGGACTCTGTTTTCCTTGTAAATTAGAGGGCTAATTTGATTAATTTATAGTTGAAAGGTACTATTAGGCTGTCTGTTTACAGACCAACTGTGTGCTATCAGATGTTTGCCAAATGTTTATTGGAAAGACATACATCTAGATAAAAACAGTTTAGATATGTTTTGTGAAAGCTTGCTTTTGCCAAAAAATCTGGGTTTATGTGATTAAATGCCATGCAATGACCTTTAAATGTCCTTTTTTTTATCCAAAGGATTTTGTTTCCTAAGATGTGATGTTGCAGTTGCACTTTACTTCACCTTATGTCTTTAAAATGTATTTTTATTATTAGTAGTATTAAATATTTGGCGTCACCTGTGCTGTGGGTCTCTCCTTCCGGTATAACTGATTGGGTGTGTGCAGGTGGACTACTACACCAGCGTTTCTCCCTACACTTTAAACGAATAGTGCTGTGGGTTTTTGATGTGCAGAGGTGGTGACTCTCCACTAGAAAACAGGGCCTTTATTTAACATCCTATCTGAGGGATGGCAGTTTTTCCACTGTAACATACATGTAGCCTGCGTCTGTGAAACAGGGGAGGGGCACATGAATTAACACACAACACAGGCTTCAGTCATTTGCCTGGGTTGGATTCAAACCCGCAATCTTAGGTTCCACAGACAGACGCTCCACCGACTGAGCCAACTCGCCTCCTCAAAAATAAAAATTATATTCAAATATTTATATTTTCATTCACACGTAAATGACATTGATGTTAATACAATGACATGGATTCATTCTGGCAGTCGTGAAAAATATAAATTAGTGTAAACAGCAATTATGTAAAGTAATCAATTACGTCTTCTTGTTTTTGCAGGATGGTATAGCTGTGTGGCCTCCAATGGTGTCGGCAATGGCAGGGAATCATTCTACCTTACTATCATTGGTAAGACAAAAGGCTGACTGTTACTTTTTTTTATATTCCTGCTTTTACCAGCAAATTATATATTGACTGAATGATTTTATATATTCTATTATAAAAATGTTTAAAATGTGTATATATTGGGTGAAGAGATGTATGTAAGGTATGTTTTGTTTTGGATGGAGAGATTGTGTAATTAATTCAAAGTTGTGGGTATTACTATTGACACCGTTGCATAGCAAACATTGCCCTAATAGTGTGAGACCTATCATCTGTTTTACATGGTAAACTGTACTTTTCTTATATGCATAATATACATGCAAAGGTTGTTCTCATGGAACATATTTACAGCCAAATCACCAATGAAATCAATAACTTAACTCCCAAATTTTACCTTTGATTTTGGATTTTGGATTTTTTTTTTAAATTTTAATTAAAAAAAAAAAACTTCTTTGATGTTACTTTTGACACAGAAGTGGTTAAAGATACTTTGTCCCTTTTGCAGCCAACATCAAATGGAATGGAACATTAGCAGGAATTATGAATATGTCACGTATGTCCTATCTGTGAAATTTAAACGGTCGCAGTGTCCTAATATTCAAATTATGCAAGGAAACCCGTTTACCTGCTAGACTTCACTGTCAGTCACTATTGAGTGACTGACTTGCATTTTTTTTTCTTCGTTAATAACATACATGTACATAAAATGAGCTGTAAAGGGTACATGAGCATGTATCTACATCAATAACCCACTTCTTGTAATGGCCAAAATTAAACTGATTGAATCTTTGCGCAGCACAAAACGTACGACCGTTCGGTACAATGTTCTGAAAATCAGACTATTACTTAATGACTTGGTTCAAAAACTAATAGTCATTTTTTTCCCACTTAAAGACATTTTCAAGCCCCCTTTTTTTTTAGGGAAGTTCTAAATTAGTATTATCTTTTAAATGCTGTTGGATAACCTTTTCATTTTTGGGCCTGTAAATGGGACATAGTACCTATTCATGAGCCATCATAATATGCACTGAAAATTTCGCTTCAATACAATTTGCTTAAACATACTATGTCAAGTTTGTCAATATTGAGAAATGAATATAGATTGGTTTCTAACAATGGAATGTCAACCTCCTCTCCACTAGGTGTTCCTGGTGAGCCTGCTATCTTGGAAGCTTATCCTCTGTCTGCCACTATGGTGTACATGGTCTGGATTGCTGGGGGAGATGTTGCTGATACAACTCACTTTCAGATTCAGTATAGGCTGAGGTAGGTTTATAATCAAGCTAGTTGAAGAAATGTTTTGGTGTGTTTCTTAGGGAAATTGTTACAAGAAGATTTAGAGAGTCTGCCAATGATGTTTTTTTCCACTTCATGCTAAACATACTGTACAAGTACAAACAATTTTAATAAAAAGTAAAATGCATTTGTTAAATGTTGTAATCATCTTATGATTCAACATGATACAAACTCAAGAAAGACATTGCTTTAGGTATGCTGAATAATTGCGAAGCCCAGCAAATTCAAATTATTGCATTAAAAAAAATGTAATGTAAAGAACTGTATGTGTCGTATTGTAGACTTAAATACAGCCTTTTTATTCATCCTTCCTCACACAGCACCTCACCAACTTGGCTGACCTATGTGGATAATCTGGAAGCCATGCCTGGTAACCAAACCTACACGCTTCGCAGCCTGGATGAGAACAAGGAGTATCAACTGAGGGTGGTGGCAAAGAACGCCGTCGGTCAGATGCCAAGTACCCTGAATGTCGTCACCACACCTTCTGTTACAGGTAGGGTATACAGTCAAACCTGGGGGGCGTTTTACAAAACTTGTCATCAGTAAAAATGACAGTTTTGTGTTATAAGCTACTGAAATCCTTGCTTCTGATTGGTTATCAGCAGATTTGTCACTGATTTATGTCATTTGTCATTGAGAAAAAAGGCTTTGTGAAATGGGTCCCTTGTTTGGCGACCCCCTGTCTACAAAGACCATGCACCTGTCTACAAAGACAACATTTTTTGTTTCCCTTGAAAATGGTTTCTCATTGAAACACATACTAACGGAGCCTGTACATGAAGGACACCTGTCTATAAAGACCACTTTTCTTGTCTCCTTTGGCTGGTCTTTATAAACAGGTTTCTCTGTATCTGCTCTATGAGAATGACATTTTGAAGAGCTTGTGTGATTTTCAGATGTTTCTTTTTTTAATGAATTTAATTTATATACATATTATTTAAAATAAATGTAGTACTTTTCCATGTCACAGATGAGTCCAGGGCCCAGGTTCATAAAACTTGTTGTCAATAACAAATGCTAATTTTCTATGACATATTTGCTCTCAGCCAATTAAATGCCACGATTTCAGTAGCTTAAAACAGTTATTGTAACTTGTTATTGATTACATGATTTGTGAAACTGGGTCCAGGGGTCTTGGAACAGGACCACTCTACATCTCCAGTAGATGTGGACTTAGTATCAATATTTAATCGTTTTGTTTGATTTTATTTTTCTCTCTCTCTCTTTCTCCCTCTCTCTCCCTCTCTCTCTCTCTCTCTCTCTCTATCCCTCTCACCATCTCCCTCTCTTTCTCTCTCCCCTCCCTCTCGCCCCTCCCTCCCTCCTTTCTCTCTCTCCCCTCTCTCTCTCTCTCTCTCCCCCTCTATCTCCTCTCTCTCCCTCCCTGCCCCTCCTTCTCTCCCTCCCTCCCTCTCTCTTCTTCGCTCTCTCCATCCTCAGGTCCATCATCTCCTAGGAATTTCCGTGTGACGTCATGGAACGGGACATCAATCAGCCTCATCTGGGAAGTCCCGGCTGATAGGAACGCACCCATCGAGATCTACACGGTGGAGTACCACAAGACCAACACTACTGGTGAGTTTCCTCAGCAATAAAAATAAAATAATAAATGTTGACAAAATTGTAGATTTATTAAAGCAAGACTGCACTAGTTGTAGCTACTTGCGCCCTCTATATAGCCAGCAATGCCTAAGCGGTACCTGTTGATCTCTCATAGTTCCCCTTTTTCTTATATCAATTGAGAGCTGATTTAATGAAATAACCACCTGCCAGTGACCACACAGGGAGGTCTAATTTCTTCTGGCCAAACAAGTGTCACATAGGCTTTAAAGCTCACGTACAGTTTCAATGGCTATGATATATTATACAAATAATGAATGGTTATGAGTTCAATAGTGCGAATATTTTCATGAGTTGAAAGATTAACATTCTATTCAACGAGGCGTCAGCCGAGTTGAATAGAATTAATGTTAATCTTTCAACGAATGAAAATATTCGCACCATTGAACGAATGAAAAACATTCATTATTTGTTTTATACAACATCGAAGAAGATCTAATAGAACGTTAATCAAAAAATTATGCTTTACTCCTTATATTAAAGATAAATTCAAGTTGGATTCAAGCCTTCTCGATTACATTCAGATTGCCTTCGCGTCAGATACACGCAGTGATACGCGCGCGCACGGCAGAGAGGTACGCAGTCTGCATATAACCAAAAATGCACGGCGCATATAACCAAAAATGCACGACCGTTCAATATACCATCTATTGAATATCATGTGACCAACAATCCTCCAATCAAATGACAGGGATCCACGTAGGTGTTGTATAAAATGATATATAAATACAATATAATAATATATAATAATGGATATGTTATTCCTAGAGGTCAAGAAATTTTTAATCCTTCTTGTATTATTAATTATAAATAATATTCTTTTGTTCATAATATCTTTTTGTTATCACCTCTGTCTCAGATTTCATGATCAAAGAGATCCCAGGCAGCGGTCAAGCCACCATTACAGCCATGGTAGGTGGCCTGAGACCACTGACCAGCTATCAACTAAGGGTCAGCGCTACGACGCTACACAAAGGAGAGAGACAGCTTGGTAATCACACAGACTATGTGGAGCAGACCACTGGCACAGCAGGTAGGAGAAAACTTCAATTTGTTATTTGATTAGATTTTGATTTATTGGTTTCTGCATCTTTTTTTTTTCATCATATATTTTCATGAACATAATATGGTTTGATGCAATATTTCAAGTGTATATAATTTTATACAGATAATATACGAAATTAAACAAATATATTGAATGCATAATTAACATACATTAGATGCAGGAAGGCTGCAGAATAAGCTAAGTAGCTTGACGTGCCCGCAGCTCTCAACTTAGATACAACAATAAAAATAAAAATAAAAAAGCAGTAGAGTGACTTGCAGAGAAGAAAAGGAAAGGGGAGAGAAGGAGCATTGGTTTCTGTTATTACAATAAATCTAATACATGTAGCTAGAATACCAGGAGAGTCCTCACAAACTCTTTCTGTTGGCGCAGAATAGAGTCGTTGAGCTGAATATATACGAGGCTTCTAGCATTCATTCACCTTTCATTTCACTTTCATTTTTTCTTCTTTTTTTAATCTATTCTTTGACAGCGCCTGACGGAGCCCCTACCAACCTGACCGTTGAGGCTTCATCCTCGACATCGATCAGTGCATCATGGGAAGTAAGTACATATCATTTTTTTTACAATTAGCAAAATGTTTTCCTTTTTCCTCTGCCTGTGTGAATAAATCATTGAACATGACCTTTTTTGACAACCAGCTAGCTCCAGTACAAACTCCTTGTACATTTAAATGCTTTATTCCAATGCACATACTCATGCCACACTGTTTATATCCATAGTCTCGTGACCATGGGTACTATCAAGAAACTATAACCCATCGACCACTGAATTTTATCATTCCCCATAAAAAATAATACATGAACTACCCAGTTCTAGAAGGGAGTGGGTTAACAGATTTAAGTGTAAAAGGTAAAAAAAGGACATTTGTTTTAAACACAGCATAAGTGATAATCCAAGATTTAGGACAGCTTTGATCTTGATATTGATCTTAAAGTGTATTAAAAGAATATACATGTATACCTGTAAAGAGGACTGAAAGCTTCCCTGTATAAACAAGGAGAGAGATTACTTTTCGATGTTTAAAGAGTGCATAAAGTCAATCTGCATGTACCCTGTTCCAATTTTCACTGCGACAAGCTATAATGCCCGCTAGAGGAGTGGAGAATGTTGCATTGTACATGTAAGTGCGGAATCATAATGGAATCCAGTGACCAGGATATTAACATTTTGTTAAGTACTTTAAATACATCTGGAAAGGTGCATTATAAAAGAAACAGTTATTTTTAGAAATGTTATTATTATCTCTCTCAAAATTTTCAGCCTATTCCTGAACTCTACCAAAATGGCGCTATCACAGGCTACACGATCATGTATAGAATATCTGGCAGTTTGCAGAACTTTACTGTGAAGGAGGTCACAGGTGCAGCAAACTCTGACCTCTTGACTGGCCTTTCACCTTGGACGACCTATGAGGTCAAAGTTCAGGGGGTCAATCGAGACGGCACAGGCCCTGCCAGCGAGAATGCTGTGGCAAAAACCTTAGCTGATGGTGAGTTGACAAATCATTTCTGAGTCAGATTCTGAAAAGTCCAATATATATGTATTTGGTCTTTTGCTGTCCCATACCTAACCAAGAGTAAAAGAAATATAAACAAATTTCCAAGTTATTTGCAGGCCTGATAATTACAAGATTTTTTTTTTCTTCCTGATTTCATCCTTCTTTTCTATATCCTTATTTTTCCCCAATTTTCTTTCTCAAAAGGGGGGAATGTTGTTTGATGCCATTTTTCCCCCGAATCCTCTTTTTTTTTTAGTGCTCACTATCACCACTGTATTTGGTCTGCTCCAGGCCATAGTAAAGCTATCAACTTGAAAAAATCACCATATTAATTCAAATTTTGATGATCATGTTGAAAACATTTGGGACAAAACACATTGTGCTTTCCCTTTCATTATTTCACTTTCTTTGGGGGTCACCAAGGGAAAATAGTACTTGCCGATGAATATTTTATCTAACTCCTACTCGAATTTGGACCTACTTCAATGTTTAAACTCTCTAAACTCACATGTACTTTCTAAAATGAGACTCTCTATTTGTTTTGGAATATAAGGTAGATAACTTTATTTCACTTCAATCTTTCAGCACCAACTGATGTTCCACAGAATGTAGTATTGTCAACTCTCAACAAAACTTCTATCAGTGTTACATGGGAGGTAAGTTTATATGATCTCATCCGTGATTTATCATAGGGGGATTTTCAGTTGTCACATCTATCCAGCGCAGCTGAATATATTTTGTATAAAAGCTGCGCTATATAAATTTATTATTATTATTATTATGTGCATCCAGATATGCTCTTCTGCATGTCAAGTTATGTTACAGCTCTTTCACAATGACTTTTAACTTTACAGATTATCATAATACTTGCCGCTGTCTGCACTTCATGGTGACCTGCATGTATATTGCTGCAACACAGAAACTAATTTAGCAGCAAAATTCTTTTTTTTTCTGCTGTGGATATAATTATGCACTTTCCTGTGATTAAGACTGTCCATGCAGTTACAAGACTTTTCAGAGCTCCTCTTTATGATTTCATGTGAGATTTCGCTGCATTTTACATTAGTTTATCTGCATGTTCCTGTGCTTCTATAGTCACAGACAAATTCATTGACTAAATAATTTGTGTGGTAGCAGCATTTGGTGCATTTTTCTACTTTTTTATACCGGACAATTCTGCCGGACAATTCTGCCGGACACCCTTAATTGCACGACGAACCTGTAAACTGACAGATGACTCTACTTTGCAAAGTGATTGTGTACTTTTGGGTAGAGCAGTGGTCTCGTAACCGGGAGGTCCCAGGTTCGTAACCAAGTTGTTGCGCTAGTGCCCTTTAGTAAGGCATTAATCCTCATAACCATGTCCCTCAAAGAGGACTTCAAGCCGTTGGTCCCCTAGCTGCAAGCATACACATGCTTTCTTTTAGTAGCATTCAGGTAAAATAAACCACCAAACCAAACATGTAACATATTATCCTTGGTATTCCTATATCTAGCCTGTTCCAGCATCTGGTAGAAACGGTCTTATTGACGGCTATACCGTGTTCTACAAAGCAGATGGTACTCCTAGCTTCATTGAAGACAGTCTAGATCCATCAGAAACTTCACTTATCATTACTGGTAAGAAATATAGAGCCTGGCCTAGCTCTTGTACTTGATTTTCATTTCTAGTATTTCTCTTGTAACACTCTAACAGTGACCTCTTTGTCTGAATCTTTCTAATATGGTTTGCAAAGCAGTGTAAAATGCATATAAAGCTCAATTGAACCATTCTCATTTTTAAATTCCCATACCCTAGACGGTATATTTGTTTAAGTCCAGATCAAGGAAAATGAAAAGTGAAATTAATATGTCATATGAACTACCGGTAGATATAATTTTATATATCTTGAATAACACAGGCCATGCTCTTAAAGAATTAGAATGATGGATACATGTATATATGTTTATTATTAAGAATTAAACAGCATCCTTTGACATTTTGCTTCTGTTTGGTCCCACCTACCCATTTTCATGTCAGATCTGGACATTGCTCAGGTATACCAAGTACAGGTCCTAGCATTCAACATGGTGAATGGAGAGATGAAGATTGGACCTAGATCTGCAGTACAATCTGTGACGACGGGTGATGACCGTAAGTAGGAATTTTCTAGAGGAGATGGAGGGGATTAAACTGTGAAGAATAACACGTAGTATTCATGATACAAATACATATTCATGTATTTGTATTATGATCCCATTCATGATTATTCATGTATTCAGATACTGGGGAAAAGAAAAATTGTTCTATTATGGCCTACATATAGATTGTAGAATACTGACTAATATTAATCCTTTCAATACCACCAAGTTTACAATCGCTTGGCACAAACATAATTCATACACTGTAGGACAATTTTTTATTCATTTTGCCCTTAAGATTTCATTTTTAATATTGATACAAACATTGTCCATATATAATATCTAATTTAAACCCATCTTAGATTAAAAGAAGAAAAACATGCCTCTCTCTTTCTATAACATTTTAGTACAGTGCAAGAAGGGTCAAAGATATCAGTCCTGATGCTGATGATATCAATCTACAATATGTTTCAGTTTAATGCAATTCTTATATTCCTTTTTTCTTTTGGTCATACTCACAGTTCCTGGTCCTATCAATGGGCTAACTGCATACCAGGAACCGACATCCATCAGACTGCGATGGAACCCACCTGTCGTTGCTAATGGCCAGATCCAGGGCTATGCCATCAAGTACATGGCCATGCGACGCAGCGACCTGACCTCGACAACACAGGCCACTCCCACCAATCAGACAACAAGCCCCTCCCCCTTTACTACAGCGTATGAAGGAACTACAGGTGATTTGAGTGTAGCTTTGTAGGAAGTCTCCGTATTTAAAATGTTCTCAATGATATAGTTACATTTTTCTAGGATATAATCATTCTTTAGCCCTTTGAAAAATGCGATCTGTCTGTCTATGCAAAATATGTGCTATGAAAATCATATTGTATGGAAAGGTTAAAACTTTTTGAATGAACGTTTTATGTTTGCATGGGAAAATGATTGTGATGAAATAATGATTCATGGAAAACAATCATTTTGAATGAATGGAAATCTATTTTTATACAATTTCATCTGAAATGCATTTACATTTAGTTGCAAGAATGCAGTTCATAACTATAAAATCAAGTATTAACTTATGCCAAGTTGAAAAAAATAAAGCTAATTCATCAAGAGCTATTGGAAATATTCTTTTTCAATTTATTTTAATTCATTTAATTTCAGGTGCATAGAACTGGAGCAGGAGACAAAATCTGCCCTGTGTAGATATTAGAAATCATGAATAAATTAAGTAATAGATAAAAACATTGATGGATAGATGCATAAATAAAGAAATTACAAAAATAAAATGTTCTCTTTCCCATTTTTTCTATTTTAGTCGCAGGTACACAGAACAGGACTAGAAGGCAGACAGTCAACACCTTTTCAAACGAGACCCATGGCATGATCGAGACCACAGAGACCACGTACACCCTGACTGGTCTCCTTCCAGAGAGTAGGTACTGGGTGGGAATCATCGCCAAGACCAGTGTCGGCTTCTCAACTAACGTCGTCAGTATCTATGTCATTACGGGTGAGAAAGAGGAATCTCTAGGAGTTCACTTTTTATCAGAGAGTAATACTGGTGATGATGATGGTGGTGGTGATGATGATGATGGTGATGATGACGATGATGATGGTGATGGTGATGGTGGTGATGGTGATATTGATGCTGATGACAATGATGATGATGGTAAATTGATGGTGGTGATGGGGATAATGCTGGTGATGATGATGATGATGATGATGGTGATAATGATGATGTCGTCAGTATCTATCACATTACAGGTGAGACAGTTAGCCCAGTCTCCAGGAGTTCACTCTTTATCAGGGAGTAATAATGTTCTCATAGACAAAGATATCAAATTTGTTGATCAATATTCAGAAGTTTGTCAGAGAAATGATGTTTTTTAAGTCAATTTTTATCTTATTAGATATTAATAATCAAATCAACCAAATTGTTTGATTAGGTTTTAAATATTCATACTAATAAATGTACAGGTTGTAAATATCTTTGTTGCCCATCAGTTTTTGTCATACCAGGGCCCCATCTTATAAAGAGTTGCGATTGATTTGAATCAATCAGAAGTTCTCCAGTCAAACGCAAGTTTGCAGTCCCACTATCTCTTATGTACACAGTTGCGATTGATATCACACAAGTTGCAATGAATCGCAACTGTTTATGACATTCTTGTGTTTGTGTCGTCCAGGTAAACTACCTCCAACACCAGAGCTGACCACGCCCAGCCCCGCCCTGACAACCACAAATGCAACCATGATAGTTTCATCCGGACTAGACTCGTTCTTCAATCTCTTCAATCTACCAAAGTGAGTTTATGCAGAATTTATTTGCTTGGGATTTTTAGAAAGCTTGATTTTTTTTTTTTTTTTTTTTTTTTGGCGGGGGGGTTCTTTTTAGTCTTTGCCTATCCTTGTCATTTTCATCAAAATTTACTCTATTTCAGAAAACTTTTTTTGGTTGGGGTAATTATAACATGTAGTTAAGCTTCTATCAACCTTAATATTTAGTAGGCAAGCTTTCATCCACTCCTGTTGACTTTCTCAAGCCAAGTGATTATTCACACAGTTTCTTGCTGTCTGCTGCCTCGAGATCACTGGAGCGAAGATAGATGACAATAATAATAATAATAAAATGGTGCTTATAAAGCACTTTGCACAGAAGTCTCCAAGTACCTTTTCACTGAAAACTTCACAAATGATGCATGTCACAACACAGATTTTCAGTAGGTTCCTGGCATAAATTTCTTCCACTGGTGTAAATATATATCACGACATCACAAAAAGACACTTAAAGATCACAAAAAGACACTTAAATTAACAGAAAACAAGAAAGCACATTAAAGTGGTCGCTTGTAAGGTGCACCTCCTCCTCTAATGAATAGTCCCTATTCAGTGAAGGATACATGTATATCCTTCTCACCCTATTTCATAACTCTTTTTTTTGCAATCATTTTCACAAATTCCAATTATTTTTCCCGACCATTCCAGGACATCATTGATTCTCTTTCTGTCTATCATTGGCGTTGGATTCCTGGCCATCATCTTGGCCATCGCAGTCTTCTCGGCGTGGTGCAGTGGACGTCGACGACATCCTCATCACATCAAGAGAAAAGCCACTCTCCGTAAGTATCCAGGGGAGTGTTTCACAAAGATCTTAAGTCGGACCTAAGTCTAAGTTTGACTTTCCAATTATGGGAAGCCGTTAGCATCTATGAAAATATTTAGCAAAAATTATTTTAAAAGACATAAAATGTTGAAATCATTCATATTTTATATTATCAAGGAGATTTCATGTTCTTGATGTGGAATTTACAAAATTCTAAAATACTTGATTTTTCGCTTTTTAATATATTTTATTTTGGGGCTACAAATGGCTCTCCATAATTGTTAAATCCAACTTAGAGTTAAGTTCGACTTACATGTAGGATCTTTGTGAAACATCCCCCATGACTACTAATGTTTTGATTGATTGATAAATCATTGGTTTTTATCTGGGATATAAATTCTGAATAAGAGAGGGCACTGTGATGAATTACAACTAGAAAAATATTCAATAGTATTTGTTTGTTTTTACTGGTATGGGATATCTAAACAAGAGAGGGAGTAAATGCCATTAAGACAATTTTCTATATTGCCAGATTGATTGTTCCATCTGGGCTATAACACCTTAACAAGAGAGGGCGACATAGTAAATTACAGAGAGAAAGTATTGATATATGACTGGGTTGATAACTACATGTACTACAAAGAGCGTAGAACATTGTAAATGTCTACAAGATGTTTTAAGTATTGCTTGATTGATGATGAGTATTAAAAAGAAAGGGCAATTTAGTTGTAACAAGAAGAATTTTTTTCGCATCTAGTATTTGGTCAGTTTAAGATTCAGTTTCACATGTAGGATATGATGATAGGGATGGTAATTTTAGCCATACAAATTAATGAATACTGTGATACTGTATACAGGATGATTTTCTGTAAACTTCCTGGATAAAGACAAATTTAAAAAGATACTGATCCACTTTGTAAAAATCAAATATTGGTACAAATGTAGCTCAATTTTCTTTCCTATTTCCTCGCTCACTGCTCAGCAATGAAAAAAAATTAACAAATTGTTGGTTGATTCATGTATTATTTATTTGTAGTCATGAACGTTGATTGTAAGATTTATGTATGTGTCATTCTGATCATAAGTACCTTTAAAGAAATCTTTTCATTTTTTTTCTTCTTTAAACATACCATATAGTTATACCAAATGACGGTCGATCATCCCCTGGGGGCAGTATGCCAAGTGATGATATCATTATGGCTGGCCATTCACGCTCTGCCAGGTAAGACCATCCCCCCCCCCCCCCCCCCCTCCCAAAAAAAAATATATATATATATATATATATGTTGTTTAAAAAATGTAATGATCTTCAAATTTAATGTTTAGGGTGCTGCATGTGGAGAAGGCTTAATTTATTCTTTCTTGTGATTATCTTTTTCCCTGTTTATAATAAGAGCACAAACATAAACAAATATGTAGTAAATTTATACTGTGTACTTTTATTTGCTGATTTTATATCTGTTGTTTAAGATATTATGTAGAGTGTATGTTATTATATTTTTATGTTTATGTCTTTCATTCATGTTCGACTTGATTGTAGCTTTATTAAATCAGTCTTGCATGTGGCTTAGCTGTAGAGTTACACAGTAGATCAGATGGATACAAGTATTTCTTCCAGATCTCGACTTTCCTCTGCCTTTTCAATGAGCAACATGCTAGAAATCTGCAACATGTATCAGGCCTGATAAAAAAACCTGCTTTAAATCGGTTTCCCGATTTTTCCCCGATTTTTTTTCTGCTTCCCGATTTAAAAAAAAAAAAAAAAAAAAAATCCATATTTTTTTTTTTTTTTACTATTTTTTTTTCTTCCCTATTTTATCCTGATTTTCCTGATTTCCCTCTTATTCTTTCCTATTTTGCCCTATTTTTTCCCCAATTTTCTTACTCGAAATGGGGGAAATGTTAGATGCCATTTTTCCCCGCGAATCCTCTTTTTTTTTTTCTCAAGGGGGGCGTGGTTGAGGGGAAAACAAAAAACCTATTTTTTTTAGTGCTCACTATCACCTCTGATATATGTAGTCCCACATGTACAAAGGTATGTCCTATACTGTTCATAGTAAGATTCATAGACATGTAGATGCATACACCCCTCTGTGTCATTTATTGCACTCTCTGCCACTCTCTCCTTCTGTGCACTGCCAGCAGCAGTTCTGTCTCTCGATCGCACTCCCCCAGCGCGGCAAGCAGCGGCCTGGCCGCATCCTCGGAGCTTCCCTCGACGGCTGGGACGTCGCCAATGATGGATTCTCAGCCCCTGATCCACGACAGCAGCGGGAGCGACAGCCACAACTCCAGCCACCACTCTGACCCTAGCCGACCCCGGGCTAGCTCGTCCCCGGCGAGTGCCCAGCTTTCGGTGAGGGCGATTCCCCCGCCACTGACCCTCCCCGCAACTGCCTCAGTCAACCTTTACCCCACCGCTCCAAGTAAGTCGCATTTCATCTCGCTTTTCTTCTTGTCACGAAGCTATGTTTGTAAATATTTTGGCAAAGATGACACAAACCTGTATGTGAAGATATAGAGGGTAAATAAAAATTTTGTATGGATGATCTAACAAATGCTCGAATAACATTTGCTCTGTTCTTTAGTCAAGGATGTTTGGTTAGGGATAGGGTTTAGGATTGGGGTGAAGTATTAATAAGTCTTGGGTTGAAATAAGGAATTTAGTTAGGGTTAGAATCAACCACTGAGCAATAGTCACAAGAGCATGTGACCTAGAACCTCGTGTGCCACAAGCATGCATTTCAATCTACTCTGCTACGATTTCTGTTCCCTGATCAAACAATTTGATTCTATGCAAGTGCATAAACAAAATTTGTATACACACTATCAGACCTCCTGAAGGCCATTTCTGTTTGTTAAACAGTTGCGATTGATCGCATAAGAGATAGGAGACTGCAAACTTGCGATTGGTATTAGAGGACGATTGATTTGGACCAATCGCAACTCTTTATCAGACAAGGCCCTGATGTCTTTTTGGAGGGGCCATTTGGCTTTCTTTAGATACTTTAGATTTTTTAGAGTACAGTTACATGTACACAGTATAAATGCTTCCAATTCCTTGCATTATAGTTTAAGAAGTAATGCATGAGAATTCATCTGATCGTGGAGCTCAAGGGGTACGGTTGTGTTTATTGCCAAAATACTTTACAAACAGCTGAATGACAAGTTTCCGCTTTCTCGCAATAACAATGTAAACTCATGTGCCATTTCTTATTCATTGACTCACGTATTCATTCCTTTTCAAGGTTGGTAAGATGTAGACAGGTAGACACTTTTTTCACAATTTCCTTTTCCCATGTTCCCTTTTTTTTTTATTGATGGGGACATGACCCCTTCCCGTTGACTCGCTGAACAATATGTCACTGGTAGATCATGTGAAGTGGTACATGCTTCAATCTTAACGGTTCATTGCCGTTTGGTCCATAACTGGTTCGTCTAATTCCCAATTGGTCTATTCCCATACGGTCTACACCAAGCTTGTCTACTATCCACATGGTTTAAATATTCATTAAATCATAATTGATAATTATCATCAAATGATTATTTGACCTGATGAATAACCAGTAGACAAACTGGGTGTTAGACAAACTGGAAATTAGACTAACTGAGCAATAGACCAAATGGTTAGTAGAATTATTGTAGATTAGACCAAATGGAAATTAGACCAAATGGCTATTAGCTTAAATGGTCCTTAGACCAAGTGATAAGTAGATGAAATGATAATTAGACCATGTGGATAGGAGACAGGCTGTGTTGTAGACCATATGGGAATAGAACAATCGGGTAGTAGACCAACTGGTTGTAGACGAAACAGCAATTAACCATATCAACTGTTCCCGCCCAAATAGAATTACATTGTAGTTTCCACCTATTCATACTTGAAAAATAAACTCATGTGTTACTTCAATTGTTCCTGAAAATATAGATATTAGTTCCTTTCAGCTTCAAGCACCAATTCGCATATGACCATAAACTCCTGCATTACCTTTTCAACTCCTACCAAAACCAAATTCACAGTCACAGTTTGTGAATGTTTCACATTCTTACTCATTGAACAGCAGCCTTGTCACGTTTCTAAAATCTAGATCCAGGTTCCTGCTTTCCACAATAATGACAGAAAAGCAAACATCGATATTTGTGGTATAGCTGATTCCCAGAATTCTTAATTGCTTTGAAATTTGCTCATCCATGTACCCGGTAGATCAAAATTCTTTTTAATTTAATGGATCCAAACTAGAGGTGTCGTGGTTGAGTGGATATGTCACCGGACTGTCGATCACAAGGTCCAGGGTTCGAGTCCTGCCGAGGCACTAATGTCCTTTGGCAAGACATTGATCTACATTGCTGCCCACTCCACCCAGGTGGTGTAAATGAGTACCTGGCAGGAATTATTCCTTGAAATGCTAGAGTGCCGTAATGGCAGCCAAGCTAAAGCCGGGGTAATAATCAGGAGATCCAGGAGCGTCAAGTCTGACAGACATGAGCGCTATACAAGAACTCACTTTTATTAATATTATTATCCTCAAGCTTATAACAACATTTAATGACTTCTCAGTCCTAATGGGAAGGAAGAAAAGTGTCTTTATATAAAGGTGTTTTTCCGTACAAGAAATACTTGAAAATGCTCCCTCACATGTGTAAACAAAGAGAAAATTCATTGGAAACAAGACAAAAGGGTCTGTTGCAGGTGTTTAGGTAGAGACCTGTTGACGATGTTGCCCAAGATGTTTTTTTTTTTTTCATGGACCAAGAAAACCATTTGGGAGATAAAAGTGGTCCATAGTGAAAGCTAAAGAATTTTTCACGAAATCAAGAAATGATCTCGAAATGCAAATTACCAACATGTCATGCAATATGGATCTTCAAACAAAAAGAGAGAGAGAGAGAGAGAGAGAGACAGACAGACAGACAGACAGAGAGAAAGAGATTTGTAAATAAATAATAGGCTTTGGTCTATCCAAAATGTATGTCACACCAAAATGATAATCATATTGAATGGGATTAGAGATTTTGATTAGCAAATACAGCTTTACTGCAAGGTTGTTTGAAAACAAATATGTATTTTGAAAAGTAAGTATTCCTTGCACCCATGCATGACTCGATAACAAACAGAACAAGTGACTCGGCACTTTCCTTAAGTTTGCCTTGAGTTTGAGGTTATGGTCCAAGATATGTTCATTCTTTCTAACCATAAGTACTGAAGTCTGAAGGCTATGGGAACCATTACTTTAAAAGAGTTAGAAATTGTGACTATTTTGAGCTGTTTTGGTCTGTAGGGTTTGATTATATGTTCTCCGTGAAAACATATGAATAGAAAAATATACAGAGTTACTTTGGTGTTTAAAGAGCATTTTTCTTTTCTTTTCTTTTCCCTTTTTTCTTTTTTTCCTTTTGAGCTGTCAGTTATCCCTAAATCATCAATATTTCATCCACTTTATTGTGATTGAACAACAACAAACATAACAGAGATTTTCTTCACTTTTGCTTTGCAGTAGGACTCATGGAGAGTGTAAGAAATAGTTTGAAAGGTTGTGTTTGTTAGCCATAAAAGTTGTTGAACCAATTGAATTTGCCGTTTAATGAGGATAAATGATTTATTTGGTTGAAGAGTGTTTAATTGCTCGTTATTCGTGAAGTGTAGGGGATTATGGGATAGCACTTGTAATCACAGCGGGACTGGTCTCAGGCCCAGGACGTTGCCATTATACAAGGACAATGTACTTTTTATTTCTCTGTGAATTGTTCCTTCTCCCCCTTCTGTCTGTTTTTCTTTCTCTCTCTCTCTTATCTCTCTCTATCTCTTTCTCTCTCTCCCTTCACTTCTCACTTCATCTTTCCTTCATTCTACTCTCTTTACATATTTCCTTCTCTCTCTCTCTCTCTCTCTTTCTCTCTCTCTCTCTCTCTCTCTCTCCTCCCTCCCTCCTCTCCCTATCTTTCTCTCTTCTTTATTCGTCACCCTCATACTAAATTTTTTTTTTTTACTTTCTCTTTCTCACTGATTATCTTCTGTAATATCTTTTATAGATTATTTAATTATTTCTCTCCTATTTTCTTTTCTTACCTTTTTTGGTCTCATCGACCACATTTCAGGTTTTGTCTTCACATCCCTCACCTTTCCTTTCTGTGAATCTTTGAAAATATGAAATTTGCAGTAATAGATTAACCTTTCCTTTGTGTGTGAGTGGGTTTGGGGTTTTTGTGTGTGTGTGATTACTTTTATGTATGCTTTCTTGCAAACCTAAACTTTTTTCAAGCTTTCTTGAGAAATACTAAAAATTCCCACTTTTTACAAAACAATATGAGTACCGGGTAGAAGGCTTTCTCTATCTTTACTTCGCTCCCCCTCTCTCTCTCTCTCTCTCTCTCTCTCTCTCTCTCTCTCTCTTTCTCTCTCTTTCTCTTTCTCAATCTCTTGGGTAATCATTACGGGAGTGGCCACCAATGTATTAATCAAACAGAAAGAGAGGGTTGATGATGTCATATCTCTATTCTCTCCATTACAACCTGTGGCGGTGTAGCCTGAGTCCACCCGTTGAGCGGCACTGGAACTATTAGGGGTGCCTTCTTGGAAAATAAAGTGGGATTTACTATAAGCTACTTGTTGGGGGAAGGGTGCAGGAGGTCGTCTAGGCATCTTTTCTTATCCTCTCCCTTTCCCTTTCTTCCCTATTCTTGTCTTTTCTTTCTTTTTCTCACCATTTGATTGTGATGGGCATGTCTGTCCACCCCCTCCCCCCCCCCCCCCCCCCCCCCTCATTTGCTACTTTTAAGGAGAAAGTTGCAGGAGGTAGTCCATGTTTCTTTTTTCCTTTAATCCTTTTCCCCTTCTCCTTTCCTTTTTCTCTCTTTTCTCACGTTTTGATTCTTTCTACATTTTTCACCACTCAATCGGGAGGGACACCTTCTTAGCCCCCCCCCCCTCCCATGCCCCCTGTAGCTACACCAGTGATTAAAAAGTCTTTATAGAATCCAAACAAACAAATGGTCAACTGAAATACATTCATTGACTGAAAAGAGACTTACAATCTATGTTTCCATGCAATCCATAAAAGACTGAGATTTGGGGCTTAATTGGGCTCAAGGGGTTTTTGTCCCGTGGTGTGTAGATTTTGTAGTTTATTGTTGGAATGTAATGGTATTGAATTTGAAGTAGCTTGCCTTCCCTCTAGAGAGCGATTGAAGATAATCTTGTGTTGAGAAGTTATAATTAAGAAACAAACTTCACAGAATGGAACCAAATTCACACTGAATATCTTGAGCCTGCAAGTAAAATGAATGATATATTGAAGCAAACAAGACTGCTATGAAAGTTTTAATAGCCAATTAATGAGCAAAGAAAATCAATGAAATCAATTTGCAAGCAAGGTACCTTAATGGTACCTTGAACCATGGACTCACTAAGAAGTAGGTCCTTGCTTGAACTCTAGAACATGTAGTCCCATACATATGATGGTGACGATGAAGATTATTATGATGATGATGATGATGATGGTGGTGATGGTAATGATGTAGAAGATGAAGATAAAGATGAAGATGATGATGATGGGGATGATGATGGCAATGGTGGTGGTGACAGTGATGATGATGGTGATGGTGATGATGATGATGACGACAACAATGATGGTGATGATGATGCTTGTGATGGTGATCAGATGATGTAATTATTACAATGACTCTAGGCACTTCAAAATTGATTTTGAATTTTAAAAAAATATATATTCTCCTAAGAAGTGCCAAGCATCCGCACATGAAGCCCACACCATGAAATATATTCGCTTTATTAGTCCTTCAGGGTAACCCTTAAGAAATTGTTTAAATAGGTATTCAATGAACATGTCAATATCTTCTCTTATAGATAGTCAAATATTTGATCGCACTATGCATTAGTCAATGTTGGTCAAGAAAAAAAATGAAGGGGTATATTGCTAGTACCACCTTGTACCAGGCACGTTCAGTAATTTTCAGATCATACGTTGTATGTGTACGTCACTCGCAAACACCCCTACAATAGACCCGGCGATGCGACAAACATGTAGGTTGGTGGGCGTGATCTTGAAGGGTTTCCTACAATTCTTTTTTCTTTTCTTTTTCTTTTTTAAACATTTCTTGTGTTGTTGATGTCACCTTGCTAACAATAGGAAGTTAGGGCACTTTCGTTTTGGTATGATTCTTTAGGCTCCCTGCCAAGTAATTGGTCTCAATTATGGGTTTGATAGGGAGTTGGTCTGTTATGTTTAATAATGATAATGATATAAATAAGATTTAAAATCAAATACTCAAGGTACACTTATGCAAAGATGAAAGACATATTCTACTCAAATGTATATTTGAACAAATGAAAGAAAAGAGGGGAAAGAAAAAAGTATATCTTAAATCAAACATCTCCTTCTTAAGATTTTAAGTTTTATAATTAACACTTCAAATGATCTGCTTTTTTAAATGGAAAGGGAATGAGGGGTACTATCAAATGGGGAATTGGGGCTGGAGAAAAGAGTTTAGGAATGAAACATCTTCTTTTATAACCTTTTAGATATGCAGATATGATTTTTGAATTTTCAAATTCTTGGGGGCGCTGTGCTATTTGGAGTAAATCCAGTAATTCACCTACCTACATCATAGAGATACTCCACGAGGTGTTAATGTTCAGTTCAGTCTTTATTTCATTCTCAATTATAAAAAACTACTTAAACAACAAACCATTGCCCATAGGAAAACAATATAAAGCAATCACACAAAACAAACTATGAGAAAGAGTGGTCAACAAAAGAGAGCAAATAGTCTTATAGTACACATTGACCCCCAAATTAACAGGACATACCTAACTATAACAAACGGACAAATGAAGTAAGGAAAGAAAATGAAAGGGAATAAGATAAGGAGTTAAAGGGATGGAGATAACACAAAGGAGTTATTTGATGCAGTAGGTTGCAAGATCTTTACAAATTATCTTCAAGCCAAAGTGTGTCCCTAAATGCAAAATGAAAATTAGGATTAGGTGAACATTTACTGCAAATAGCAACAGAAGTAGTAAAGCATCATATCAAGAGAAAGAAGTTCATGTCAAAACACTTTTCCAATTTTTGTTCCTTGTCAATCTATATTATGGCACTGTCTGACCCTGCACAGAGAATTACGATCTAAACACATTGTATTGAATGCAACAAGTCATATAAATCAATGAAATAAAAAGAAAAATTGCAAAGCCTTTAATATTCTAAATCCAATTGTTTTCTTTCACTAAGGATAAGTTATTGAACCATTACCTGAAATGGCAGCTACAAAGGGGGTCATGCATGCTCACAGTTCATTATTAAATATGTGATTTTGTCATGAATTGTGACAACAAGATTAATGCAACCACTTATGTCTTTTGACAGCAAATAGCCGAGTTTATTGAGCCATTATAGTCTATTGATTGATCCTTTGTACTTTTTGAAGGTTTTTCTGTCCTTTTGAATTTTGATTTGCTCCCGTTGATCTTTTTCTTTTAGATTTGCAGCTTTGATAACATTCACATGGTCGATCAATTCTTGTCTATTATTCTATATGTATGCATGAAAAGAGAGTTGTGCCATTTCGTATCGGGTACCTCTTGTTATACTGTTTTCTTTGATATTGTATGTATGCCATGTCAATATAGTATATGTATTTATGCTTGCTCATTATTTCTTGCCTTGTAATGTATGTGAAGTCTGTATTTCCACTATATCCCCTCTATTATCCAATAGAGATCAAAGTTGGGTTTTTTCCATTGCTGAACTGGTGGAAATTTAATAAGAGAGTGAGAGAGAGGGAGAGAGAGGGGGAGAGAGACAGACAAGCTTATGTTTTATGCATTGTGCATTTATTTGAGAAGAGAAACAGCACGTTATTTTTAAATCTCTAAATAGTGAATCAGATTCTCCTTTTCTAAATCATAAAACAAATACATTACAACAATGTATGATTAACTGAACAACTAAACAAAAAATCTGAATGAAAGTAGTCTGCGAATTGCCTCAAAAATGATAAATACTAATTCAGTAAACATTCAATAATACAGAGCCACCTTAAAGATAAAAAAACAACTTCTATAGTCACTAAAAGCTTGAATTTACATTTGATAAGCAGATAAAGTACAACTGTTTTGGTGTAATAAAAAGAGTACATTTGCATGTATGTTAATACCTGTACTTTTCTGTGTCCATATGTTTCATACAGGAGGCTTAAAGGGGAAGTTCACCATAATATCAAGTAGGCTTTAATAGAAAGTTTATGAAATTTTCTGTTCAGAGCAAATTGGAGAGGAGCTCGCAAGATACGCCACAGTGTTGCCAATTTGTGTTTCACTGATGACAACTACCCTATTTTTAATGAGATGTTGGTCACTAAAGTGAACTTTCACAAATTTGTTTCTCTCATTTTTCTGCTTTTATTAAAACTAACTAAATATCAGGGTGGACTTTCCCTTTAATTGGATATCCCATAACTGTTTCTTTCTTTTTTCTTCCTACAGACCCAAGAAACGGCAGATTAAATACAAATAATGGTTTGCTGGATACTTCACCAGCCGGCTTAGAAGCACTATATTCAAGGGTGAGAATCCATTACTATTAATCTATTAAAGGGGTGTAGCATGACGAGACTACGTGTCTTTCCCGTGGCCTGACTCGGGGCTAATCGGGTATAATATGACTACGGACAACACGACCGCAGTATTCACGTGCGTGCAACATACGCGAAACCAAAGCGTGAGGAGAGCTTCGGTCTGTTTCGCGAATGCTAGTGTGCACTGACTGTTAATCAATTCCATTCGTTTACATGCAGTTGTCCAAAAGAAGTCGGCATTGACCAGTATTTGTCATGCTACACCCACTTTAAAGGTACTATGTCCCATTTGCAGGCCAAAAAAATGAAAAGGTTTAAATCCAACGGCATTTAAAGGTAAAGACCAGTATTGGAAACGCCCCAATTTCAAAAAATGAAATGGAAGCTCTCATTACCAATCATGTAAAAGAATATGTCTTGACTAATACATGATGATAAAAAATTTGCCGGGAAACCGCCTACTATTTGATATATTTGGTAAATTTGTTTCTCTCATGGTCTGTGAGAGATATAGGGGAGGGCTTGAAAATGTCTTTAAGTGGAAAAATAACGACTATTAGTTGTCGAATCGACTTGGGAGCTATAGAGCCAGTAAGTAATAGTCTGATTTTTCAGACCATTGTACCGAATGCTTGTACGTTTTATGCTGTGCAGAGATTCAATCAGTTTAGTTTTGGCCAATACATAGAAGTGGGTTATTGATATAGACAAATGCTCATGTACCCTTTACAGCTCATTTTATGTATGTTATTACCAAAGATCAAAAAAGACCAGTCAGTCACTCAATAGTGTCTGACAGTGAAGTCTAGCCAATTAACGGGTTTCCTTGCATAATTTGAATATTAGGACACTGCTAATGTTTAAATTTCACAGATAGGACATACATGACCTATTCATAATTCCTGCAAAGTTATACAGACTTTAATGTTGGCTGCAAAAGGGACATAGTATCTTTAACATGTGAAAATGATTTGTACGGATAGGACAATGTATTATTTTTAAAGTCACTTCGAAATGTTATGCCTTACTATTGACTCTTGAAAATTCAATATTTGATAGGAGTGTGTGGCATGAGTCTAAAATTATTCTCAGTGATCTGTAAAAATAATCAGCATGAAATTTGTCCATTTTAATCTCAACCTTATGTAATTTTGTAATTCTGCGATCATAACCAGTCATGTATCATATGCTGGCTTTGTAAAGATCTGATAAATATAATAATGCTTATCAGTAAGTATTTTGCCTTAAAGTCGGCTTGCTGAATTAAAATAGTCAGATGTAATCTGAATACAAGTTAAGGCATCTAACTTAGCTAAGTAAAATGTTAAGTAAAATACTGACGTAATCCAAATGATTGATGTTTCTTTACTCATCTTCCCCTCTCTCTGTGCTATGTTTACAGGTAAACCGAAGCAACCTGCAAGCACCTTCACGATTAAAGAAAGACAGTCTGGCGGCCATAGCGGTCCTGCTTGACCAAGAGGAAAATGAGTCTGACCTCCGACCCCTGGACAGTCCGCCCTCTGTGGTCATATCAAATCAAAGGACAACATTATAGCCCGTTCCGACCAATCAGAATGCAGTAATGCTTTGAAAAACATTATGGAAAATGACCAAAGAACAAGATTGCTAACTCAAAGCGAGTGGTGGTGATTTTAAATCTATGTTGAAACTTTATTTTCGAAAGTGGATGTGCAAGCAAAGGACGACATCATCAGTTGTGCAGATGTGTGCGTGATCATGTGACTGCAGCGCAATCGATGTGGAATATGGATCGAAGTTGGGCGCATGGAGCAGATGCGAGTCTACATCCCCAAGTTTGCTGGAATAATTTTCAGTATTTCATGTTTGTCCCACAAGCATACGATAGTGCCTAGTTTGATGAGAAAAACTTTCACAATGAATATGTGATTGCAGCTAATATTTTTTCAACCCAATTTTTCATCATACATATACATGGACACGTACGAAGGACTCCCACATGAATTATTCATCTACTCTAGATCGTCAGATGATTATATTTATTCTTTTCGTGCAAGCTTTGTCGTCGATAGTGATTTTCAAGAAAAACTGTTTCCAATTAACACAAGTTTCATTTAGATTCAGCCACAAACTAGAAATTATTTTCGAGAAAAGATGTATATTTGGGGGTTTTGTAATCTGTGAAAGAGATTAGACTGCTGATATTGATGACTCAACAGAATTGTTTGCTGCATTTAGTTTATTTTTCATTTTTACGATTTTAACATTTTCATTTTTACGTTTGATAATAACTCTGTGTTACTCAACGACATGTATTTGGTCACCAAATTTACTGGTCACATGCATATTGATTTGGTTGTGTTTTCTTTAAATTATTTTGTTAACTCTTTTGATAACAACCCATACTGTGTTATTGTTACGCTTTTGTCGGTTATATTCAGTTTTGCAGTGTCTATTGAAGAAAAAAATATCATACAATTTAATGAAAGGATATATAATATTTGTTGTACTATGGTAGAGTTTTTATTAACCTGTGCTGTGCTGAACAAAGTTTTTATGTGGGGCTTATGCATGTCAGAAATGGTTTGCTTTAACTGTTTAAGTCATAGGGTTTTTTGTTGTTGTCTTCTTTCACATGAGAAGGAAAACAAGTGGCTGAATGGTGCAAGTACACAATATAGTAGGCTGATATATTTATTTAAAGTGATATGATGACACACAAAAGGATATCAATCTTTTTTTAGGCCAATCTTTTTGTTGCATCTCTCTGTCTCTGTCTCTCTGTCTCTGTCTCCCTCTCCCTCCCTCTCCCTATCTATCTCTCCGATCTTTCTTTTCTACTTTCTATTATTTGTCTTTTTCACCCTGTCCCTTATTCTGTTTCTCCCCTCTTTGTGTGTATCTATTCTCTATCTCTCTCTTTCTTTCTCTCCCTGCCTCCCTCCTTCCCCCTATAAATCTAATAATCAATATTTATTTCAGGACAAAGTTAAAGCAATACATCAAAAGTCTTGAGCATTCTATGCAAAGTTGAAAATTCCAAAGTTCATTTCAGTCTTTCAGATATCAAATTTAGACTCTTATATAGATTGCTAGCAAACTTTAGAGAACCTAACTCTAATGGTTACAAATATATTGTCAGCCATTTTGAAGAAAAAAATTCTCCCCAGTAAATAAAAATTCATATTATCCCATTATTTGAAGTACCACTGAAAAGCAAGAATTGTAATTCAAAATATATTGGTCATGTGATGAAATTTCTTAAAATCTCTTTATTTAGAAAGAGCTGGTATTCGTAAAGTAAATATCTTACTATTTTTATTGTAGTTAAGAATATATTGGGCTGAAACCTTATTGAAAGATATGTGATTATCATTATTGTTCATATTGATACATTATATGATGCATTTTCACAATTGTATTCAAAGACAGTATTTCTTGTGTTGTATACAATTCTATAAAGTTAAAACAGATATTTTAAAATCATTTAATTTATAGATTTGTTAAATTCCAAAAGTTGTCTTTCAGTGAAACTTATCAATGCCACAATTTACACACTATGGAGGCTGATATTTTTGTATTTCATATAAATCTGTGTCATTGACGTTTTCATACAGAAACAAATTACAAGTGCAGTAATTTATACAATAGTTGTAATAATTGTGTAATTTTTACATTACTACTACTGAAACTATTATTAAATGAATTAGTTTTGATGAAAATTTCAGAGTATTGCCAATTTCAAAAGCTCTACACTATTTTTATAAAACTAATCATGTAGTGAAATGAAAAACTAATGTATTGGTAGAAAATAGATGAAATGCTACTAATACTTATTTAGATACTAGAATTAAATGAATTGTTCTTATATATATATATATATATATATATATATATATATATATATAATGTATGTATGTACTTAGCATCTAAGTTGTGTTTGAAATAATGTATGCTTTAAACGAATGTAGTACAGTCTTAATTTTTACTTGCCATCTGTATATAAGGTACTTTTGAAAACATATGCAAGAATGTGCTTTATAATATTGTACAATTAAATACTGATTTTGTATCATATCTTTGGTATTTTATTGTTGTGTCTTTTGTGTCAGTGTGTTGATCATTTTATGCATTCATGACAAGCTTCAATTCGAATATTGTAGTAGCAGCCCCTCCCCCTTATTTTAACACCATCTTTATAAAACTATATTTCAATTTTGTTAATTCCGATTTGTAGTACTGATTATGGTATTCACTTTAGAGACAAACTAGATTTAATTAATTTTTAATTGTTTATTAATTATACAAATTATAAAAGACTTGTATTTTAGTACATTTTGTCATGGTTCTCTGTATCAAAGTTGGCTTGATTTCATATATTTCTTCTTTCTTTTTTTTTTTAAATTCAGTTTACTATTCTTTTACCAAAATTTTGGTGCAGATATCATTTATTGGTGTTCTTGGACATTCACTGCAAATTTCGTTTCCCATCAGATGTTATTTCCTTTATTACCATAACTTGGTAGATGAAGTGTCTCCATAAAAACGCACCTTCGTCTTACAAAACATAAACATAACTTTGTCATTTTAGCCCAAATCCTCATGAAATTCACAATACTACTACAATATTACCTACAAAATTCAATGAGGATGATCGAGTATTCTTTAAGATATTGCCAATCAAAGATCTTATTGCATTTTGAGACATTTCGTATTTACCTTAAAAAATGAAAACACGTTCTCCATTTTTCAACTCTGGACAATTGTAGGGTGGGCTCGTACCAGCTGGTACCCAGAACACTGGGTCCTGTTTCATAAAACCTGCTTTCAATAACAAGTTACAAATTGCTGTTATAAGCTACTGACATCGCGGCATTTGATTGGCTGAGAGCAAATTCGTCATAGAAATTCAGCATTTGTTATTGATAACGAGTTTTATGAAACGAGACCTTTTATTCATAAACATTATTTTGTATGGAACCACTGAAGTGAAAATAGACAAGGAAAAGGTCAGGCACAAAATTAACAAAACGATGAACCGAACCATGACGTGTCAAAACTGACGTTACTTGAAATTTATGAAATCACGTGATAAGAATAACTTCATGGCATAGTCCATGGAAAATAACTGCATTTGTTAGGTTTATGTTTGGTTTTGTTGTTGTGATTGTGAATGGTTTTGCTGTTGTTGTTTGGTTGATTGCTTTTTTTAGATGAAGATAATAAAATTTATGACTTATGAAGACATAATAATTTCATGAGTGTCTGAACAGGCAAACAATCTGCAAGTTCATTAGGAGGTGTCTCATTTTGGTCATTTTCTGACTGTTTCTGAGAGTTATCTTTTCCTTTTTCCCGACAGTTATCTTACCTCGTGGATTAGGATGCGAGAACACCACCTCCCCCCCCCCCCCCCCCCCCTCCCCCTCCCCACAATTTTATTCATATTTCATTCAACAATTTCATAGTGAATTCATTGGCCCATGTTCTGCTAATCCAGTCAAGCCCAAATTGGTTTAAGATCATATTGAACAAAGGGAAACTTAGACACATAAAATTTCCTTGATAAACCCGATTTGGAACAAAAGCTTAAACTCAGCGTCGCTCTATATAGTGTAGAAGAATACGGGTCTTTGATTAGAAATAAATACAATATCAATCAAACTTATTTAAGGCAATACGAATGAACCTATACTGGAAAACGCAGGTGACAATGGCTGTTAGCTTATCAATGAGGGGCAAAGCAAATACTCTTTGTTTTATGTTTTCTGAAACAATACTTCATGTAAAAAACAATTCACGCTGTTAGAAAAGCAAATGTGTGTGACGACACATTGCCTTTTTTTGTTTTGTTAAAGCAAATGTGTGTGACGACACATTGCCTTTTTTTGTTTTGTTAAATTGAATTGATTTGAATTGAGGTGTTTTACGTCATTGGCAGAAAGTCCGTCCACCTGCCTCGGCGCGCCTACTCCCGAGTCTACGCACTACGCATGCGCAGTGAATTGGTGAACTTTCAACCAATCGCCGGTCGAGTATCCCGTCGAGTATGGAGCGCTTTGTCTTCATATTCTTTTCAAAAGTCAGAGATAATCAAAAGAAGACGAATATTGTCGCTTCAACTCGCTTGAATGTGAACATTATGTTTGATGTATAATCACATACATGAACAAGGAAAATGCATGGATAGTGTTTTCATTTTTATCATACTTCAATATTATTCTCTTATTGATTTTGTAGTTAATCGTGATGTTATAGTGGCTGAATATGGTAACTCGTTCAACGGAGACTTGCATGCATTTTCCAGGTGGGTCGAAAATGTATATCGACCTGTTTAACCAGAAAGAAAGATTGATGGCGTGATTTAAAGACACATAGTGGTGGGTTCTCATGGGGAATTCGACACCATACGGGTGTTTACCCAATAACAAAAGTTGTCAATCACCAGGATTAGCCTTCAGTTTTATGTCCAACAGGCCTTATGTAATGTTCTGCATTTTCCACCCATCCCTCATAATGGTAAAGTCATTACCTTACATTTGCCTCACCTGAAGACTCTCTGAGTGACTAGGGGGTACTTCTTGACGGGACTACGGGTTTGCTGTGTGCAAGACGTGTACACCCATTAATGGTATTTCCACCAAGATTGGTGTCAGCGATTCATGGCCTTCTGCACATGAAAATTGACGACCGTCTCCCTTTAAAAGGCTTCTGATGGCTGAACTGGCAATCGCTTTAATTGATTTTTCAAGCATAAAACATGATGTAATTTGAAAGCGATTGTGTTTGGAACAAGGCATAATGAGGAAAATATTATGAAAACAAAACTATTTACGTAGCAACAGCATGCTCCTTGTTCGGAACATAATTACGAGGTATTGAATAATGCACTAAGGTGCCTTGTAGTACCATGGTACCAACTTTCAGGGGGGAGGGGGATTAAAAGAACTTGGGTTCGTTAAAGAAATCGCATGAAAAGACTTTGTTAACGAGATGTAAACCACCTTGGGGAACCCGTGGGAAAGAATAGGCAAATGAAGCGGTTGAGACCCCGGGAAGGTCGGGGTGAACTTCTTCAATAGCTCGCTTATCCGTACCTGCTGCTTTCCGAGGACTATTTAAATAAACCTGGGACGAAGTAAGACCCAGTCTCTGTCTGGATTTGCACGAGAGTCGAGATCTCAGGGTTATCGTCTGGATTTTTAGGATAAGTATAGATTGCAAGCATTCTGCAAAAGCATTTTAAGGCCGGATGAGCTCCGAGAGCGGGTGTTAATTGGACCAAAATTCAAGATCGCTTTCTAGAGTTCGGCTCCACAAGATTTTCCGGTCCTTTTTGGTGCTTGAGGTTTAGGCGTAAGTAAGACTACTTAATTCCATTTTCAATTTTTCGTATAATATTCTAAATTACGTCGAAAATTCGTTTGGCCCCTCCTTTGAGAGAAATAAATTCACGACTTTAGTAAATACACTTAATAATGAGTTACCAAAATTATCCCTTTGTTTTCAATGCAATAAGTTATCCCTTAATATAAATAAAACAAATTTCATGTATTTCAAGCACGCAAATTCTCATGTCATTGACTTTCCTTACAAAATAATTATAGATAATGTCCCTCTCGAAAGAAAGAGAACAAAAAAAAATCGGGTGTCATTATCGATGAAATCTTAACTGGAATGAACATATTCGTCATATCACTACTTGTATTTCTAGGAACGTTGGTTTATTATATAAAATGAAGAAATTAATCCCATGTTATACGCTTGTTACGCTTTATAATTCATTGATATTACCGTATATAACATAGTGCAATTTAGTATGGGCCACCAGCGCCAAAACCAGAATCAACTCTATTTATTTATTGCAAAAGAAAGCCCTTCGTATATTATGTACTTGTTCACCATTTTTATCTCACACAAGTCCAATATTTTACAAACTGAAAACCCTAACAGTATTCGACATAACTTCGCTACAAAGTTTAAGTATTTAAATAATATGCTCCCTCTTTCATTTTTACACTATGAATAAAGCTATTCAATCTTAATTCCGTAATTCCTAAAATTTTGATCTAGTAAACCCGAAATTACCTATTGTCCATGGATCCATAAGACACCATGGTCCTGACTTATGGAGCTCTCTCCCAGAATCTATTAAATCATGTTGTTTCCTCTACTCATTTAATGTTTTAATGTTATTATCTGAATGATCAAGGTAGAATTTCTGTGTCAACTCTTTATTCCTTATCATGTCATCTCTTCTTTCATTCGAATCATTATCACCATCGTCATCATCATCATTATCATCATCATCATCCTCATCATCTTCTTCATCATCATCATCATCATCATCATCATCATCATTATCACCATCGTCATCATCATCGTCATCATCATCATCATCATCATCATCTTCTTCTTCATCATCATCATCATCATCATCATCATCATTATCACCATCGTCATCATCATCATCATCATCATCATCATTATCATCATCACCATCTTCTTCTTCATCATCATCACCATCATCCTCATCTGCATCACCATCATCGAAATTTGTATTTTCAATTACCTATCCGTTTCTGCATAATAAATGTTTTAATATATTTCATGAGTTTTGTCTGGGGGTGTCGTATCATCAAGCAATTATGCTTACAACGACAGTCCTTTTTCCGCAAATAATTTTATAATGTGTACAAATGTTTGAGGAAATTTAGTATTTGTGACAGTTTATCATTTCGTTTTTTAAATTAACATTTTACATATAGGCCTATATGTATTTGCTAATTTATGATTCATTGTCAGAAAAGTACTTTAAAAAAATGCAAACTTACATGAATGCAGAAGAAAATCAAAATCAAATCAAATATTATACTTAGGAATATTATCTTGTTCAAATTATTCTCTGATTAGATATTTTTATATAAATGTATAAGAAGATGGCTTTGTCGGTCTCTGAATGACCTATTATTTAGTCTCCCTCTCTCTCTCTCTCTCTCTCTCTCTCTCTCTCTCTCTCTCTCTCTCTCTCTCCCCCTCTCTCTTTATCTCTCTATCTCGAATGTAACCCTCCTTTTCTCACTCATCTTGTTTCCGTTTCTCTATCATCTTTCTCTCTGCCTCTTATCTTTATAACGACGTCTCTGTGTGCGCATTCTTCTCTCCTATTTTACCCTCTTTTACCCCAGAACGTCCATACACAAGTCAAAAGATAAACCTCCTATATTGATGAGGAGAGCATGGCCTGTCGTGATCGCGTAACCATGATCGCCTACGTGTTGTTGCTGGTGGTCGCCTTCTCGACCGTCGACGCTATGGACTTTTTCTCCAACTTCGATGGCATGTTTGACGACCCCTTTATGCTCATGTTTCAGAGTAAGTGAAGCCATCATCGAATCATTTATGAATACATTGACGAAATTACTTTTTTTTTTCATCACCATCATCACAACCATCATCACCTTCTCATTCATCGTTATAATCATTATTAATAATGATCGCACATCATTATCATCATTATTGTTATCATCATTATCATCATCATCATCATCCTCAGCTATCATCATCAACAACCATCATCATACATCATCATGTTTACCATAATCAAGCCTACCAATCACCATCGTTGTCGTCATCATTGCCATCCCTACAATCATCATCTTCATTATTATCACTATCATCCTCCTCTTCACATCCATCGTTTTAATTATTATTAATAATAATCACCAATCATCATCTTCATCATCATTACAATTATTATTAATAATAATCACCAATCATCATCTTTATCATCATCATCATATTCATCATCATTACAATTATTATTGATAATAATCACCCATCATCATCGTCATCATCTTCATCATCATCATCATCTTCATCAATATCATCATTATCATCATCGTTATTATTATTATTCCTACCATTGTAATCATCATCATCATTACTTTCATCAATATTTTCGTATCAATCGTTATTGCTATTTTTATTACTCATCACTATCGCCATAGTCATCATTTTTTTTTTTCTTTAGGCTTCGTCATTGTTTTGTGTTATAATTTCAAGGGAGGGGGTTATTACCATAAAATTTATTTATTCAAACTAATTGAGTTGTGTATATTGTGTACTTTATATGTTATGTATTTGAAATAAGTTGCATAATGTACATGTATTGAGTGAATACGATAAAGAATACTACAAAAACAAAACAGTATGATTACAATCTACATCATTAATTTTCTTCCATCATTATGTCCAAGTTAAATTATTTGATCTTACCGACCAAATATCTTGTAAAATCTACTTCGTTATAAGCAAATGCACGAAATAATATACATGTACAACAAGACCAATTATGTTGTTTCATGAAATGCCATCATATTTTTGTCGGGAAAAGAGATAACAATTGGACTCCTTTTTTCCCTGTAGATCGGTCGACCTGTGGGCGTCGTACCGTTGCTTCGACGATGACGGGCCCGACCACGCAAGCGGGCGATGGTACGGAGCACGAGGTGGTAGCCGGCGAGTACCCGTGGCAGGTCGCCCTGTATAACGGCGAGATGAAGCTATGCAGCGCCGTACTCATCCACGAGCAATGGTTGCTGACTGCCGCAAGTTGTATGTAAGTTTGGACTTGAGAAATATTCAAAACTTTTAGAACTCTGTTTATCCGTTGTCCTTAATTTCCTACTTATTATTGTATTAAATTAAATTAATTTACTGGTATTTCTCTATGTTTGTTTTAAAAAGAAACATAATGAATAAATGTTATTTTCCCTTACAAAAAATTTCAGTCTTTTCATTCAATTTGATTTTATTTCATTTCATATTTCACATAAAAGACAATTATAATATTGAAACCTTGAAACCTTTAAATGATCACTTTCAGCAGCTCCTAAAGGCTATCCCGGGAATAGGGAGTATTTTATCAATCTAATGTCTGCCTACTCTACATTAAGTTGAGAAATTGAGATCAAAATGAATAGGCTGAAATGTAACTACCTCCTTTACAGTCATTAGTGAAACGTATACAAAAAAATATAATAAGTTGAAGTACGCATCCCTGAGGAAACACTACACTCGACATTTGAATATTCATCATAATCTGTATAATTGTTTATCTTAAATTTGTTTTACTTCAAGACTTCATTTTAATAAAATGCGTGTTTGAAAGATGGCAATCGCTTGATAATAATCACGATAGCAACTCCTCGATTAAGAGTAAAATCGTCCTGGGTGTGAGGATATCCGCTGGTGATTGTCCTAGGGGAGTGATTGTCCTGGTGTTTACCTATACAACTGATCACCGGACTACTATCTCGGGGAGTAGTTGTCCGGAATGGTAGTCGAGAGATCAGTTGTCCTAGAAATTAAACAAAAAAAAGATATGCCTTATGCAACTCATTATTTCCTCGTCGATCTCAGCCCGTACTTAAAGGAACCATACACGGTGATCGCAGGCGCTATCTCACTGCTCCATTCCGACGATGATACCGGCAATGATGACGGTAGTCAACACACGCAGAGGAGAATGACGTCAGAAATCTACATACATCCTGGATACGATGCCCGACGAATGGAGTCGGACATCGCACTCGTCAAGGTCATGATTCCTTTCGAGCTCAATGATAACGTCAACGTCATATGTCTGCCGAATCCCAAAATGCATCGCGACTTCCGCCCAGGGTCCAAAACCGGAATAGCGGGGTGGGGTCACTTACCCCCTGTTACTGGTATGCTTTGACTACTTGTTTTGGGACGGGGTCTATGTATATATTTTTACGTTCTCGAGATATTTTCGAGATAAATCGGAGAAGGGGCTTTTCATCATTCCCTTTCCAATCGTATCAAATGATTTTATAAATACTATGAATAATATTCAAAAACACTTTTATGGTGCTTTTGCTCATAGATTTTTATAAATTTAAATGTTTTTTATATTCATTAGTTATATGTAAAAGTTATTGCATTTTAACAATAGGTTGATACGAGTGATATAGGAAAACACTGAGTGAGTTGCTTTGATATAGTAATTATGTAAAATATGGATTATGTTATGAACAATTTTTTTTTTTAATCCTTAATAGGTTTCTCTTGGTGAGGAGCAAAAATATTGAAACCATTGATGGTGAAATGCCCACTTACCCTTCATAAAAATAGATCGAGTGACAGAAATTTTCGAATCTTTTCTTTCTTAAAGAGCGACCAGGGATGTGCCCCAAACCCACGGGTGACATCCTGAACGAGTGCGACGTCGAAATGTGCGAGACAGACGCCGAGTGCTCAGAAGGAGAGAAATGTTGCCGCAATGGCTGTGACGTCATGACTTGTATGGAGGCTTCACGTAAGTTATCTAATGTATCATGTAGATCTGAGCTGAATTGAATTAATTTGAATTTATTTCCTCCTTTTCATTCAAAACAACATTTATAGAACATGAAAACAAATATTTAAAAACAATATCATGGTAAAACCAAATGTAGAGATAAAACAAGATTAATATCAATGTGGGGGATCATAAAAAATTGGTACAACTTGTAAACATGATCCCATTAACATGAAAACCAAATATACAACAAATTATGTCTTGTTTGTTTGTATGTAACATGCTTGTTTGTTTGTTTGTTTTGTGTGTAAAATGATATTTTAAAAAATAATGTCAGCATAGTTCCTTTACGAATGACTGTCTAAAGCCATGGAGCTACTCTATGCTAAAGCACACCATATGGCAACGAAAGGTGTTCCCCGTCTCATCGTTCGTGCGATTTTTTTTTTCTTCTTCACAATGATGATACTAGTGACAAGGTAACATGCTACATCGACATGGTTACTTGTTTTGGATTTGAATCAAATATCAAATCTCCATCTGAGTTCGTTTTTACTCATATTGTCTTAGCGACCATTCGGTTCTTCCCAGTTTCTTAAAAACAAGTACAAGCAATACAATGTACTCTGCAATCCTTCCAACACCCGAATAAGGTGTCGAGGTTAAGCGGATACGTCACCGGATTGTGAATCACATGGTTCGCGGTTCGAGTCTCGCTGCGACGCTATGTCCTTTGACAAGATATTAATCTACATTAGCCACTCTCCACCCAGGTGTAGTAAATGGGTGCCCGGTAGGAAGAAATTCCTTGAATGCTCTAGCGCCCTATTATGGCAGGTACAGCCGGGTAATAGTATGATACCTTATATTAAGCGCAGTAGAGTATATTCATTAAGTAGCTGCGCTATATAAACTGACCTATTATTATCATTAATATAAAAGCCATCAAGTAACAAGGGGACTAGGAAATTGTGATATCGAGTATAATTAAAATAGAGTAATGTATGCCGAGAAATTTAACAATTGTTACAATTATACTCCTTCCTCTCGTTTCGCACAGCTCCTGGACCGGGGCCACGCCCTGGTGCTCTCATGGGTGGGGTTATCCCCCTCATCAACCACACCATGTGTAACCAAACAATGATGGGAGCGATCCCAAAGGGGGTCATTTGCGCCGGGCCTACCCCTATGAAGCATGAGGGTGGGGGTAAGGAGATGATGGAAGAAGGGGGCATCGTGGCTCTTTTGAAATGGAAGAGAGAGATGAGAGAGATGGTAAGGTTTTTTCTTTGTGATATGAAGCATACGATATCAATTAATTTTCATTATTTAAAGCCCGTCTGCACCAGTTTGGCCAGGAGGGATTAGACCTCCCTGCATGGTCACTGACAGGTGGTTATCTCATCAAATCAGCTCTCACTTAACATATGAAAAAGAGGATCATGGGAGACCAATGGTCACCGATTAGGCATTGTTCGCTATAGCTATAAGTAGTGCAGTGGGACTTTAACACAATCAAAACTATTTTCGAAAACTCAACTCAAGGGCAATTATTATTACGTAATACCTTATTGTCATGTTGACACCTTTTAATGGATGACGCACAAGGTTATTGAAATGACCTCAGTATGATTTTACAAAAGTAGTTGCAAATCTTGTAATTTTATAAATTTGTTAGTTTGTAGTTCATGTCGAAAAGTAAACACATGGATATTGGCTATTGAAATCGACTTACACCTAACATGCATTTTTTTACACTGTATTTTGTTCTTCTTAATCTATATTTTGGGAAGGGGGGGGGGGGGTCAGTGGCCCATAATCATTTTTAAAACCATGAATAGGAAGAAAACCACGAAAAAAAACAAAAAAGAATCATGCTAAAAAGACATTTTAAGTATCCTGTAATTCATGATATTCTCTTCCTAATTTGTTTCGTAAGAAAGTTTCTAAAATTTCTTCGATTGCAGAATATACTGATCTGTTTTCCTTCTATCATTCATCTACGGTGGTAACCATTCATCTCTCGAATATAATGATATTTTTTCATAAAGGAACAAAGAAACGGCGACGACACCGACGATGATGACCGGAATGTTCTGTTCCGTGGCGTCGATTTGGTGCAGACGATGTCTCTCATCGTGAAGCGCATCGAAGGGTCCGATGGCAGTGCCGACGCCTACGGAAGACGACAGAGCGGGGTGTGGTCGATCGGTATGACGGGCGAAGTGATGCGATCACGAACTGTAAGCGACGGCGATGACGATGGTGATGATGGGATGGAGGATGGATGGATGAAGGAAGGAATGGAAGGCGAGGTCGACGATGTCGAAGGAGCATGGATGGGTGACGGAATGGAAGGCGGGATGGAGGATAAGATGAAAGAAGACGTAAGAGCCACGAAAGAGAAGATGATGATGACGATGATGAAAAAGAATTGCAGGGTGAGTCTTATTTGATGTCCATTTCTATACAGTGATGACTAATGATTATATACAAATCAAGCTTAGTTCACTGGGACATTTCTCTGATTTTCATTTAAAAATTTACCATTTAACTTCTTGTTGGACTGAAATTTCTTCAGAAGACTTTTTTAAAGATCCGAAATTTTCTAGATAAAGCAGTTAATACCTTGTAATTGTGTACATCGGTAGAGAAAGGTTTCTAAACGATTCAACTGAAGCAATACTTTTTATATGCATATTTTGGGGGAAATATATCACAAGCTCTCAAACAAATAGTCATTTTCCATCACCCCAATTATTTCAACTGTTTTCCCTTATCCTCATGATTTCTTTCTCTCTGTCTCTGTCTGACCCTGTCTTTGTCTCTGTCTCTTTCTTTCTTTCTCTCTCTCTCTCTCTCTCTCTCTCTCTCCTCGTATCTGTCCCTCTTCCCTCTGCTTTTCTTCCTTCCTTCCTACTTTTTTTTCTTCTCTAAAACGATTTTTTTTTTAACCGCCCCTCTCCTTTTTTGATCGCTCTCCCCCCTCTCTCTCTCTCTCTCTCTCTCCCCGTCTCTCTCCCTCTCTCTCCCCGTCTCTCTCCCTCTCTCTACACATTTTCGTGATGCCCATACCAACGCTTGTTCTCTTGTTTTCAACAACATCTTATGACAGGGGGACTTGGGCAGTCCGCTGGTAGCCGAGTTAGAGGGGCGGTCGTACCTTTTAGGGGTGACCACCCTCCCCCGTGGGTGTCTCTTCGGGGCCTCCCCGGGTCTCTTTACCCATGTCTTCAACCTGCATGAGTGGATCCGACCGATCTTCAACAGAAAAGAACCAAAACGAAGTACGTAATTTGGATTTGTATTATTATTATTACTACTAAGTATTTGGCGTCACATGTGCCTGGGAGGCGAAAAGCGAACTGAATCTCTATAACCCTCGGGTCTCTCCTCCCGGTATAACTGCTTGTAAGTGTGCAGGTGGACTACTACACTGGGGTTTCCCCCTACTCTGATACGAATAGTGCAGTGGGTTCTTAACGTACAAAGGTGGTGACTCTCCTCTACACGGGGCCTCCATTTAATGTCCTATCCGAGGGACAGGATATTTAGGGGTTGTGTTACCATCGAGGCTTATGGTTATAGGTATCTAGTGTTGGGTCCTGGATCGATGAATCGAACAGTTTTAAGAATAAATCAAGTATATCATGCAGTCGGAACCAAGAGATACTCGTTCTGCTTATTTTACCTAATGGCACTATTGCAAAATATTTTTAAAAATCAAACACAGGCCAAGTTCGAAACCGTTTCGTATTGTCCGTTAAAACAAAATTGTGTTCGGATAATGTCATCATACTTATCTACGGGTGATGTGCGCTGCTATCGAATTTATATTTGGTGTCACAAAAGTCTTTCCGATGGCGTTCCTTAATTCGTCTACTGTGCGCAATACAGCTGTAACTGCTGTAATGCCTTCTTGCGCCCAGCCGACGCGACGAGGTCGCGAAGATGGTGCCTTTGCCAAAAGAAAAAAGAAACGTTGGGTCCTTTGGCAAGACAATGATCTACATTTGGCACTCTCCACCCAGGTGTTAAATGGGTACCCGGTATGATGCGAAAACCAATGTAGTATTCTTAGCAATTTGAGCCTAGTAGCTCTTGCTGGAATGCTCCCCATGGAGGGGAGAACAGGCATACATTGTGTGCAGGCAAGCCAGAATCAGATGACAGGGGGTAATAACTGTAAAGCGCTTAGAAAATCTGACTTGCCGATGCATAAAGCGCTATATAAGCAGAAATATTATTATTATTATTGTTTTCTACAATATAACTTGTATAGCATTGATATCAAATTTATTTGAATCGAATTCATACCTTTAATTGTCTGTCCCGGGTTTTTTTTGAAGAGCGAACGATGTGTACGGCTGGAGAGTTCTCCTGCGGCGATGGTTGGTGTATACCTGAAGAGTACAGATGTGATGGGAAGAAAGATTGTAAGCTGGGTACAGACGAAGGACAATTCTGCAGTAAGTAGCTTTAATCTTTCCCATCTTTTATTATATATATCTCCCTCTCCCCCTCTCTCTCTCTCTCTCTCTCTCTTTCTCTCTTTGTCGCTTTGTTTTCTGTCAGTGGTTCTGTGTCTTCCTCTCGGTCAATTTTATGAGTAGTTTGTCTGATATATGCAAAGCAATATTAATCAGTTTTGGTTTCGTGTTATACCCAAGAAATAGCTGATAAAAGGAACGACTTTTGTTGAAAGAACCTTACAGCTATTGACAATGTATTACAGCGAGACGATGATATATTTTATTTTTCTTTCTTTTTTCCTATTTTTTCTTCTCCTTTTCCGGACCTATTTAGTAGAGCAAAGCCATTAATTGATCTGAATAGATCAATGCAGCCGTATTTGTTGATGTTCATAAGTACGTATTAAACTTACATGTATGTTGTTTTTTGTTGTTGTATAAACTGTTATACGGAAAATAAAACCAAACCAAACCAAAATTTCTGAGTTTAATATGTACCTCATGTAGACATTGTGTCGTCATATCAATTCCCCTCTCGACATCGTAAGTCGACACTTCCTAATGCGATCTGAACACCTTGTCCACCTTTTCAGAGGGAGCTATGAAGGGGTTCAACATCTATCTCGATCAACACCTCAACCGGTCGACGGTCGCCCGGCCCTTCCCCGTGACGTCTTTCTCCCAGTGTGCTCAGGCTTGCCTGATGGAACCGTACTTATGCCCGGGGTTCGATGTCATCCTCCTGCCTACAGAGGCGGACTCGCCACCCATCGTTTCTAAACCCTCAACCGACGACGGCGGCGACTATGACGACGACGATGGTGATGACGATGTTGACGATGGGACGAAAGATGTACCCTACGATGTGGAGGATGAACGTGGAGATAAGATGCCAATGATGATGGACGGGATGACGATCATGTGCTTGCTTGCGAATTCAACGTCGAGCGTCGTCGGAAACAAAGGCAAAGACATATCGATTAGCCGTCTGAACAAGGCCATGATGGGGAAGATGCCATTGGCAAAGCCAGTTTATTTGCACTTCAAGCTTCCAAGACATGCTCCTTTAGCAGGTATATACTTCGAGTAAAATACTCGAAGGAAAGATCCGTCAAACTATCAATCAACGTTTCTTTATTTTTTTCTATAGAACATAAATGGAATCTTAATTATGAATTCCTTATCCTAACACTAACCCTCATAAGTCTTCTCCCCGAACCTAGTCACAATCCTTATGCGGACCCAGCCGTAAACCATAAACCTGAATTTCAATCGTTATCCGCGCCCTTCTCAAAATCATAAACAAACCTTAACCTTAAACCCTAACCCAAATCTTAACCCTTACCTTATAAAACCAAGGAAGTAAATTTGTATGTGTTTGCCCTTATATTTCCGTAATCGGGACAGTACGACCACGACAAACCCTTTGATGGGTTAGATTAAATCGTTTCTTGATGAAGTGGTAAAAAGCGAAACAGTGTCATAATCGGAAGTTTTTATGTTCGTCTTTGCAGCTCTCTTTTCTCCTATCATGAATCTGTATCTTCCAACTGGGCTCATCGTTTCGCCATCCTACATCCTTGGTCACGACCTCGCCGCTCTCCTAGAAGACAAGTCGATGGCACTCCGCTTCATCAAGAAACTCCTAATGGAGGACCTCGTCCAAACGAGCTGCATCTTCTGCTTCATGAGTCATCCACGCTGGGGTGCCGTCCGAGAGATGGAGGAGAGGGTGAAGATGATGCGTGAGGAGGCAAAGAATGTGTTGGGGGTGATGATGGACGAAGAGGGGGCAGGTGGAGGGGATGGAGGGATGGAAGGATACGTGATGAGGGTTAGGGAGATGAAGATGCAGATGAGGCAAATGGCGAGGAATTTCACCAGGGTGATGAACGGCATGCAGGCGGACTGTGACGTCATGGATATTAAAAGAGGACTGATGATGAGAATCAGAAGGATGATGGGGAACGCATCTTGCGATATGATGGGGGAGGATGGGGACATGGTAGACGGGGAGCTTCGGGAGATGGAGGGCGGGGAAGACAAAGAGAAGCCGGATAGCGTGATGGCGGTTGTGATGGAGATGATGGAGGAGCTAGGGGAAGTGATGCCGGATCTACTGATGGAGAACATGTACCCTGAGCGGGATGGGATGATGACGATGATGGAGATGGGCCTTGGTGTTAAGATGATGATGGGACGGGGGAGCATGATGGGGGATTCCTGGGGCATGCTGGGAAATGGTGACGTCATGTCGTCTTTCCTGACGGAGAAGGTCGAGACGATGATGGGGATGGACCCAGAGGACCTCGCCCAAAATGTTAATACCAGTAAGCTGGTGACGATGATGACGAGGGAGGTCGTGATGATTGGTCACGCCCTAGCAACAGAGAGATGCAACCAAGGAAACATGACATCGGGCGACGCCCAAGAGGGATGGACGCCTGCTATGGATGCTGACATGGACGCGGATGACATGCCCGAAGCAAACACGTTTGATACGATGAGGATGAAGGAACTTGGAATGAGAGCCAAGGTTGGGCATCAGAAGTGGTCCATCGCTCTGTCTCCTCGCCAAGTCAACACCGTAAACTTCAGGGTCCTTGACGTGAGGGGACCTATGCGCGGGGGCGGAAATATCGGCAAGGGCTTCGGGATGGTTGTTGCGAGAGGACTCGGAGGCGTTCCCATGGCAACGGATATGATCGTGAGTCACGTGATCAGAAAGATGGCGATTACGGATCAGAAGATGATGGATAGGGACTGGGGAAGTCGCGAAGACATGGATGGAATGTCAGACGGGATGGGTTCCCCAATGACCGAGGAAGAGAGGGGTGCAATGGACTGGGACCGGTCAACCGAGGATGCTGACACGGCTGCGATGGGTGGAGTTCTTCCAGGAAACATCGACGAGGATATCTTCTGGAAGGTCGTCGAATCGCTCACCGAAATGACCATCACATCAGAAATGGACCGCGGTTCTGATCTCACTCACCTCATCGAAGCCATCTGGAACGGCGACATCGGTAAGGAGGCGTTCATCCACGGAGTCGGACCATCCGTCTTCCATCGCCTTTACGCTCGTGTGATGATGCAGCAAAAGATGCTCGATGCACCGGGTCGGGCTTATCGATTGGGCGATCTCCATCGGGGGAAATCATTCGACGTCTACGGATCCCTGGTCGATGTCGAGCAGTATACGACCAACGAGAGCGACCACGGTATTCTCATGGAATACAAAGCAGGTAAAGTTCAGTTCAGACTTCAAAACAACCACAAATATCACACTTGATTAGGCCTGAAAAAGATGTTATCTTGCCTGCCAATTCCTTTACCTGAGGGACCGATAAAGCATTCTTTACTTAAAGATTGTCCACGCTTTCCCGGAAAAACACATGCAAGCTTGACGGAGGTTTGTCTGACCAAGTAACAAATAAAAGGAGGCAATTTTTTGGATTGTCGAATTAAAATTTGCCGTACATGAATTAATATATAATATCCGTTTGTTCAAAGCTAAGGTATACGAAAACATCTATATTAATTATATTAAACTAAAAAGAATTACCTGATGATTTCATAATAAAGTGATAAAGTGTTGTTAAAAAGATTGGTGCGTAAAATGTAGCAGTCCCTTTAACCGATACTTTTATTCTCACAATTTCGGACCTGTATTATAATATAACAAACTGGAACTGTTTCAGGGCAAGTAGTCCTACAAAAGAAAACTTAATTGACCTGATACATTATATTACCTTCTCTTTTTTTGGCAGGATGGTCGTGTAACCAGAAGAACAACAAGAACATGAGGGTTCTGACTTCACCGAACTTTCCCAGGGCGTATCCTAGCAACGCGCGATGCAACTCCTTCATCTCGGCACCACCCGGTCACGTGGTTGTTCTCTTTGTGATGCGGTTCAAACTCCAATGGAGTCCCTACTGTCTTCAGGATAGTCTAACGGTAATACAGGGAGATCATAGCGAGAAGAACAGAGAGAGAGAAGAAAAGAGAGAGAGAGGGAGAAAAAGAGAAAGAGAGAGAGAGAGAGAGAGGAGAGAAAAGAAAAGGAAGAGATAGAGAAAGAGAGAGAGATAGAAGAAAAGAGAGACACAGAGAGAGAGAGAGAGAGAGAGAGAAAGAGGAAGTCACACATACATTTTATTCCCAAATAAGTTTTGAATGATTGAGCGGTGAACTTCCATATAACGTAGTACTTTATATGCCATTTTGAATCATATTCACTGCAGCTGCGAATAAATGTAAATTTAAATCAATAATTGCGTAGTATGTGTAGCTATAGCTTACATACATGCCCATCTTTGAATAGGATTTTTTTGTGTGTGAAACCCCTAACGATAAATTACTGAGTATTAAGCTTTTCATATCATTAACATTAACGATAATATTGTTTGGGAAATAAAACAACATTGAAATAATTTTATCTTGATTATGTTTGACTTATCATCAGGTATATGACGAGACGACCCCGCAGAACTGGGTCAAGCTGGGTCAAGGGCCATTCTGCGGGACCACGGTGCCACACATCTTTCGGTCTTCGGGTCAGAATCTTCTGGTGAAGTTCGTGTCTGACGTCTACCATGTTGGAAGCACAGACAAAGGATTCAAAATCATATACGCCTTCCAACCAGGTACTTTAACTATTCGGGATATAACAACCTGAGAAGGGGGTTTTTGCATTTAAAAATTTGCAACTAAAATGGAAGAAATGGAGTCATGTGCAGATGAGCGATTATGATTGGTTAAAAGTCAAGTCGCAATTGATTTTTTTTTAAACCTCAGTTTTATGTCTAAAGGTGACCATGTTGGCTCAGTCAGTAAAGCTCCGCCTCACAACCGGGAGGTCGTAGGTTCGAACCCCGGCCGCGTCATACAAAAAGACGCTAAAAGACGGGAGTTGCTGCTATAGCTTGTTTGGCGTTCAACAATAAGGGATAGAGCAACGTCGATCTGGCGCTGCTCAGTGGCTGCCGGGCTCACGATCAATTGGGCAAAAAGAAGTTCCATTTTCGGTTTAACTTAATACAATTTGGAGTGGATTTTAAAATATTGTTATTATTATTATTATTATTATGTTCAGAGGGTCCAAGATGATCTTAGCCTCTTGTCGCCCTTGCGCCTTGGCTTTCTGGATCGCTTTGCTCGCCAGAATTTTCGCTTCGATGTCGACTACGGACTACGGACTACGGACTCCAATCAGGGGTTATACTTTCCAGATTCAAAGAAAAATATGCCTCCGGCTCCAGGCGTATGTTATTTAGTGCTGCTTTAACCAGTTTTTCATCTACTCTATTATGTAACTCATCTCAAATCACCAAATATTTATCACATTTCTACCTTACAAATCACAGTCGCTAGAGCAATGGCCGACCAGGAGGCGGGTCCCTCGTCGTCCAGTTCGGAGCCTGAGATGACGCGGACCGACGCCCAGACCAACATGAAGGTAATGAGGGACAAACTGATGTGTATGCAGATTTCCCTGGGCGTGATCAGCGGTGTCCTCTTCCTCGTCGTCGTCGTCGGTCTCGTCTGGATCCACTCCCACTCCAAGACCAGGCGAGAGAAGGCCAAGGAAGTCTATGACACAAAATTTTAGATGCTTTATTTGCAAAATTACGCTGTTCACCCATAGCTGTTCAGAGTTTTCTTATTTTCTAAACTAATCAGTGCTCCACTTCCTCAAATTGGCATTTTTTTTTTCTTATTTTCCACTCCATCAAAGGAAAATGTGTTTATTAAAGCCACACTGCACTAGTTGGCCAGGAGGGATTAGACCTCCCTGCATGGTCACTGACAGGTGGTTATCTCATCAACCAAGCTCTCAATTAACATACGAAAAAGAGGATCATGGGGGACCAATACACAGTTAAAATTTTTGTGAACAAGTTGTTTAAAAGTTTAAACAACTCTTGATTAACGGGTGACCTGATCTAAGAGTTGTTTAAAATGTTAAGCAACTCGAGTTGTTTAAAGTTTAAACACTTAGTTGATCAACATTTTGAACAACTTGTTTAAAATCACAATTTAAACAACCGGTGTTGTTTAAAGACGGTTGTTTAAAACGGAGCTGTTGTTCAGTGGAGGTTGTTTACACCAACTGGGTTGTTTAAAGAAAGTTGTTTAAAAAGGAGCTGTTGTTCAGTGGGGGTTGTTTACACCAACTGGGTTGTTTAAAGAAAGTTGTTTAAAAAGGAGCTGTTGTTCAGTGGGGGTTGTTTACACCAACTGGGTTGCTTAAAGAAAGTTGTTTAAAATGGAGCTGTTGTTCAGTTGGGGTTGTTTAAACCAACTGGGTTGTTTAAAGAAAGTTGTTTAAAAAGGAGCTGTTGTTCAGTGGGGGTTGTTTACAACAAAAGGGTTGTATAATGGGGTATAATTTGGGTTTGATACTCTGAATAAGTGCACCACTACTTCTGGGTCTCTATATAGGTATATGAAGACTAGGGTAATTCTGCAATTCATGAATTAGCGCCAAAACAATGCCCATTTTGCATGAGCGCGCATGCACGCACTTATAAACTATAGGGATGCATGCAATCCCTATGGCAAGGAATTTAGCACACGTTATAACCGAGCGCGCGATCAGTGCCGCACTGCATGACGCGACGATTTTAAGTCTACCTGTATTCTGACATTTGCGTACAGATACCGAAAATTTTAACTGTGAACTTACGCTATAAATTAAAAACTTCAAAGTGGTTAATAGAAAAGTGATTTCAATTAAGCCATTGAATCCCCAGTCACTTAGAAGCGCGTCGGTAGCTTGGTCGGCCATGATGTTGTGTTGTGGGTTGGAAAGTAATAACTATTAAGCTAAATAAATGTAAGTATAGAGACAAACAAAATGAAGCCTGCAGAAACACGTGTGGTTGCTTTGGTAGTTTAATCCAGACTCAATGTCCATGTGCTTTTACATATGTATCAATCTGTGTAGTCAGCAAAAGACCCTTGCATACACTTGCATTGTGTGTATGCATCTAATATGAATAACAATGAGCTGTGCCTTAACAGCTGCACTGCATTTCTAAGTGGCATGTCAATTTCAATTGCATGTTAGTTTCAAGGAACCTGTTTCTAAACATAACAATGTGAAATAAAGCCTTTAGCCAACACGCACTTAACTGGCACGAGACACATGACGTCATATGTAAACAACACTGTCTAAAAGCTCTCGTATAGTAAATATAGCAGTCATTAAATTTTAAACAACGAATGTTTAACAAAATTACTTCTGTTTCGAGCAACATTGTTTACAATTTGATCAACTGTTGTTTAAGATAGTGTACAACTGTAAGTGAACATCACTTTTTTAAACAGCGTTTTTACTGTGTAATCACCAATTAGGCATTGTTTGCTATATATAGGGCGCAAATAGCTATAAGTAGTGCAGTGGGGCTTTAAATGAACCAATGTGACAGAAAATTGAAACATTTAACCGAAAATTGCCAATTTGTACACTAAAGTAGTGATTGTATATTTTGATGTTACTTTGATTATGGTGGTGCAGTCCCCTATCTCTTATGTACATAGTTGCGATTGATAATTAATAGTAAAGAAGCTGCCATTAATGTAAACTCGACGGGCCCCAGATCAATTTTTTTTTCTTTCTTTTTTCAACGGCGCACGGGCAGAGTTTAACTAGGGGTTGCCCGAATATTGACTTATAAACTGTTGATACTTTTGAGCGTTTTATGTCTTTACATTGGAATATGTTTTTTGTTCTTAAATAGAAAGAGATCATCGCGCTACTCGAATAGTGGTTTGATGAATAGATTGTCCCACACAAAACATTACTAACCATGCGTGCTAGAAGCCTTGGCTTTCCAGTAATTCAAAATGAATGGTTTATCAAGTTGATCAATAGCTCTCGAAACCGACCCCACAATCTCGGTTCGTGAACTCTCCGAGATATTTTGTGATATAATGCATGCAAGACCATTATACCAGTCTCGTGGGCTGTCACGGTCTCGTAAACATTCTCAAAAACTCCTCAAAATGCTTTTTGTCATCTTAGCTGTAAATATTGATGGCAAACAACGCTTTGAAAACGTGACGGATTTTGTCATGAACATCGACAATGTTGATACATTAACTAATATCAATGAACGACATAGTATTATCCAGTCATTTAAGGCAACAATTTTTGTTTAACATTGTTGTACGAAAGTTGTATGTCAAAATAATGTGGAAATATGATCTCGATGAGGCATATTATTCTCCTATTTCTTGTACATAAGATACATGTAAATCGTACCTTATTTAGACAACCTAACACTATTGTTTGGTAACTAGTTCACAGATTTACATGTCCAATGTTTGCTTATGTATCTTAAGGTTAGTGAATTATAAGATTAATTGATACTGCGTATATTTAATGAAAAAGGAATATGCATTGTTTATACTAATAAAGTAACAATATAGTTGCTAAAAAACTTGTATTTTTTAAAAATAAATATTTATAGATGAATGGCAAAAATGAGAGAGCAAAGCAAGATATGGGAGAGAGAGAGAGAGAGAGGGAGAGAGAGGGAGAGAGAGGGAGAGAGAGAGAGAGAGGGAGAGAGAGGGAGAGAGAGAGAGAGAGAGAGAAAAAAAAAAAACAAGAGAGAGCGAGAGAGAGAGAGAGAGAGAGAGAGAGAGGAGACAGGGTAAGACAGGGAGAGAAAGAGAGAGAAAGAGACACGGAGAGAGATAAAGTGGGAGATAGGCAGAAGTGGAAACGAGGTGTAGCAATAATAAGTGACGATGACATTATTTTTAAGCCGAAAAAAATTCAAAGCCAACATCATCGTTACGAGACAGTCTTTTCTTTTCTTCATCTGATATTAGAGAGGGTGAGAGGAAGGGAGGGAGGGAGAGAGAGCGGGGGAAAATAATCATGTTGAGAGGATGGGGAGTGAGATGAAGAGAGAGAGAGAGAGAGAGAGATTACTCCATTATACACTTCCACACTACCATTACCACTTCCATACTCCTCGAATGAGAACAGCTTTGGCACACACACAAAGGTCCAGTGTTTTGGAATAACATAGATCCAAAGTAGCCTACCAGTCATACACATTTTTAAAAAAGATGAAAATTTAATTTGTAAACACATATGCATGAATGTATACATGTGCTGTCGCCGGTCAGCTGCATTGTTGACATTGCTAACACGTCGCTATATGAATCTCGGTTTGTTTGACTCTCAACTCAATCCCTTTCTTCCTCTTCTGCTGATCTAACCTCCTCTTTCTAGAGCTTTGCAATCATTCATTTTCCTTTTCTATCTTTATTTATTTTTTGCCTTCTACTATTTTCCTCTCTTTTATGTTTTCCCCAAAATTCATAATTTCTTTGCCACATATTTGTTAATTTATTGATTTTCTAAATGTATTTGTCAAACAGCATCTGAGTAATACTTCAACAAGCTCTGCTTCTAGTTAGTTCCTCTTTTCTCGTGCTATTACTACCATATTTTTCGCTGCATTGTATATTTGTTGTAATATACTTATTCATTGTATTATGTTTTGCATGAGAAATAAAAATCATTTTGAATAATTTTATGTGTCAAGGTCTAAATATAGAATATTGACTGTAGGTTGAAAGGCATGGACAAACATTCACAATACCAAGTATTTATGCTTGACAAGCAAAGTATAATAAGTGTTCTCATATTTGTTCGTCAGCAACTGCTGTAAATAGATGATATGGCAAAACTTGAACAGATTATCAATAAGTACGCAAAAGCAGGTCAAGAAAAGACATCATCTCATATCAAGAGATATTAAGAGTAAACAAAGCTTTGTTCTTCTATGTTGATTATTAGCCGTACATGGTTCTATGTAGAACGACAATACACCCGATGGTAGAATGTACTTTACAAAAAGAGAATGAGGAAGAAGAAGAAGAAGAAGAAGTAAAGAAGCAGAGGAAGAATAAGAAGGAGAAGGAGAAGGAGAAGAAGAAGAAGAAGAAGAAGAAGAAATGAAAAAGCAGAGGAAGAATAAGAAGGAGAAGAAGAAGAGAAGAAGAAGAAGGAGAAGAAGAAGAAATGAAAAAGCAGAGGAAGAATAAGAAGGAGAAGAAGAAGAGAAGAAAAAAACAAGAAGCACAGGAACAAGAACAAAAACCAAAACAAGAACGAGAACAAGAACATGAACAAAAAGAAACCCTTTGCCTATTTGGCCTTCTGATAATTTGTGTATATTTTGATATTAATTGCAGCCTTTGCGTTCATTATGCCCCGCCTTTCTCCGGATAGGCCTACACTTTCCATATAAATAATAGTAAAAAAGGTGCTTATATAGCGCTTACCACCGAATTCTCTTAGCGCTATAACAAACAAAATTCAATGATAAACAATTAAATATTAAACAAAACAAAACATTACAAATAAACCTACAAATTACAATACATATCTGTGAACAGAGAAAGTGAATTATCAAAAGCAATTTTGACTAAAAAGTTTTGAATCAGTTGACAGTCTGACAGTTTTCGACATGTAAAAGTAGTTTGTTCCAAAGTTCAGCAGAAGCTTTGCACCTGGTACCTGCCGGTGCCTCTCAAACATAACCACCCATTGTCAATTTGTCCTGTAAAAACGTGAGACAGACAGAAGAAGAGACCTTGGCACCCTGTTTTTAACCAAAGTAACAACAAATGTGTGAAGTAGCATTCCGTGACAACCAATCAAAAGCGTCGACGCACTTCACAATTATTATTCATATTTTGCGATATCGTCGCGACCGGCGTAGATGTTTATCAGCAGATCGTCCGCTGGAAGCAGAGACGATAGCGGTGACATTTTTGTGTTTCTGCTGCTTCAATTTGGCCAGAATTCTCTTGCATTGAGTGACTTAGGCTTTTAAGGATATAAGGGTTTCTGCTCGTTTATTCTGAATTCAGGTAGGTAGAATTATATGTTATACTATCCCATCCGGGATGGCATAAACTATATGTTACTTACGTTATTTCATAATTCTTTATGAAAATTTGATCAAGCATGATTACAAAATTTGCCCGGCTGCAAACTGTTTGGTAATGATTATAATAATAAAGATGGTGGCTTATTATATAGCGCACATGTACGTCACGTCATGACGCTCCTTGCGCTGCCCCGATTATTATCCTGGCTTTAACAAGGCGGACATTACGGAGCTCTAGCATTTCGAGGAATTAACTCCTGTCAGGTACCCGTTTACATCACCAAAGGAATTGTTTTGGGGGCTAAGCGTCATTAGTTTAAATAATCATGAAAACTATACTTTCAATCAATTTTAAATTGAATTTAAAATACCATCGTGTTTAATGTAGTGGATCATTCACTAAATTCTCAATCGACGGATTGAGAGTTTGACTACCAGCCCGGCACTAACGGCTTTTTGCAAGACATTAATCTATATTTGGCGCTCTCTACCCTGGGGTAAATGGTTACCGTGCAATTGCTTTGGTAATGATAAATGCAGGACCCTCTGGGGGAGAGAGAGAGAGCATTGTTGCTGATGAGGCTTCCCTGCATGGGTAAATGCAATAATTATCATTATTAACGTTTACATCATTGTTTTATAATTATTATGATTATTATCATTCTTATCATTATTATTATCATTATAATACTATTATTGATGATAATAACAATAAAAAATAATAAAAATATGATAATAATAATGATAATAATTATATTATTGTTTTGTAATGGTCATTATTACTAGTAATGTTATCATGGTTGTTGTTGTTTGTTGTCATTTGTTATCATCGTTATCATCATTATTAACAAATAACAATAATGATAATAATGATAATAATAATAATTGATTGATTGAAGGTGGACTGGTGGATTAAGGGCCTTCTTAGAATACCTTTAGATGTAAGCTTTAATGTTTCCAGAAACCTTACTCGGGACAAATCAATTTTTTTCACATACTTTTTCACTAAAAAATTATAAAAGTTGGTAAGAGTCGGAACAATTTGGTTATTAACTGTATATGAATTTCTTGGGACTGACTAAGCAAGTCCTTTTAGAGGGGAAATTATGTCATGAATGGGTTATATAATTCAATACTTTATTCATCTTCCACCAGTTTAATTATTCTAAAGCAGATAGTATTACACTGAAATGAAAATTGAGACAATGATAAAGCATAATTTAAAGGACGTTGTCGGGAAATGCACAAGGGCCAAAATATACAGGTAACGTTGTAAATTTATATTTCGATAGATACTGACAGAATAATTACACTATCTTTGTGCTTTTTTCAGACAGGGTAGCCTTTTAGACCAATCATGGCGAGTCTTTCATTGAAACACTTGGTTTTCATTTCGGCTATGGTAGCCTGCTTCTCATTGGCCAATGCAGCGGAGGTAATGGATGACGAATTCTGGACCAATTTCATGTTCATGTATCAAAGTAAGTTCTATTTTGTTTGTTTGTTTGTTTGTTTTCATTTCTATAGGAATAATTAAAAAAGTTAAGGTATACATGCATGGTTTTGAAAAAATATATATATATAAAATGGTGAATAGCCCGTTTGAGGGTCAGGCACATACTGTTCTGCAGTGGGCATTGATCTCTGCAACCCCCCCCCCCCCCCACCCCCTGCCCCTTCTCTCTCTCTCTCTCTCTCTCTCTCTCACTCTCTCTCTCTCTCTCTTTCTCTCGCTTTCTGTCTGTCTGTCTGTCTTTCTCTCTCCTCTGTATCTTTCACTCTTGTCATTTTCTCCCTTTTTCCCATATTCTCCGTTCTATTATCTTTTAAAACGATGACCTATAGAGTAGTTGACTTTAAATTTCTCTGATGGGGATTGTGACTATGGTAAAGTATATTTAGAATATGATACGCTAAGAAGAAGAAAAAGAAGGGAAATAGAAGGAGAGAAAGAATTTTTTAATTTATTTTATTTTATTGAAATATATTTATTTCGGATAACAAGAATCAGATATACATTGTAGATACAAAATCTGTTTTACATCATGGTCCTGAAGAAGAAGGAGGAGGAGAAAAGGATGATGGTGATGATAGTGACGATTATGAAGATGATGATGTTGAGGAAGATGATTATGAGGATGATGACGAAGACGACGACGATGATGATGACGATGAAATTTATGAAGATAATGATGATCACAGTGATGAAGGGGTGCATGGTCGATGAATATTTATCTACAGTACTGAGCTATACAAATCATACAGCTCTAGGTTTCTTGCTCGATGTATCATTTTAATAGGGATCTGTTTATCAGTAAAGCTCTACATTTCTCTCAAGCGTTCTTCATCCTCAAACATATTAGTGTATATACGAATCCATTGAAGTCATTGAAGTGAGAATATAAGGACTAATCAAAAAGATTGATTAACCCAATAGGGCGAATAGTGCCTAAATCCAATCCGCAAAATTACATCATGGGCCTCCTCCGCTGAAATAACCAGTTATAAAACGGGTTTACATAACTTGCCAGAAAGGGAATAACACCTCTACATGTTCAGGTATTGAATATGTACGCGTCAACCTTGACCGTCTCGAGTTTACTTAGTTTTCAGACATTCTTTTGTCACTTGAGACACCATTGTGTATAACCTGAAAATACAAGCACCGAGTCAACATTTACCGACGTTATTGAATATTATTCGATTTGTGGTTGAGCTTGAATTACAATTATTCTGGAAGTTTTTGTTCACGGAAGGCAGGTACCGTGTTTGCGGTACCAGGCAGCGATGTGGGAGAGTGGGTAGGCCCCTCGGAACGTTTTTCAAAGTGGGGGGGGGGGGGGGGCTAAAGTATTTAAGATCAGTTAGAGCGTAGCGAGCAAAGCGAGAGGAGCGTAAATTGGCGTGGGATCCAGGGGGCGGAGCCCCTTGGAACTCAGGGGCTTTAGGCAAATTGCAGTCAAACGAGCATACTTTGAATCCTTATTTGTGACACTGGCAGGTCACTTTATGTTTGTTTAAAGCTACAGTCCCATATACGTCCCGGACCGTCCCGGACCATCCCGGACCCCATCCGGGGTGATCCGGGATTCGGTCCGTGTTGACACCGTGTTGGCACCGGGGTGGTCCTGGATGGTCCTGCATGGTCCTGGATGGTCCTGGGCGGTCCGGGAGTCGACCCCGGATGTTTTTGACGGTCAAAAACTGCCGGGGTGGTCCGGGACGGTCCGGGACAATAGTTTGATTCGGGGTGATCCGTGTAGCCACCGTGCTGGGTCCGGGGTCATCTGTAGTGGCGCCGGGGCGGTCCGTGTTGATCCGTGGCAGTCCGGGAGTGAGTTATTGACCCCGGATCACCCCGGCGCCCCTACGGATGATCCCGGACCCAGCACGGTGGCGACACGGATCACCCTGGACCAGCACGGGATGATCCGTGTTGGCACCGGGATGGTCCGGTGTCATCCGTGTTGGCACCGTGTTGGCACCGGGGTGGTCCGGGACGGTGCGTGGCGGCTCCGTGCTGGGTCTGGAATGATCTGTACTGCTGCCGTGGCTATGCCCGGACGGTCCGGGGCGGTCCGTAGTGGTACCGTGTTGGGTCCGGGGAGACGGTCGGTGGTTGCGATTTTTTGAACAAAACATCCCGGACCATCCCGGATCACCCCAGACCATGGTCCGGGATGGTCCGGAGTGGTCCGTGCTCGTCCGTGCTCGTCCGGCTTTATATGGGACTGGGGCTTATTGATGTAAATCAAGGTCTAAAGCAATGTTTTTGCCGGGGCCTGGGGACCCTCATATTTACTTGAGGACCCTACATTTTTGGATTTTTTGCCACCTCAGAGGTCACTTTCTTTCTTTCTTTTTTTCTATATCTTTAACATACTTTTTCCCCCAAAAAAAATGTGGGGGGGGCTCGAGCCTCCCGAGCCCCACCGTTTCGCGGGACCTAGTGGTTATGTGTGTGTTAGAGAGAGAGAGAAAGAGAGAGAGAGGGAGAGAGGGGGAGAGGGAGAAGGGGAGCGAGAGGGAGAGGGAGGGAGAGAGAGAGAGAGAGAGAGAGGGGGCAGAGAGAGGAGATATAAAGAATGATAGATAAGTATAAGTAACTATTGTAATACATACTTGCTCCGGTGACAATCACTTGTTGATTTGAACTTCTACCCTGTACCCAACATTATACACACTGGTAGAGTGTGGGGAAGGGGATATGTTAACTAACAACAGAAAAAATGTGCCCCTTTCACATTTCCGACCCCAGAGGTACTTGAACTACTCTAAATAAACGCATCCCGATCTCTAACCCTAAAATCTTTGTCGAAATTAAGCCGGTGTTTGGAGGGAGAGCCGCCGAAGCAGCGTTATCACACTAAAATGAATAGATTAATTAATGTCTGAAACGATTTCAAATTGATAAATGATAAATAAGTATTGCCTCTTTCTCTCCTCTTTCCCTTTTTGATACTCCCTCTCTCATTCTCATTCTCTCCTTTTATCTATATCTATGTCACCTTATCTGTCTCTCATTATCTCTATCCCTCCCTCCCACCCTTTCTCTATTTTTTTTTCTCCCTCTCTCTCCCTCTCCCTCTCCCTCTCTGCAGATCATACCACGTGTGGACACGGCATGATGCCGACCACCGACGATGTGGAGCCCGAGATGGAGGGTGACGGGCCTATGATGATGGGTGCTGTGAACGCGATGGAGGGCGAGTTTCCATGGCAGGCCGCCATCTTTCTTAACTCCTACAAGGTCTGCAGTGCAGCTCTGATTCACGAGGAGTGGCTCCTCACTTCAGCAAGCTGTCTGTGAGTACACGATTACAGTCTATGAGACTGACATCCAATGAGACCGACAGCCTGTGAGGCCGACAGTATGTAAGACCGACGGTCCACAAGACTGACATACCATCAGACCAACATGACCGACATCTTGTAGGCCTTTTGACAACGTGTTTAGAGGGTTCACCTGGCCCACCCGCGAGTTGATTGCCTCAAGAATGGTCGGTCCTGAAATGTCGGCCTCATGGCTTTCGGTCTGCGGGGATGTCCCATGTGATATAGGGCCATGCAGGCACAGAGAACCATACTTCGTTGGACCAACATCGGCAAGGACTGGCGTCGGCCTTGAGCTGACGTCGGTCTAACGTTGCGCTATTGTCCTATGCCCGTTGCATGCGAGCCGTCATTCCGAATGCCGTTTTCGTAATGTAATCAAATTTAATGCACAAATCTTTGTTTAGTGCATCGTTACATATTTTTTAATTCATCATACGAATAATATTTTGTATTACTCAGAATGCGATTTGCAATCATTACGACACAAGCAACACACGCATTCTGACGATTGAAACACAATTATTCGTGACAGGTGAATAATATTAGTTTCAAAGCACTTTACAATGATTTGTGCATTAAATTTGATTATATCACAAAAATGGTATATTAGCCCATACTATAAAGTATACACAAAGTTTGTTTTGTTTATGTTGCATCGACTTTGTGCAATATCTTTCTCTTATAATACCTTTAATGGAATTTCTGAATTTGCACATTTTAACAATGGAAACTTGGAGTTTAGGTTTGGTTTATGGTTAAGGTTTAATGTGTATTATAAGACGCTTTTTGAAACTCTGAATAACTCGATGACAAAATATTGATTTCTTGGTCCAGCCCTTTCCTGTACCCAGATAAGTACAAGGTGGTCGTCGGGACGACATCCGTGATCATGAGCGACACCATGGCCGCGGACCACCCCAATATGCAGTACAGCATGGTCAAGGAGTTCTACGTCCATCCCGACTACGACGCACGACGATGGGCCCACGATGTCGCCCTCGTCAAGATCGAAACGGCCTTCGTGCTCAACGACTACGTGAATGTGATCTGCTTGCCGATTCCGACAATGCAAGGTCACTTCCACGGCGGCGTGAAGGCGACCGTGGCTGCCTTTGGGAATCCCATGATGAAGATGGGTAGGATTGAATAATAATTTGTATTCTTCTTCCTAGTATTATTATATTTGAATTATTAAGAGTCTAAGAATATGTTAGATTTAACGCCACCTGCACTTTCTTCGATATTCCCCCTACACCAGTTTGTGTAAGTCATGTTTTATCTCACAAAGGCCTCATTAATCACCAGCGGGCATGCACAAATCGAGGAACACAATCTTAAATCTTCATTGGCGAAGAAAAGGCAATAAAAATGTATTTTGTTTTGCTCTAAATATTAACACATGTATAACGGTGTTTGTATATGATAGAACCACAATGCCCGGATGTAGAAGAGAGCGCTTTTGGAATCTGCACCGAGTCGTGCACGTCAGATGAAGAGTGTCAAGATAATGAGAAATGTTGCAGCAACGGTTGCGGCCACCAATGTACGACGTTGCCAGGTAAATAAAACTACAACTATAACAACCACTGATCCTACTAATAGAACAGCAACAATTACACTAATGATAGAAGCAATGTCGATATCATATGATATAATATAATAAATATTAAATTGCTTCTTTTATAGCGCTATATCCAATTAGAACTGATCAAAGCGCTTTGCAAAACAAATACATCCTGTCGCCCAATCATCAACAACCATATCAACTTAATCATCGACAGCAACAACAACAACAACATCATCGACAACAACAACAATATTCTCAACATCAACGACATCGACAATATCAAGAAAAATATCAACAATATCAGCAACTAATATTGTTTATTCAATATGTTTTTTGTTTTGTACACAAGCTTGAACGAACGATATCATTATTTGCTTCGAACAACCCCATTAACTGTCTGTTAAATTCTTCCGGTTGTCTTTCTCTTTTTCTTTTTTTAGCCCAACCCACAATGATGCCAGAGATGGAAGGGGGCATCACGCCTGGCATTCTCCACAAGTTCAAACTGCCCCTCCTCAACATCTCAACGTGCAGGGGCATGTTCAGCGACGACCTCCCCGACGGTCTCTTCTGCGCCGGGGGATGGGGTACAAGATGAAAGAAGGCGGCCTCCTCCCTTTCCTCAAGAAGAAGATGACGATGATGAAGATGATGGAGGGAGGGATGGATGAAGAGGAAATGATGGGAGAGGAGGGGATGATGAGGATGATGGAGAAGATGGAGATGATGACGGAGGAGGGAGAATTCAACTTTGACCTACTCAGCGTCTTGACGCACCTTCAAAGCAGCGTGGATATGATGGAGGGCGGGGTCGGACGCAACGGGATGCGGGAGGCTGGTACCTGGTCGCTAGGATACGAGGAGATGATGAAGGGGATGGGAGGAGGGATGATGGAGAGAGAAGGCATGGAGGAGGAGGTTGAGGAGGAAGAACATGAAAGGGATGGCGGTATGATGATGGGAGAGAAGGACATGGAGATGGAGCTTATGATGAAGGAGATGATGGAGCATGGCATGGGCAAGGAGGAGATCATGAAGATGATGATGATGAAACAATGCAAGGTACTTTCATATTGATTGATTTATTGATTGGTTGATTGATTGGTTGGTTAGATGACTAGATCGTTCTTTGATTGGTTGGTTGGCTGGTTGGTTGGTTGATTGGATGGTTGGATCGTTCTTTGATTCGTTGGTTGGTTGGCTGTCTCGATGGTAGGTTGGTTAGTTGGTTCATGGTGGGGATTAGTGGTGGGTATGTGGTTTTTCGTGTGAGGGTTGACTGACTGATCGAAACCTACATCAGAAAATTGAATATCGTTTCACACCCTCTTATTTCACGAGAACAGTTTTTAATGTGACTCGTACTTTAGTATTGTACAAGTGTTTCAAGCTCAGCAAAACAATTTACAATTTATTTTGTTTCCTTGATGTATTGAGTACTTCTTGTTCTGTATACATGTATATATCTCCCAATTCCCTTCCTTCGACCCCCCTTACTTTCGTTCTGTCACTCTATCTCTCTCTCTCTCTCTCTCTCTCTTACTCTCTCTCTCTCGTTCACTCGCTCTATTTCACTCACCTTCCCTCTTTCTTTCTTTTATTTCCACATTTCTCTCAAAATGCAACCCCTCCCCTTTTCTTTTCTTTCTCTCTCACTTAACTCTCTCCTTTCTCTTACTTTCTCGTGCACATACCCCTTCCCCCCCCCCTCCCCATGGCCCTCTTCCACAACTCTCCCCATTTCACTTTCTCCCTCTCCCCTTCTCTGCCTGCTTCTTCCACCTCAGGGTGACAAAGGTGGTCCCTTGGTGGCACAGGTGAAAGGCCAATGGTACCTGCTCGGAGTGACCAGCCTTCCCGTCGGGTGCCTTCATCAAAGCTCTTCCGGTCTCTTCACCCAAGTGGACGTCCTAAAGGAATGGATCATGCCAATCTTCAACGGCAAGATGCCCAAAGGAAGTAAGTCTAAATGTCACATTCAGATAAATCAACGACCCCCCCCCCCCCCCATCAAATAACTATCAAAGACTTTATGAAGCTGACTTTCGGGTGACGAGTAGATAAGTCGAACAGACTGTTTATCTCGCCAAAGATATAGATGTTGAAAAGGATATCAAGGATTGTTAGTCGTTTTGTCAAGTTAACAAACTGAGATCCCGACTTATTGCCTTACTGCCCTCAAGAAAGAGACATGATTATATCTCTTTTTTCTCGTCATCTCGGTCACACTTGTTAGGTTAACTTCTGTCATTAGTGATTTAACAGTTTTTTTTATTAACATATTTCTTCTTAAGCATTTTCCCCTAAGGTTCCAACGCCCCATAACGGGGCGTTGTGGTGTGCGCCTGTAATCCAGCTAAAAATTGAAGTTACAAACTGATTCAGCCAAGGACGCAGGTTCGAAACTGAGTCACGTCTTTCGGATGGTGACGTTAAAGGTCGGTCCCCAGAAGTAAAAAATCATATCTGATTGATACACATCTGTAAAAACTCAATTACACACACACACTCCAGGGATTTTAGTCATTTTTGTCAAGTCAATGATGACTGACATCGTCATGCTTCCTTAAAAAATTCAACATGTCAACAACTTTCTCTTCTTTTTGATGGCACTTTTTATTTTCCATTGCTGAGTAAATTTGACATTAAAAAACCCACCAAACAAGACAAAATCATAAACAAAAATCATATTGCTCTTCTTAACCATTTTCCCGAAGAGGACTCGTATTGCCGTATCAGCGAGTTCTGCTGCGGCGATGGATGGTGTATCCCTGAGGAACGCCGATGTGACGGTATCATGGACTGTACTCTAGCAACGGACGAACACTTCTGTGGTAAGTGCGATAATTTATTGTATCAACATAATTATGTTGGCTTCAGCCCACGAGGCCGACAAGCACCAGAGCGACAGCTACAAGATCGAAAACTCAAGAGGCTGATAGTCCACGAGACCAATATCTCACGAGGCCAACGGTAAGTGAATTCACCAGACAGTGGAAGAAGAAGAATACGGCCCATGAGTCCGACATGTTTAGCCTTTCTTGCCTTGCGTAAATTTGTCTATGGATTTACGTACGAGTCAGTCTTGTGGACTGACAATCAAATGAAATGTCCCGAAAGAGGATATTCAACAAATTCAACGAACTTAATACGTGGTAATGCCTCTGACAATATATTCACCAAAGGATATACAGAGAGAAAAAAGTTTTAAGGATACACAAAAGATATCGTTTGGCAACATATCCTTTACATGGTGATGTGGCCTACACTGCCTATGACTCATTTGGAGATTTTTTATTTTTTTTTTTTTTTTTTTTTTTTTTTTTGGGGGGGGGGGGGGAGGGGGGCGTGAGGTATCCAATCCAATCCAGATGATATTGGCGCATTTCTCTTGCACTAACTCAGCGCTACACATATCGATCCACATGTTTTTGCCACATAAAATAAAATCTCACTTCAAAAGACAAGAATAGCTTTCATCGAAAAAAACGAGTACATTATTTTCTTATCTCTCTCATATTTCTGAACACCTCCATGAACAGATGGTGCTCTGAAGGGCTACAACGTCTACTTCAACCAGGCCATCGAACACGAGACCATCGCCCACAACTTCACCGTCACCTCCAAGGCCCAGTGCGCTCTGGCTTGCCTCAAGGCACCCTTCCTCTGTCCCGGCTTCGACGTCTGGATTGTGCCGGAGGGGATGATGATGCCGGGTATGCCAAGCATGGAAGATGCGATGCCGGGATTAATGGGCGGCGAGGAGGAGATGGATGGGGACCACGACGACGATATGCCGATGCCGCAAATGATCTGTGTGCTTGCTGATACGATGTCGAAGGTCCATTACGTCAGTGCGTCGTTGGACATAAGGCTGAAGAAGAGGAACGTGACGATGTTGATGGATGATGATGTGGATGATGATCAGAAGATTAATGTTCACTTCAAGCTGCCACGCATGGCACCTTTCGCAGGTATGTAACTATTGATACAGTGTATAACTTAAAGCCCCACTTATAGCTTCTTGCACCCTCTATATAGCAAACAATGCCTAATCGGTGACTATCGGTCCCCCATGGTCCCCTTTTTCTTATGTTAATTGAGAGCTGATTTGATGAGATAACCACCTGTCAGTGACCATGCAGGGAGGTATAATCCCTCCTGGCCAAACTAGTGCAGAGGGGCTTTAGTGTATGATGGATAAATTCACTTCATAGCTTTTAAAAAGAACTTAAATTTTACGATGCAATTGATTTGAACTCCAGGGACTGTACAGCACAGCAAGGTATACTGATTTGCTACACTATATGGTAGGATCTTCCTGGTTAAAATATATCGTGATTCATTTTGGGAAAGGGTTTCTTAAATGGTTCTCATAATTTTATGAATGAAAAGATTATCACTACGGTAGAAGTCAACGCGGCTGTTAATCTAGAAGGCATATTTCGTTGGAGAGAAATTTATCACTATTATGACAGTACTCATTGCATAAACTAAAGTCTGGAAGCGCGATCAATACAACAACATCAACCTTTAAAATTATTGACCTTTAACACATACACACTAAGAAATAAGGGTGTAATTGGGTGCAGATTTGCATCCACCGACATGTACGCGTATTTGGCAGAAGGTGCTGCTATTGTAGCAGAATTGTACCTTTATTTATTAGTGTGTACATATGGACCTGAAAGTTTTTCTTTTTCTTCATTAAGTCAGTATATTGAGTTTATTCACTGGTTCTCAGAAGAAGAAAATAAATCATAGTGAAAAAGTTCTACAAAGTAGATGAAGAAAAAAAATCACATCGACCTAAAATCCTGTTTTTAATCCGCTTCTTCACAGCTCTGTTGTCACCCTCCCTGAACCTGCGTTCCCAAAAGGGTCTGATCGTCTCTCCATCCTTCATCCTGGGGGAGAACATCTCCAAGCACATTGGCGACCCCCACCTCGTCCTGATGCTGGTGAAGAACGCCCTCATCGAGAAACTGGTAGAGCTGGCCCACAAGGGGTGCTTCATGCATCACGAGCAGTGGCCGCAGATCGAGGAACTGAAGATGAAGCTCAAGCATCTCGGTATGGTTGCCAAGGAGATGAAGCATGATATGATGATGATGATGACCCCAATGGAGGAGGAGATGAACGAAGCGATGAAGATGGAGATGATGAACATGGTGGCGGAGATGAAGAAGAACATGACGTGGGTGAAGGAGCACGTGTACGAGTTGCACAAAAACGCCTCCATGTTGCTTATGGAGGTCGGCATGTCGTGTGACCTTCACAACATCACCAACCACGTCCATGAGATGATACACGGCATCGTTTCTAATTTCTCCTGCGTGATGGGTGATGGTATGGGTGATGGAATGAATGGTACAAGCATGTTTGAGATGCTGATGAAGAAGATTGGACTGTACAACATGTACCACGCGGACATGATGGGAGGAAACATGACGATGGGCGGAGACAATGGAACGAGTGCAGACATGAAGATGAGCATGATGAGCTACCTTAAAGAGATGATGACGGAAAGCGGAACCTTTCTTGGTGATATCTGGGGTATCTTTGGCAACCACGACATGATGTCGATGATGATGACGGAGATGATGGTGTCGTCTGATGAGGGCATGATGCCATCCGAAGACGGTATGATGTCGGAAGATGAAGGCATGATGCCGGAGGATGAGGACATGATGCCGGCGGGTGAGGGAGACATGAAGATGAACATCACGGAGATGAAACACAAGCTGGTGATGAAGATCAAGACGATTGCAGCCATACTGATGATGGGCAAATGCAACATGACAGGTTACTTTGAGAAGATGGGTATGGGCGATATGATGGATATGATGATGGGCGGAGACACGATGATGGGCGGAGACACGATGATGGGCGGGGACACGATGATGGGCGGGGACATGATGATGGGCGGAGAAATGATGGGCGGAGACGTGATGGGAGGAGACGAGATGATGGGCGGCAACATGACGATGAAAAACTGGACGAAGGACCATCACATGATGTTTGAGTTCATCATGATGCTGAAGTCCTGGCCTATGGGACACCACACATGGTCCATCCTCCAATCTCCGCATCGCGCCAACAACTTCCACCTCCGAGCCTTGGCTTCCAGGGGTCCCTACACCTGCGACAACGTGCCCTATGACTTCGGGCTGCTGACGGCCAAAGGAGGAAAGCTCCCAGTGCCGGCGCTGATCTCCGGCGAGATCATGAGGAAGAAGGCGATGATGATGAGGAAGGCTGGTGATGGAGAGATGCCGGAGGAGATGAAGATGATGATGAAGGAGGGTTTGATGCATTACATGGTGTCCATGATTCCGCCAGAGATGATGATGATGATGATGGAAGGAGAGGGAATGGGTTACATGGAGGAGATGATGGGTGACGTCATGGGCATGATGCTTGAAAACATGATGGGCGGGGACATGATGATGGGCGGAGACATGATGATGGGCGGAGATATGATGATGGGCGGGGACACGATGATGGGCGGGGATGGAATGATGGGAGGAGAAGAAATGAAAAAGGAGATACCGGAAGAAATCAAAGAAAAACTTCACGCTGCGTTCGAAAAACTCTTCAAGTACATGAAGATGAACGAGGGCCAGGGAATAGACAGATGCATTGGAGAACTGCACAAGAACCCATCCATTTGGTTTGCAGGATCACACGCCCTCGTCACACAATACTCAAACAAACCAGACCACCATGGCGTCGTCATGGAGTACTATTCAGGTGTGTATTAGTATTCAAATAATACACATCATTTTGTTCGGGCACTAGTTAGAATTACCCCCACACGGTACCTAGTTTGGAACAGTCTAACACGCCCGAGGCGGTAGCCGAGGGTGTTTGGACTGTTTTTGAAGGTACCGAGTGTGGGTAATTTTATGATGTGTATAATTTGTTTTATAAGATTTTATAACATGATTTTACTAATGACCGGTCATTATCAAAATTACGTGTTAGGCAAAATAAATGCCTTGTCACGTGTACGCTCTCAACCAATCATTTGATGAGAATCCACGTCATCATCTTATAATGCATCGTATTTGACTCGCTTTTACAAATTAATTAAGAAATGTTCGATTAATGTGTCACTTTTTAATTTAATTTGACAAATTTTTCTAATTTTAGAGCAAGTACCTTCAATACACTATTCATATATTTCAGTTCTGTCCATAAAGTTCCTTTTCCAAATGACATGATTTTCAGATTATGAACCCTGTCAAAAATTGATGAACCAATAATTAACGTTATAAAAATATGTTTGCTTTGTCATTAAAGAGCAACAATTTGTAATATAATTGGACATAAGGACTGTCAACTAATAACTGCTTAAATAATGACAAATCATCAATCAAATTCATTTGGAATTGCTTTTATTTCATCGAGCTAGCATCCCTTAAATTGATTTTCTCAAGCGACCATTTTCTAATCTACCGATATCTTGATTCTGATCAGAATGAAGAGCTTGTAATTCGATTTTAAAAAATAGTTTGATATTGCCTTTTACACGCTGATGAATTATTATATTTGAAGTGCAATTGTTCATAATAATTCTAATCAACTTTTGGTATTTACAGTAGAAATGGATACAAAGTCATCATGGTGTCGGATTTAGTAATAAAGATGAAATAATTAATGTAACTTAAAATGGAAGCGTTCGTTAAAGAGATCTGTCACCAGTAATAATGAATTGTATTTTATTAGTAGACATAAGATCATACCTTTAACAAAAACACATTCTTATTGTTAAGAATTAAAGAGCATAAAGGGAAAGAAAAAATCGTATCAAGGTCTGAAAGGAAGTTTACCAGGAGTTACCTTTCTAGCGCGCCAAATATTAAGCTGGTGTGTCAAATGATAAATTCTCACATCGCTTTATTTGAAAAATTCCAGCATGGAAACTCAAAAAACATGGTAGCAAACACTTTCGTGATTTTGAAACCCTTTTATATGTGCCATTGAAATCACGTTCGCATTAATTATATAGGCCTGCCTTACTGTAATATTCGCACATTTCAAAAAGGGTGAGCGACAATTAGGCTTTTTAAATTGCCTTAGGTTGATTTTTCGAAAGCCTTTGCGTTTGTGTTAAACGGACACAGAACAATAATGTTTTCAGTTACAAGTCTCCTCTAAAACTTGAATTTATGCTGCGATACACATTAAAATGTATATTAAAATTGTACATTTGAATACGCTTTCGCATGTCTCCCTTCCAGATTACGCATGCGACAAGACCATCACATCGGGACCCGGAGTTCTGACGTCACCCATGTTCCCGTTCAAGTATCCTAGCAACGTGGAATGCAACCAGAAGATTGTGGCGCCACCCGGTCACGTGGTCGCTCTCTTCATGCTCCGCTTCAAGACCCAATGGGACGCCCACTGCATGCATGATAGTCTTTCTGTAAGTCACAACAAAAAAAACCTGGCCAAATATCTACTTCCTTTCTCACGACCGAAAATACTGAATCAAAAGTGTTTTGAATTGATGCAAAATTCATATCATTGCGAAGGGGAAGGCTTACTGATCAAATATAACAACTTCCCTTTTCAAAATATGTATGGGGTCAGCAACCATCTCTCAAATAATGTTAATTTTGAGATCCAGATTTTCTGGCTTAATTCAGCGGTCCTTCGTGAACGTCGAAATTCGTAACGTCACATGCGAGACACAGCTAGCCACAAAGCAAATGTACGCCTTTCCATGATATCTATATGATTTTCCAGCAAAATTATTCGGGTTTTTCAAGAGAAAATATTTCCATCCATATATAATTTGTCCATAATTATGATTTGTCGTGAATTTTCTTCGGGTGACTACTTTAAACAAATCAACTTAAAAAGAAAATTGGGTTCAGCGAAGGGTGAAAAATAATTTATGAGCTTTTGCATTTTTGTTTATGTCAGTGCGGAAGAGTATCACAGAGAAAGTGTCGACTGATCAGAATGGCTCATATCAAATGCCCTCATATTCGAAATAATGACAAGTAACACCTAAAGATTGCGAAGTTCCATATACACATTATTAGCTGATTGCTTTGATATTGATTTAAACCGGTAGGTTACGGCAATTTCATATCTTAATAATATTCTTAAGTATGTATGATAAAGTAATTTATTTCAGATTTGCAATTTAGATAATAGAAACCGAAGAAAAATACATTCGTAAGTATAATTATCATGACCAACCTAAAATGTACAAATTGGTTTTATACCAAAATTATTTTAGGTTTCAAAATTTGATATGGTCTCTTATTACGAAAGTTGATTCATATTAAAACAAAAAAACACTGTTGCTATGTTTACAGGTGTACGACTATGATGTTGAATCAGACGAGTGGTCTAAGCTGGGTGAGAGGTCATTCTGTGGATCCATGGTGCCTCACGTCTTCCGGTCCAGCGGTCAGAAGATGCATGTCAAGTTCGAGTCTGATCACAGCACTGAGGACATGGGCTTCAAGGCCGTCTACATGTTCATCCCAGGTAACTATAACATGATGCAACCATTCAGTGGCGTATCCATGGAGGGATTGATTTCTTACAAGCCAAAACATAAAGAGCGGTCATCCACAGAAATCATCTCTCAAGGGGTTCCACAAGGATCCGTATTAGGCCCAATCTTATTTAACCTCTTTACATCTTCAGTGGCGCCTCCTTGGAGGGATAAATTTCTAACAAGCCCAAACATAAGACATAATATATTTGGGTTGCAATTAAAGCCGAAATTCCCAGACAAGAACAATATTTGTTTACTTTTTCTTCAGATGCCTTTTGTGGCTCAATTTTCTAAGAGGAGGGGGGGGGGGGGGGAGTGGCTGTGTTACAAATTGGGCCACATTTTCCAAGTATGTGTACTTACGTAAGTTTATGATATTAAATTATACTAGATTGAGTCCCCCCCCCCCCCCCCACTGGAAGTGGATTTAGGATTAGTCTTATGGAGGGGCTAAATGTCCGGTTAAACTCCTAAACAGTGACGTTACCACTGTGAGCGTTATTATGAGTTTAGTGAGCAAGCAACAACAACAAAATATGCAATTTTCAGTATTGAGATTATTTTGAGTGCTACTATACTAAGGAATAGATTATGATTATTTTTTATTTTGGGGCACTTTTTTATATTTTCGGGATGAGGGAACAGCACCTCGGAGCACCATTCCGATTTATTTCTCTCTTTTTTTTTGTTGGGGAGGGGGGCAGCCCTTCTCCTTACAGCCCCTTGGCTACAGCCGCTTCAAAATGCAAGTTCACTCGAAAAAGCTTTGGTTTTCAAAAGGGGGCGCGGTTGAGTTTTGTTTCTGCTATGTGGATCCACCGTTGTCTAACAGAGCCTGCGGAATTATTTTCAGTGTTTCAGTCAGCAACGTTCTGTGTACCATTTATTTCAACAAACAAATTGGGCCTATTTAAGTCATCCAAAATCTTGAAAGACTGATTAATTGTCCGTGTTGTCTTTCCTTCTGCTTCCTTTTAGAACACAAGATGGACGAATCGCTGATGCCGATGCCTACCAGTCCCACGGATAGGACGATGATGGATGATCCCAATGGGGTCGACGCCGAGATGGTTAGACGCTTAATGGCTCTCACTGAGCAGGCTGAGACCTACAAGATCGCCATGATCGTCGTCGCCTGCGTCCTCGGCGCCGTGCTCATCATCAGTATGGTCGTCATGTATCATCACTACAACAACAAGATCAAGAAGATTTCAGAGAAGGACGTAATGAACACCAAGTTTTAGACCGGTGTTTCTCGATCATAGCATATTGAAAGAGAAAGTTGTGACACATTATATGCGCGGTCAAGGGTTAATTCATGGAACTCCGAAAAGAGCCTCAAATGAAATGAATGACCAATCAGGAGCAACGTCCGGTGACGTAACTATCTCTTTCAACTAGCTACGATGGTTTTTAAATGGCGCCTCACTTGCGTGAACTTAAGATAAATGCAACTCAATTAAATGAAGAGTAAATCGGAAATAAGCGATTCGGATAAACGGATATTTTGCCTTTCGTGTCGCCTCGTAGTATTATTACTGTTGTTATTATCATTATTGTTACTGTTGTTATAATTATTATTATCATTATCATTATTATTATTATTGTTATTATTATTATCATTATTATTATTATTATTATTATTATAATTATTTATTATCATTATTATCATTATTATTATAATTATTTATTATCATTATTATCATTATTATTATCATTCATTTATTTATCTATTTATTCATTTTTTAAATTATTATTATTAACATTCCTTTATTGCAACCCACATTTTGGATTTCAAATACGAATAGAAATACAAAGTGAAACAAAAAAAAAAAAAGTTACGAATTTACAAATATTCATTATATTCCGCTAATTCATTTCATATAACAGATTGATTTGAATGGTGAGAACAAATGTAGCCATCTGGTATATTGCAAATTATCTGAAACAGATTATATTAATTCTTTCAAACTTTACTAGCTAATTGTGTATTTCGGGGTAATCTAGTACCTGAGGATGTAAGTATTTTTGGAAGTAGTTGATAAAAAGAACTTCATCGAAATCACTGGATTGGTTCCTGATTTTATAAGGCCAGTCTCTGCATCTGTGTATTGAAATAGTTTAATGATATAGTTGGTGGTTTATCTATAAACACTACAAACAACTTATTTAGGGAGATATTGAGTAAATTACGAACTGAGATTTTCAATTTCGTGGTTTGTATTTTGTTTCTGAATTTTTCTTGCACGTTGACATGTCTTATAACCACACGGTGTTTGATACGGGCTATCAAAAGGTATTGAAGTTAATTTCTGATCTAAGATGAAATATGGTTTTATGTGTATATTAGTCTGAATTTTTATTGTAATTTTGCGCTCACACTTTGCTTTATTGTATCCAATAGTTCTCATTAAAAAAAAATGTCCAGTACTTTGTATGTAATTCCAGGAGAATTATGCAGATAATATTATGCAATTCTTATTAATAAACAGTTTGATTCGAAAATTTCTGTTCCCTTGTCTTTTATCCAGTTGTCTTGGAAAATATCTTAATAGAAAATCCTATATTATTTGAAAGTTGATTTTAAATTTCATCTCACTTTTACAAAATCGGGTATGAAAATTTAAAAATACATACAATTTTACTTCATATTTTCGTGAACAGACCTTTCGTTATATTTATTTACGTGCCTAATTTGTGGATGCTCAGTACATTCTCTGCCCCAACACGACCGTGACCGCGGCCAAATACATTGCGCATGAGCAGAGAAGAGGCGGGGGGGGGGGGGGGGGGGGTAGGGGGCAATGTGACAGTCGTGGAAGCCACAGAGTACCGAGCGGGAAAGGGCCTTTGAGATTACTTACACCCCCATAAAAAGAATGCTCAGCCCAAGTGAAAATATTATTGATTTTTATGTTGATAAGCCTTCCCTAATATATCCTCCGTCTCCGTCCCTTCCTCTTTTCTCCATTTTCCCTCCTACCCTACATCCTCTCTCCGCCCCTCCCTCTTTTCCCTTCTATCCCATCTCTTCTCTCTCCCTCTCTCTCTCTCTGACTCTCTCTCTCTCTCTCTCTCTCTCTTTCTCTCTCTCCCTCTCTGTCCCTTCCTCCTTTTCTCTCTTCTTCCTCCCATTTAATAACTTTTATTTACCCAGGGTAGCCACTTCAGTTATGAAACTGGTCTCCCAGCGGGCCCTGCATATTACTACCCTTCTCCAATCTAATGATGCTGAGCGCCTAGCTAGAAGACAGAAGGTCCCATTGTTATAAGTCTTTGGTATGACTCGGCCGGGGTTCGAACCCACGACCTCCCGTTCATGAGGCGGGCGCTCTAACGACTGAGCCACCATGCCCGGTTTATCTTCTCTATCTCTCTATCCACTCGTCTCGAATTCACTTCCCGTACTATGATCCCTTCATCTTTTCTCTCTTCTTCCCTCTATCTCCCCCCTACCATCTACTCTCTCGCCATCTCTCCTTCCTTTTCTCTACCTTTCCCTCCTACCCTATATCCTCTCTCCGCCCCTCCCTCTTTTCCCTCCTATCCCATCTCTTCTCTCTCTCTCTCTCTCTCTCTTTCTCTCTCTCTTTCTCTCTCTCTCTCTCTCTTTCTCTCTCTCTCTTTCTCTTTCTCTCGCTCTCTCTGTCCCTTCCTCTTTTTCTCTCTTCTTCCTCCCATATATCTTCTCTATCTCTCCATCCACTCGTCTCGAATTCGCTCCCCGCTATTATGATCCCTCCGTCTTTTCTCTCTTCTTACCTCTTATCTCCTTTCTCCCTCTGACCCTCTCACTTGTGTCTATCTTTCCCTCCTACCATATCTACTCCCTCGCCGTCTCTCCTTCCTTTTCTCTATCTTTCCCTCCTATGGCTACCCATCTCTTCTCTCTCTCTCTTTCTGCCCCTCCCTTTTCTCCCTCCTATCCCATCTCTCCCCCCCCCCCCCTCTCTCTCTCTCTCTCTCTCTCTCTCTCCCCCCCCTTTTCTCTATTTTACCTAATTTCTCCCTCTGACCCTCTCACTTGTCTCTATCTGTCCCTCCTACCATATCTTCTCTCTCGGTCCCTCTCTCTTTTCTCCCTCCTTTCCCATCTCTTCTCTCTCTGTCCCTCCCTCTTTCTCTCTCTTCTTCCATCCATATATCTTCTCTATCTTTCTGTCCACTCGTTTCAAATTCACTCCCCACTACTACGATCCCTCTGCCCCCCCCCCCCTCCCTCAATCTTTTCTCCCTCCTTTCCCATCTCTACTCTCTCTCTCTCTCCCACTTTCTCTCTCTTCTTCCATCCATATATCTTCTCCATCTCTCCATCTACTCGTCTTGAATTCACTCCCTCCTACTATGATCCATCATCTTTTTTCCTTCCTTCCCTCAATCTTTTCTCACTTCTCCAAACCTCCTCTCCCTCCTTCACACTCTTTCTCTCTCTCTCTTCTGTCTCTCTCCCTTTCTCCCACCATCATCCCTCTCTTCCCCTCTCCCTCCCCCTCCATCTCTCTCACGCTCACACCCTCTCCATCCCTCTCACTTGTGTCTATCTTTCCCTCCTACCATATCTACTCTCTCGCCGTCTCTCCTTCCCTTTCTCTATCTTTCCCTCTTACCCTATCTCCTCTCTCTCCGCCCCTCCCTCTTTTCTCCCTCCTTCCCTCCTATCTCATCTCTTTTCTCTGTCCCTCCCTCTTTTTCTCTCTTCTTTCTCCCATATACCTTCTCTATCTCTCTTTCTTTCTTTTCTGTCACCATCATCGCCTCCAGTTTATAAACCGTTACAGTAACACACTACAAAATACTAATGCATCATTGTTTTCAATATTTTCTTTTTATTCTCTTCCTCCCTTTCATTTCACATTATTGCACATTCAGTTGAATATGTGAGTTCGTCAGTGGCAAAGAGCATACATACATGTACATAAATGACAAAACATGATGACATAGAACATTTGATTTCTTCTTAACATCAAGAAGTTATCACAAAGTGACTCCTTGATAATACATTTTGGCACCCGTTTTCAAGCAGAAGAAAAAACTAAAATAGGGTTCGCATCAATAAATGACTGCGTTTTAGTGCCGATTTATAGAATCTGAAGAAATACAAGATACATTCTTAACAATGGCAATGACATCCAATTCATTAAAAATAAAATCTGTTGTGCCTGGTCATGATGGACAATACACTGTTACAACATGAAATAAATCTTCAAATACATGAAAATCTCGTGAAAGTATAATTAAACAATAAAGCAGAAAGTTGTGTTTCAATTTTGAATTTGAAATAATAAAATTCTCGCTGGATTGGTAAAAGGAAGAATACAGAAAATGATAGATATAGAACAACAAAAACAGATTTGACCCATAAAAGTTCAGATTTTTGTTTAAGGTTTAAGAGAATCAGTTTTGATTCCTCAAATTGGCAACATCACTTTGTAAATGATAATACAGATATAACTCCGCATTGCCAATTTGAGACTTCAAAGATTATTTTCAATTAAATCGCTCTTATTCATGAATAGCACAATGTAGTGCCACAGAAATGGAATCAAATTTTCCAGTGATTTTTGCACGTTCTGCTTGTACACAGTTTGAAATGCATTCATTCATTCATTCTGGATCAAAAGACCAAAATAAAATGTCACTAAAAGGTGACGATAACCGGCTATGGGTTTAGAGACAACTTGTGTACATTCTGGGGGGTGTTTCATAATGATCATAAGTTGAACTTAACTCTAAGTTAGACTGAAGCATTATGGAGAGCCATTGGTAGCTTTAAAAAAATATATATTCAAAGGCGAAAAATCTAAAATTTTAGACTTTTCATAAATTCCACATTAAGAACATAAAATCTCCATGATAATAGAAAATTCAATGATTTGAATCAACAATTTACGCCTTTTAAAATAACTTTTACAAAACATTTTTAAAGATGCTAACGGCTTACCATAATTGTTAAGTCCAACTTAGGATCTTTGTGAAACACCCCCCAGGTATGATGTGAGAATATACCAATATGATTCCAGCTGTGGACTTGCAAATGAAGTTGTGTGATCACTAACGGTTGGCCTGCAAGCTTTTCAAATTCTCATACTGAAACAGCACCATCAATGGCAAGACTTTGCACATTGCTTTTGGTCTGACTTCATGGCCTGTAGTACTGCCTGGCTAAAATGTTGCAAAATAGACTGATTTATTAACATATTCAGATTAATGGATGTTCCTTTCTTGGGGACTAGTGACAACTTATTTCATTAACCTGTTATTAATGAATGAACTGCAATACTTGGAATCCAGTCTACATACATTTCTTGTTGCTATGTCAGACAAGCCTTGGGAAAGTTTTCAGTTTGTCAAGAACAAACATTTTTTTTATTTGCATAAAATTCGAATTTGTTAGTAAACTGGTCTATTTGATCAATATCACTGTATACGTCAGAAGAATTATTCATATGGGGTATTACACGTACCTAATGGTGAGGTATGGAAATTTGTACAGAAAACTTTGTGGATAGTGTGGACATCTAAAGACTTACCAAAAGCAAGAAAGAAAAGATTATGAAGAAGAATCTCTAAGAGGAAAACAAATTATCCCCATGATTTATGTAAATTCAGCGTTTAATTAACAATAAGTCCATCAATTAATTAGCTAAGCATTCAATTTATTCCTAAAGCAAAGGCATATACAGTGCTATCAGCCATTGACGAAAGACTTTATGCATGGCTGATTGTCAACGAAACGGAGTTAAGTCTTTTGTCAATGACGTTTGTTGCTACGGCAGGCAGGTAGTGAAAACGAATTTGTTAAATCAAATTATGGAAATGCAAGCATTACTTTAAATGAACAGAACTTTGTTATTCCTCGCTCATTTTTCCTGATTGAGGTGTCATATGAAAGGGCAGAAACCGAACTTTCTAGAAATGTGAGTTTCTCTTTAAAATACAGATACCGTCCACCAAATGACTTTTTGGTTTCCTCTCTTCAAATTGATTTTAATCACTCATGCGTGAAATATGCATCATATGAATTGCATCAAATGAAAGAAGAGGGTCTAAGCTTTACAAATATGTGTCATTTATTAATTATAATTGTGATTAAGTTATGATAAAACATTGATAATTCTTGGTGTCTTTTTTCCTGGGACGCACTGTACAGACATCCTTTGTACAAAATACATGATTAAGTAGAATACCGCATAAGTGAAGCTGCATGAATATGATAATTTCTTTGTAAAAGAGATAGACGGAACAGACATGATCATCTCTTCATACAATATCATCTATTTATCTTCTAAATGATATAAGGTGGACTGGAAACTTTAGGAAAATTGAATTTTCACAAATACTGAAGGAGCTGTTTTTACTGTTAGAAGCTTACAATAAATTATGCATTTTGTAGGAAAAAACTTGGGTGTTGTGAGTCAGTTATTTCACAAATCTGAACCAATTGTAAACTTTGCATAAGTTTCACACTTTGTGTTATAACACCACATTCAGATATGCTTGGGTAAACCACTTCTTTTTTTAAGACGACGCAAGTATAAAATGCTTAATATTTCCGTATCGTACAACACAGAACAAAGTGAATACTCATTGGACCTTTGTCCCATGCAGTGGCTATTCATTTTGTATACATGAACACTTTCTTTAAATGCCGGTTTTACTGCAACATATCTGATGAGCCTTACGATATAGAAATGTGAGGTATATCACCCTTGCATCTTTATGAAAAACATGCAGCAGTTTTCAACATCATATAATAATAATAATATTAATAATACTCAGCTTCTATATAGCGCGAATTACAATGAAGTCTCTAAGCGCTTCCAAACTCGGAGATTATTACCCAGGCTTTGGCTGTGCTGCCATTACGGCGCTCCAGCATATGTGAACAGAACTTCTTATATCCCCTATTAAGAACAACGTTATATACCTATGCTATTTATCGTGGGCCTTTCTACTATGTCTCCTCTCTCTCCACAGCGTGTAGTCGTTTCGTACGGAGCTTGCTCGAAGCTCGAGAATGTGGTTGATACGGTTGACGATCTGTTTGGTGAGGTTGGTTCCGGTCTCAAAGTCGTAGTGCTTGAACTCATGGTTGGGACTCTTGAATGTCAGTCGGAATGTGGACTTCCCTGTGGGATTAAGAGGAAAAAGATTAGATTAGATTAGATTAGATTAGATAGGGCTATGATACATTGGATTTAGACAGTCGTGTTTGGATATGTGGTTTAGATACTAGAATGTTAGTTCAAATGTGGACTTATCTAGGTCATACAAAGGGTTAAGATTTTAGATTATATTAGATTGGTATGGATTACATCAGGTAACTATGGAGTTGGTTAGATAAGGATTAACAGGATTGGATTAGATCTCAGCAACCCTACAATCCCTCATTGCTTAATGATTGTTGGACCTAACGATAGGACACTTCTATATCAGCTCTATGGCAGTTTACCACTAGCCCTTCAAGTAAGACCCCTGGCTGTAAGCTCCCTGGCAGGCCTCAGGGGAACAGACTCAGATTGTGTGCCGCACAAAGTACAAGTACTACCTCCACAAAATAGGAGCCGAGCAATCTGAATACTGTGAATTAGACGAAGAACAGATGCTCGAACATTTGGTCTCCAAATGCAACATCCACTAGCTCACAGCGGTTTTGAAGGCTTGAAAGTGCTTGGTGAAAGCACAATGGATCAGCTTTCAAGCAGCCTTCTTGTACAACTGATCTTGGCAGAAGTTGGCAACCACACACATTAACTAACAAATGAATTGAATTAGATGAGATCAAAATGGATTTGAATGCATTGAACTAGATTAGATAAGATTGAATAAAATTTGGTTATTCAAGTTGGATTTAACTGACAGTTCACGTCTGCAGAAGATGTCTGAACTCTAGACATCCAAACTGTTACAGGGGACATTTTCATTTTGGATGTAGTACAAGTACTTTCAAATCATTCCTTTACTTTTACTTCATGTTTTCATACCTGATGGTTTATCATCTGTGATGTTACAGAAGGCAAGCCTGTCGGACTCGATGGAGACGGCTTTCTGCTTGCCCCAGAACTTGGCCGGCGTGTTCCTTGGTTGGGCTACCGGGTCGATTTCAATCTTATCCCCTGAGATACCTACAGAGGGCAAGCAATGAGATGTGTAGATGATGAGTAGAGTGCTAATGTTTTAGTATTTCTAAATAGCCGCCTCACTTTAAGGCCAGCTTTGAACCATGCCTAAACACACAGAGTTAGTCAAGCAACTTAGGGAATATCAAATGACAACCTACCTCTTTAACTTGTACAAAGCACCATAATTCTAACTAAATGAAGATACAAACACTGGTTTCTCCACAATTTTCTTATTTTCATGTCATTACCAAAGTGCTTGGGACAAACAGAGATGAGGAAAGTCAGTCAATTGAAATGTAAAGATATAAATGTTTGTAAATCATAATTTTACAGTCTTTTAAAATGTATTATATACCTCATACATAGATTCTTATTCACTGATTGGTCAAAACTATATCACATGACAAGGAGCATCTCGATCTATCAATGCGTCAGAGGGTTTTGGCATTCAATCAAAGGAATAAAAACGAGTCATGTGCTCATGAATTTTTCTCCTTTAAAAAAATAATCTTAAGCTTATCATTAAAATCTGTAGCCATATGGGCACATTGTTAACCCCTCATTGCAATTTTCTCTGCAAGTCACAGAATATTTGATTTGTGCCCCCTCTCCCCAAGAATCCTGGATCCACTACTGATAGTACAGGGCTTGGGACAAAGGAAAAGCAGTAAAAGTCAGTTACAGTCAACTGAAATGTAAAGATAACAATACAAATCCAATGTTTGGACAACAGGTACATGAGCAAAAGTCGAATACAGGAGACATATTCTGAACATAAAAGAACAAAAATGATTTGACAAAGGAAGATTATCAAAGTGACAGTTAGGCACAGTCAACTGTAGTAATAAGACTAAAGAGTACAGGGTTGAACACAGGAAGATGAGCAAAATTTGGGAAAACAAAACTGAAATGGAGAGATAAAAATCAAAAAGGGTGCTGGGGACACAGATATAAGTTACTTACAATAACCTTTAAAAAGTAAAGATAACCCTCATTTACAGGGGAAAAAATACACGGGGGCTCGGGGCGAATTAGCCCCCAAAATGCTCAAAAGAGCACCCGAAAGTCATAAAAGAGCCCCCCAAAATTGCATAGAGTTCAATGCAAAACAAAATAAAGAGTGTTATTTTCATGCAAGCAAGCTTGAAAAGTAGCCCCCGAAATGTTTAAAGTATTTTTTTACATGCCTCAAAACAGAGTACTTCAACAACAAGGATGATGAACAAAAGTCAGTTAAAACAAAACTGAAATAGAGAGATAAAAACAATACAGTGCGAAGTCAGTTACAATAAACTGAAAAGTAAAGATCACAATCAAAATGCATTTTTTTGACAACAAAGGAAGATGAGCAAAATTCAGTGTCAGCCATCTGAAGCGAACCACACACATGAAGGAAACATGTGTGGCATGGAGAAAACATGATCTTCCTGCGCCCAAACCAGGAACAAATTACCCAGAAATCCAAACCAGACCATATCACGCACCCCATTTTGAGCACAACTCTTGAATTTAAAGTGCTGATCAAACCTCATTGATACTGATATTTAAAGCCCCACTGCACTACTTATAGCTACTTGCGCCCTCTATATAGCAAACAATACCTAATCGGTGACCATGGGTCCCCCATGATCCTCTTTTTTGCATGTTATGTGAGAGCTGATTTGATGAGATAACCACCTGTCAGTGACCTTGCAGGGAGGTCTAATCCCCCTGGCTAAACTAGTGCAGACGGGATTTAAAGCAACATGTATATGCCTTTGATGCACGGTGTCCCACAGGGATATGCTGATGGGCCACTCTTGTAATGTATTAATAATAATAACATTAGATGTGGTCACACCTGAATGATAACATTATTAGGTTCTGTCCAAAAGCACAAGGAAACACTGCCAACATTTCTTCTGAATCGACCTCAAATCAAAGGAGCACAATTATCAGCCCTCAGATAATATCGTTGAGGTCTGTTCTACGAAAATTGGTTGTGTAGCGATTTGAACGAGAAGATGTAATCGTTGAGAGGTGCTCATTAGTATGAATCTTTAAAATCTGACCCACAACAAAGATTTCCACTGCCTTAGTAAACATTAACAAGAGAGGAGAAATTTGGAAAACATTCATCGTTATCATTATCATTACTGGTGAGATGTGACCAGCTCTTTAAAAGGGAAAAAGATTCAAAGACGTTTGAATTGGAGACGGATGATTTGATGTCTTCTCAGACTTCGGGGAAAATTTATCTTAGGGATGACAGTAAAACACACAGAAGTAAAGCACTTGTAGCAGTTAATTTCCCGCGTGTTTGATGTGTTGTCAGCTTGCGAGAATGAAATCGAAACTAATTTCACTGTCAGGAGGGGTTGTTGACTCTCTTTATCAGAGTTTGATCAGATAACTATAGAGGGCGACATTTGATCCTCTCTATACACCATGATACTAGTTAAACCATCCTTCATCTATTGTAAGGGGAAATGCTAAACTCTTTTAAGTCTCTTGTTATGAAATATTATTGTAATATCAGAAAGGTTGGTGGAGGTCAAACTTTTAACAGATTTTACAGATTTGTACATACAAATCAATAAGTTTCAAAGACCTGGCAGAGAGGACAAACAAAAGAAATTGTAATTCAAGCAGACAGAGAGACCGATTATAATGTACATAGAACACTGCTAAACATAATTGACCCTTTCGCTGATCAACTGTCTAAACACTTCCCCTGTGACAGGTGATCAACTCCCATGAGTGTTCGGATGGATCGAATGTCCACAGGAAGACACAGGACCAATTCTGGGTTAACATTTGCTGCGTTTAATTGCTTTCAACATTTGTGGGTCTGGCTTCACTCTCGCTAAAGGATGCATGCAAAATGAACTGTCAACTGATAAAGTCAGAGTCGTATTTTTTTTTTAAATGTAAAGGCTTTCATGCCACAGCTTTAATTATGATAATTGTAATAGACGGAAAAGGTTTTATAAAATTAATGTTATAACATTTATCAAAGGGAACAGAAATCTTGTACAATTTCTGGATTTAAATATACAACATCTCCCTGCTTTCTCAAGGATACATGGTAATTTAAATGTTAAATGTTACCTGAGTAAGTCACAATTCGATAAAAATCTAGGCTATCATAATGCAGCATTAAAATATGTTAATTGTCCAAAACAAAAAGAAATGGTCATCGAATCAAGAAGCAGAAGTCTACAACTAACGTTTGCCTTCTCAAATCAATTTTGCGATATACCCTTCATTTAAATTTATATACATGTACCTCCCACTCAGTATTTGTTCTTTCCCCAATATTTAGAAATTATAACTTAATAAATGTTTATATATTCTTCAAGTGAAAGTCTGAATTATTGTTTGTGTGAGATAATAGATCTTCAAAACACATGCCGTATATATCTTCCACACTCTTCTACTAATTAATTACACTTTATGAAAAGGATATGAACTTATTGTATATTGATAATAATGAAAATGAGAGTGATATATTTTTCTTTCTTAGTACATGCACATGTTTATCAGTTAAATAAAACAGATATTCCTGATTTCTATAGTCAGTGTAATATGTAGTCTGAATGCGATCCACACCATTCCAGTTTTCATTCAGTTTAAACCAAGTCTGTATACTCAGAGAGCCATGCTTCTTCCATCACAGCAATTCTTAATATTAAAAAAGTCTTTCAAAAGAGTCAATACTATATTTCTAAGCAGTAGTCATCTTAAGACCCTCCTCGCTGCTTTCCTCTCGCTATTACTAAGACATACACTGTATTTAGGGTTTCTATGATGAGGAACAGAATGGACCTTGGGGTGCAGCGCTGCCCCCCTCCTGCCCCCCTCAATCTCCTGGGAGGACACAAGAAACATTTTTAATAGGGTGGGTTTGGCCCGCCTTGATTCAATTTCCTATTTTGCTAACTTTTGACACAATTCCGTGACATGATGTATGAATAAAAGAGGATTAAGTTGACTAATACGTGACTAATTTCTTCCCTCTTTTCTCTGTTTTATGAGACAATTTGGCACAGCATCTGGAAGAAGTTTCACGATTCCTTACTCTTGTAAGCACGTTTGCTGCCAAAAATGCATTCCAAATGGAATTAGTTGTCGTAAAACAAATATTTAATTAGTTAGAATGCAAAATTCCTTAAGTAGTGCAGAATATATCTGCTTATACAGGTATCTATAAATAATTGCTCCTCTATATCAATTGTTAATCAGGGACTTTGTTTCAGTTTTTTTGAGGAGGTCTTGTTGTAATAGGGGGCTGCAATCTACAAGCCCAGCTTTTCAGCAGTCCCCTCCATGACCAACCTGTTCTATATGCCTGTTGTACACTGTGGACCAATTACAAATATATTGTTAAGTTTCATTGTTTTACTATGTACAATGCAATCCCATGTACTTTATTTATTTGTTGCAAATGGAAATAAACGAAATGAAAAATGGAAATGAAATGTTTTTGCTTAAAAGATATCTTGGACCTCATGGTTGGTAAGCCTAATTCTTTTAGCTGACATGCATTATCAAATTCAGCGTTTAAACCCTGACTACGTTTAGCAATCAAGTTCGAATTGTTTTCGGCGGGAAAAAAGTGAGTCTTATACACAGAGATTTACGGTACTCATTTTGAGACAGAATCGTTAAATTTTGAAATGTTTACAACATGATAGAGTTTACTTGCAGTGATGATTATATTGGTGGACTAAGCAAAACAAAGTCTGACTTTGACTGCTTCTTTATATACAGATCAGTATTTTAATAATAATAGTAATAATAACAATATTCAGTTCTTGTATAGCGCATATCACATTACAACGTCTCTATGCGCTTCCAAAGAGCTTTGAAAAATGTTACTCAGGCTTTTTATAGCAAAACTGCTATTACGGCACTCTAGCATTTCAAGGAATTAATTCCTGCCAGGCACCCATTTACCTCACCTGGGTCGAGTGTGGCAAATGTAGATTAATGTCTTGCCAAAGGACATTAGTGCCGCAGCGGGATTCGAACCGCAGACCTTGTGATCCACGGTCCGGTGACATGTCCACTCGACCGAGACACCAAGATTGATTAATACTTTAGGCGGGGCCCTGTTTTATAAACAATTGCGATTGTAATCAATCTCAACTATGTACATAAGAGATAGGAAACTGCAAACTTGCGATTGATTCAGATCAATCGCAACTCTTTAGAAGACAGGGCTCACCCAGATAGCCCAATTTTCTTCCCTATACATGATAGATAGAAGCCATGGGAACCAACCTAGCTGAATCTCTGTGGCAGGTCTCAGCTTGTGCAGCATGCTGACTCGGAACGATCGGTACTGGGTACTCAACACTAGAGGGGGCTCTCTATCGCCGGAGTAGGGTCGCGTCCTGTCGCTCTTCAGGTAGTCTCTCCTACCTACGTACCACAAAGGAAAACAAAAAGAACAGGATTGATTATTACGAGGAAGCAACAACATTTTTACAGTTAACAACTAAATTATTCATACCCTTTGCATATTTATGATTTTTTTGTAACTCAAGAATGAAAGCTGGACTGGGTGAATTAGGGCCTTTCTTTAATACTTTTAGATATAAGCTTTAATTCGTCATATTCTCAAGAACATAAATCCGGACATACAAATTTTTCTTGTGCTTTACAAAAATTACAAAACTTGGTAAGGGTATGAATAATTTAGCTGCTAACTGTATATGAATGAATGAATGGGATACAAGGATATATCCCACGAGCTGAGGAGCATATTCCATGAGTCGGCACAAAGAGAAAAATATCCTCAAAGCAAGTGGAAAGTTACCCACGTGTCCCACAAAAGAAATCCTTTAATTATTATTATTATTAGTTGTATGTATCCTAGCATCTCAATTTTCGTCATTACATCCTTCTTTTTTTGTTTTAAGTTGCACATTAAATATGCAGAGAGAAAAAAAAACATATTGTGCACCAACTGTGCCTCTTTCCGGCAAATTTGCATGCCATATAAGTACAGAATTATTGATATCATTATTATTATCTTGCACAGCTTCAGGTCTAAGTTAAAGACAGACCAACATACTGATGCTTAAACATGAACTGTTTATATATCTTAAAGCCCCACTGCACTAGTTTGGCCAGGAGGGATAAGACCTCCCTGCATGGTCACTGACAGATGGTTATGTCATCAAATCAGCTCTCATAAGAAAAATAAGGGAAAGGGGATCATGGGGGACCAATGGCCACCGATTAGGCATTTTTTGCTATACAGAGGGCGCAAGTAGCTTTAAATATTGCAGTGGGGCTTTAAGTTGAACTATAAACTCTACTCCTTATGACAGAGGACCGACTTACTATGTTCTCTGACCATAATGAAGTCCATGGATTCTGTTTCGCAGAGTTTCAGGTCCAGATCTAGCGGAACCCCTGGTGCAGACTTCTTCTCCAGCAGATAATGAGGCCCTACAAAATACAGGGATCAAACAACATTATAAACACTGACGCCAAATGCACAGACTTCTTCTCAAGCAGATAAAGAGGTCCTAGAACATACAGGGATCAAACAACATTATAAACACTAACGCCAAATGCACAGACTTCTTCTCAAGCAGATAATGAGGTCCTAGAAAATACAGGGATCAAACAACATTATAAACACTGACGCCAAATGCACAGACTTCTTCTCAAGCAGATAAAGAGGTCCTAAAACATACAGGGATCAAACAACATAAACACTGAAGTCAAATGCACAGACTTCTTCTCCAGCAGATAATGAGGTCCTACAAAATACAGGGATCAATCAACATTATAAATACTGAAGCCAAATGCACAATCAACGATTCAGTTGCGTCAAGATTTTTTTTGGGAAAGATTGTTTTTTAAGGTTAGATATTTTTAGGGTTTGTTACATAATTTCAAATGATTTCTTTATTAGATATTCAAATTTTTATAATAAATATTCATATATTCAATGTACGATACTCTTGTTGAATATTCATGCAAGGTAACCATTTTCTACACCCGGATGGGGAGTGGCAAACTTACCCGCAGTTGGAATGATACCCCTTCTTTTCTAATAATTGCTTCAGTAAGATTCTTTTAAAAGGGCTCTTGACATTCTAAGCAATGAATTCAACCATTTTCTTCACCATGGTAGAGAATGGCAAACTTACCTGGAATGATACGTCTTCTTTTCTAATAATTGCTTCAGTAAGAATTTTTTGAAAAAACTCTGACATTCTAAGCAATGAATTCAACCCTTTTCTAAACCTGGATAGAGATTGGCAAACTTACCCGCAGTTGGAATGATACCCTTTCTTTTTCTGAGAGCTTTGGTTAAGATCTGTCGGAGGGTGATCTGAGTCGAGTCCACCGCAAGCCTGGATTCACCATCTGAAGATTTACTGTTAAGAAAAAATAGATATTCCAAGATCAAATTGTGATTCAGTCAGATTCAATTCATTTCCTTATTTTATCAAATGCAAATTAAAATTCCATGTTAATATCTAAATATTTAGAGGAAGGATGCAAGGTTCCTTAAAAGCATGAGGCTTATGATAGAGTCACGAGGACAAATGTACTGTACATATCAATCTACTTAAAAAGTGAAAACTGTACACTGTGTAACAATGGGTGTGACTGCTGCATCAGATTACTTTTGTTTGTTTTGTCTGAAGGGATTTGAAATGTTAAATAATTACATGAAACATTGAACTCAAATGGAAATATTTAAACATTGGATTAATATAGTACTGTATCCAACAAAAGCAGAGAGAAATAGCAGATAAAGTTACACACAAACAACACCCTAACACTATTGTACGCAATGGCTACAAGACACAAATAACGTGGAGAAAATTATTGTAAACCAGTATAAATGCGAGCCATATTCACTACATAAATATTGTTTTTTCTACACAAGTGGGTAGAAAAAAAAGCTTTTTCACAACAAAATGTAAATTAATGGAAAAAGACACAACCTTTTTAAGACTGATGCATATTTCAAACCAGCCACCTTTTCCTGCTGCTTAACTAGCATATTTCTCATTTTTCATTTATCAAATCCAATATAAAGTGCTATTTTGGGATCTCATTATATAAGTTGTTTTTATTTCAATTGTCTTTTATTACATGTATGATTGTTTTGTTTCAATGAGTATTACACTCATATTCTAGAATTCTAGAACATCAAAATATCACTTTTTTTACATTTGTTTTTGTTTTTGTTCGTATGTGTACAACCTGTACTGTTTTGTACATGTAGATACTACCATACATAGAATTAATTTGCCATATGTAGTTTGGATACAATACTGTATTTTGGTTTCAAGCTGTTTTCCAACCATTTCACAACAAGACAGTGCACTAAATCTAGGTTCACACATTATAGTTCATCATCCTACAACAATGATTGAAATAACACATTTCTCTGGTCAGGTTTCTCTCAAAATAACCTATTCTTGCCGAGAATATCACATTATCGAAATGATGACACATTAATTACTCGGCAGATAGCGTCCTTGTTGTCTACAATTCCTTCACACAAGAGTCGTCTCTGTGCTTCTCAAATCAAATATAGATTAAAAGCCTGAATTGTTATGTAGGTTGAAAATTATCGTCTTATCATTCTGCAGTAGAAATCTTAACTGAAGATAAAAAAAAGAAGTATTTAGTATTCCTCTCCTCTGTTCATTACTCAAGTGATGCGTACATCTACAATATATGTTTTCCTGTGAAACATGTTATCATCTGTTCGGAGCCAGAAGGGCATTAACTCATATACTTAAACACAGAGATAACACCATTCTGGCACATAACAGATGGTATCTTGTTTCAATCATAGCTGTCATGTTTTGTGAGAATACAAGAAGATATGAAACACTTTTTTACATTTGTTCAAAACGTTTTATGAATATTAAAACAACTTTAAGAATATAAAAAACATGGTCCTCTTCTTTTGAAAGATTGGAAGTGCAAATGACTTATAATACAGAAACTTACAGCACAATAGATATGAATGACCTGTCTCTCTGCCTCCCCTCCCTCTCTCTCTCTCTCTCCTTCTCTCACCGTCTTACTCTCTATCTCCCACTGCACTCTCTCACTCACTCTTTACCTCCCTCCCTGTCTCCCATCTCTTTCTGATTTCTCTAGTCCTCCTCTTTCTCTTTCTTTCTCTATTACATGCCATATACATTTACCTTGACTTTTAACTATTACTTTATTACTGTCTCCTTTCTTTCTCTAAAGTCATTTTAATCTTTCTCACAATTGCTCCAGTATATCTACAATAAAACCCTCATTATCAAAATTATATATAGCAAAGTCTTTCACATAAAAAAGCAACATCCGCATGCATGGATCACTTTCACAAATGACGTTTCTTCAAACACCAAATGCTGCATCATTCTGCTCCCCTCAATACATATTTGACTCAAAATCTGCAAAATACGAAATTGATTAAAGCATATCCATGATTAATGGACACATTTCACCAGCGAAAAACAAAAAACAAGAACATATGAAAGAGCGGCCTCAGGCTCTGTGGCCCTATTTCTTGGTGCACATCAAAACAAAAATTGAATGGGGGAGAGAAGGGGGGGGGGCTAAAAGAGAAGAAAATGCAAAGCCCCCGATGGGATTGTCGCCCTGGAGGGGGAGGGGGGAATGTTTGAATATTCATGGGCACATTGGGTGGTGGAATCCGCCCCCAGCGTATGGGGGTCAAAACCATTAGTGATTAATAACGGTGTCTCTCAGTCCCATACCATACTGATCAATGTCAGCATATACCTGGTGGCTAACACAGACTCTAAGAGCATGATGCCATGAAATGCTTTAAAGGTGCATTCCCATCTCTCCATCTCTATCAGACACAATGTTTAAAAAAAACCTTTTTGCAGCTTTAAATAGACATATTAAGTGTTTCATCTACAATTGCTGAACATTTGTTGTATCAAGACCTAGGCCATGTTCATAAAACTTATAATCAATAACAAATACTAAATTTGTATGACAAATTTGCTCTCAGCCAATCGAATGCCAGAATTGCAGTAGCTTATAACAGTTATTGTAAATTGTTATTAATAACAAGTTTGACGAAACAGGGCCCTGGGGTTCCGAGACCGAGACTAGGGGAAAATTGATTTTAATAAGATTAATTAAGAATTAGTTCTTAGGATCATGGATAAGACTGAGACATGTAGAAGTAGGGGCCAAGATTTTTTCTTTCTTTCTGTATCATTCAGTCTTAATGAGCAGGATGCATTATAAACTATTAAACTTAAAAATTGGATTGGCAATCTTTATAAACAATGAGATACTTCATGACATCATGATTTTTGAAAGGAGACAAAATTCATGACTGTGTTCATCCTTTACTTTTAATGGGTGGTGTGTGTGATGACAGTTGAACTAATAAATTTATTGAAATCTACATTTTCTATTAATTCATGATTAGCAGTATACAATGCTCTATCCAACATATCAATTCACATTGTCTTCTTCACATTTACCTTCTCAAGTCAAATAATCCCAATTCCTGCTTTAATTACCCAGATACTGTACAAGTGCTCACCTGAGAGAGAGTAAGAGCATTCACGTCTCCTCACTCCATCTCACGACCACCTCCTCCCTCCTCCTCGATCGCCCATTCACATGTCAGAACCTCTTACTCCAAAACTCCCCTCGCCTGACGCATGGTGTGACATATTATTCGGCAATTACAAACTTCCTAATTGCGCCAAGCTTCACTTCTAATTTAGCCCCGACTGACATATTTACAAGGTTTAAGTGCTCTGTTGGTGTTCCATCTTTTGTGGTGGGTGCTTTTTCTGCTTGAATTCAAACTGCGATCCCTCTCCCAGGTAAAAGCGATACCCCTGACACAGAGGTGAGGGTATCTCTTGGCCCCCCTATTCAAATTATTCCTCCGTAAAAGGCTAAAGGCAGGTTCGACTGTGCAGAATTTTGAGATCTGCTCTCAATGTATGTGTATGGATTTACTTTTATAAGGGGTCGTCCTATTCATTTCCATTTTCTGTTCATTTGTTTTTGTTTATCTGTCTCTCTTTCTCTGTCTGTTTTAATTGTCTGTCTGTGTTTGTCTGCCTGTCTGTCTCTCTGTCTCTCTCTTTCTCTCTCACTCTCTCTTTGTTGATGCATTCCCTCAATATACTCTTCTCTCCCTCTCTCTATCACTCCTAGATTTCATTTCTCTCTCAGTATCATCTCATTTCCTACATTTACTTTTCATTAAATAAGGACCATCTAGCTCTACATCACAGCTATTTCTGAATATTTCTATCTTTCTCTTGTTCCTTCATTGGTTCTACATTTTAATCTCTCTCTCCTTCTGAAGAATGTCCTAGCAAAAAGTTAAAAATACTCTCTACATGTCTCTATCTCTCTACGTCTCTTTAGACCACTTCACAATGTTTAAGTCATTTGACCATGAACACAACATTTTACAAAGAACAAGAGAAAGAAACGGACAAAGAAGAAAAATGAACGATATGAAGAAAACTAAGAAAAAGAAAGAAGGAAGAAAAGGAAGTAAAAAAAGATTATTAAAAAAAAAAAAAAATGAACAGAAGAAGAAGCAAGAAGACGAAAGAAAAAGAAGAAAATGAAAAAGAAGAAAAAGAAGAGAAAGAAGAAGAAAGAGAAAGAAGAAAATGAAAAAGAAGAAAATGAAAAAGAAGAAAAAGAAGAGAAAGAAGACGAAAGAAAAAGAAGAAGAAGAAGAAAAAGAAAATAAAGAAGAAAGGAGAAGGAGAAGAAAAAGAAGATAAAGAAGAAGAAAAGGAGAAGAAAAAGAAGCAGAAAAAGAAGAAGAAAAAGGAGAAGAAGTAGAGGAGGAAGAAGAAGAAGAAGAAACATCCATTTTACCGTATTTTCCGGCGTAAAGGCTGCAGTATTTTCGGGTGAGAAAAAATCAAAAAGTCGGGGTGCGGCGTATACGCAACAACAACAAAATTCAGCGGTCAAAACATCACGTCCATTTGCACGTATGGGACTATAGGAACGGTAGCATGACTAGACAACGGTACAGGACAATTCTAGAATAACTCCACACAACTTACCGACAAGTTTATGTTGCATAGTTGACATGAAGACGAAAAAACTTATTTTTCTAATAAAATCTGCCGATAGATCTAGATCTAAGTCCATACCATTGCATCGCCAAAAAGTAAACAAAGGGACAGGCCGTTACTTACGGAGCTAGCTGCCGCGCAACGCAACTGCGCAGGTCGAAAAATGCTATTTCGGATTACACCGCACATCGAGGAAGGGGTATTGTAGGATACCAAATCTGCGTACGATACAGTACTAGCTTAAAAGTCGATGAAGATCTGCTAAATTATGATCATTTTTGAGGTTAACTTCTTGTTGATTTATAAGAATATTGATGAATTTGGTATAGTTTGTAAAAAAAAAAGAGTGTTCTACAAGAAAATTACGATCATTTTGTTTGGTCCGTTTTTTTTTTTCTCTTTTTTTTTTTTTGTTGTAGTTTTTTTTTTTCCTATACGAAATGTCAAAGTTGGGGGTGCGGCCTATACGGCGGTGCAGCCTTTACGCCGGCAAATACGGTACTCACATTGTGACAATGATATTGTCTTTGCTTCCCGGTTTCCCGTCATCTTCTGGTGCGTCCTTCTCGACGAGCGCCAGAGTGTTGAAGCCGAACTTTGAGATGGCCTCTCTGCTATCCAGGGCCGGGAAGTCTGTATCCACCTCTCCGTCCTCCTCTGATATCATCAGACAGTAGCTTTCCAAGTTCTCTCTATCATGAGTGAGAGAAGAACAACATGTTACTTTCATGTAAATCTTTTTGAGAGAGAGAGATAGAGAGAGAGAGAGAAAGGGGAGAGAGAGAGAGAGAGAGAGAGAGAGAGAGAGAGAGAGAGAGTGAGAGATAGAGAGAGAGAGAGAGAGAGAGAGAGAGAGAGGTGTGTATGTGAGAGAGAGAGAAATAGAGAGAGGGGCGAACAAGTCCATTCATCCATCTCATCGTCCTCCTCCCCTATCATTGGGCATCAGCTCTCCACATTTTCTCTATCATGCGTAAAGGAAAAGCAACAAATAATATTCAATACAGATATTTATATTTTTATATATAAACAGAGCTCTCTAGATATCAGAGAGAGGTGAAGTCCATAAACCCCCACTCCCCTTCTCTGCTATAATTTAGCAATCAATCTCAACATTCTCTCTATCATGAGTATGAGAACAATTATAAATTGAAACCTATACAACAGTACTAGCTTATAGACAGGTGAAATTTATACACAAGTTCATGCACAATGAATGACTAAAAATTGGCAAAATTCATTGTCATTTTATGAGAGACTTAATGACTTCTTCAAACTTGTACCTTATAAGTTTTAAAAATTATATTTTGAGCAGTCTAAAACCATGCTCAGCAAGCACATTGTCCAAATTTATCAAAGTGAATATTGACAAAGTTCTCAAATCATAGTTCAGGTACACATGAAAATGTCAAGCGTCGATGAAGCATGCATGGGGGCTTAATACAGTTTGATAGCCTACTTCTGCAAGCAGTTACCAACTCATGGGGGAGTTGCGTGCGAGCTGTGTAAAACCGCAGTCCGCACTAAACATCTTCAGCCGTTCCTAGGGAGAAGGAATCGATTAATAGGTCTTTGGAAGGCAGAAATGGCCAGTGACAACTCAGAGACGTGAGAAGACCCTTTTGCTTTGTTGTAGCGACAGCGCCGTATTCAATCTGCGCCGAGCAACGTTGCGACCGCGAAGCAACAATGACAGTTTCTGGAGAATGTTACAGGAAGGATATGATAGCTTAATACGGATCATCATCCCCAAAGAATCTTTTCACAAATTCTATTGCCCCCTTTTCAAGAGTTGCAACTTTGTGGCTTGGCTCAGTATGACATGTAGCTTTCGATTCAGAGCCTTAATCTGTATCAGATGCATCAGTACAAAGAGGAAAAATTGCTGCAAACAATTTGTCCTAGAATCTAATACTAATCATTAAAAGATTTTTTTTAGCTCATGTCTGATAGCAGTAACCAAACATTTGCTTGAGGATTTATTGCACCAAAGATATATATTACAAGAGGTTGCAATTAGGCTTTAGGTTACTTTTACTTCCGGATTAGGTTTAGGGTTGGAGTAAGGGTTATGGTCCAGGATAGGATTGTTCAGTGTAGTCATGACTTCAGTTAAATTGTTCATGACAGCAAAACTACTGTCTTGTGAGCATATGCGGTATCATCTTGATAGCATCATATTTTGGGACCCAACATTTGCTCCTACTACATGCTCCAAGCATAATTTGTCAACTGGGTTAAGGTTGCAATTGGGTTTTAGGGCTAGGTATAGGGTTTAGGTGTAGGGTTGGGTGAAGTATTGGATCCAAGGTTGAAGTTCAGATTTTGGCTAGTTACAGAGTTGAAGTAGATTAAGTGTTAATTACAAGAGCAATTGTTATACAACCTGTCAACACTACTATATTTATCCATGACAGTTCCACCTAACAAAATAGTCCTACACAAAGGTGATCGTTGCAGATGTCAGAGAATGTTTACGATGAATTTGATATTCTGGGAAATCTTGCGGTTCATCTGGGAGGCTGGGACATCATTACCAAAGATTTAGCACTTCCACCTTCTACAGATTTGATGGTAATTTCTAGTGAGAGGCTAACAGCACTGGTTAATATACAGTGACAGTGAACTGTCTCTCTTTTCCTAATTATTCAAAAACTATTTCTTTTCTTTCAAAAACATCACTCTTTATATTTGTAATTACAATAACAAAATTGATACCTATCTTCAATGTATTTCTTGTGGGGCTGTTTTAGTGACCCGAGAAGAAGAATGTTTTTCTTAAATCGCAATATGACATTTCTTATCATTTCTTTTGACCAAAGTTTTCAAAACAGTCTGATCCTTTACAATGTCATTTCTGCCCTTTAGGACTCCTATTGCATTTCATATTTTTTGTAAATACCTATAGATATGTTTACAATACTAAAATGGATATATCTCAGCAAAAACTTAACGTCCCTTTCAGTCATCTTCCAGTCGACATCTGCGCTTTCATAAAAGTATTGTCCTCCTAAAATTTTCTTCAGATTCCTTTATTCTCATATTACCCCATCAATTTTTCTTCTTAGATATTTCCCTGTAAAAATGATGTACAGTCAACAAGATCTCTAGTTGCCAAACTTTTCTTCTTCTTTAAAACACCAATAGGTCTAGCTCACATTTCTTCTCGCAAATTCTTCCCTTTTTCGATGATAAGGTCTTGTTTACCTTGTTCCCTTCGTTTGGTTGTTGAACCTGAATTTGCTCATGTATCTTTAGAGGCAAGTTACTAATCTGTCTTCTTCTATCTCCCCTTTTGTTTTATCCTCTGCTCAAAGTCGAACTGATACTCCTCTCCGTTTCTTATAAGACAGCAGTGTAATGCAATTAAGTCGCCCGAAGCTAGTGTAGGACCCATCACACATATTGAATTTTTGCAGCCGGATTTTCTTTCATCTCTATTCATATTGATCAATCATTTCAGCTAGGACGTAATCAAACAGCTTTTTTGGTAATACATCGGCGGTCGGGCGGGCGGGCGGGCAGCCGGGACAGACGCATAGTGGTCACACCCCCCGGAAGCGAGAGACGGAGGTGGATCTATTACACCCATCCGCAGTCAAGGTTGAGATGCGGAGACGGAGGAAATCAGAGATAGATGGACAAAGATAATTTGGAGAAATAGCATCTCCTCGGGGCATCACGCTTTACAATATCCTCTTCCGTTTCTTTCGACTTTACCATTTCTCCTCATCTTCCTCATTTTTCTTCCCTTAAATTCCTTATTTTCGCTTACCGGTATTCATTTTCTAAATATTGTTTACCATATCTCATCTGTTTGTAAGGAGTGAAGATATTTTAGTCTGGTGGCTGATTTGTTAGACTAATGATCAACTATGTTTGTTGGACTCACAGATATGGTACCGTCTGTAATTTGGTAATTATTTAAAAATACAAGACTGCCCCTCTTTACCCAAGTGTAGTATTGCCTTGCCACTGTTTACTGCAGGCTCAATTTTGTCAGGTTTTGTCAGGTTAGAGCAAGGGTCGCATCAGGATTTTAGGCTAGATTAAGGGTTTAGGTTAAGAGTAAGGTTGGGTCTAGGTGGAGGGTTAGGGGCAGGGGTAAGGTACATGTATACTACTAGATCAGTGGTTGAAGTTACGAATTACATTATCATTAGGGGTTTTGCTCCATGTGTGCCTGGGAGGGTAAAGTGAACTCAATCACAGTGACCCTCGGGTCTCTCCTTCCGGTATAACTGATTGGGATTTGCATGTGGACCGCTACACTGGGATTCCCCCCTACTCTTCTCCAAAAAGTGCAGTGGGTTATTAACGTGCAACGGTGGTGATTCTTCTCCACACAAGGCCTCCATTTAACGTCCTATCCAAGGGGTGGAGTGTTTTCCACTGTCTATGAAACAGGAGAGAAGCAGGTTAACACACAATGCAGGTTCTAGTCATCCGTCTGGGTTGGATTTGAACCCACGATCTTTCGTTCGACAGGCAGACGCTTTATCGATTGAGCCAACATGTTGTTCGTGTTAGAGATTGACTGCAGAGCAACTGCTGTAGAAGCACCTGTCTCACAATCATATTTTTACCTGGAAGACGAAATCCCTAGATGCCTTGAATGGTACATATACATATAAAATGGTGGTCTGGCTACAATTAGAGTACCAATTGTACTTTCTTGTTTCAACTAGCATCAAGTCTGTGCGAGCCTTGGTCAGTTACTCATATTTGGACGGATCCAGTATGTGCCAACTGCTATGGTGGGTACATTTGATTACAATGTCAACATTAAATGTTGAAAATATGTTGTAAGATGCAGACTTATACGAGAAGAATTATTCATTCCTTTTGTAAACTTAACCGGGACATGGACCCCTAGATAATTTGCAGTTTTGGTGGTCTATAACCTTTCTATCTTGCTGTGAATTAACCGCACCCCCTATAATTTTGCTTGCTGGCAGGCAAAAATGTGTGATTTATACAACATTGTTTATGGTAATAATACATAACTGCAACTTGCAATACGCACAACTTTGAGTATATCAAAATTACGAAACATCTCCATGTCATTATTACTTTTATTAACTTCACTATTATAGCCCTGCTCTTGCTCACCGTTTGCAAATCTTTATTCTCATAACCCAACCGTTTATCATTCTCGTCTCCTTGACAACGACCGGGGATAGACGTCAATTACGAACGCAATAATCTGACACAGAATCATAAATGACAGATTTGAAATCACTCATATACAGTTGGTAATTGTCCAGGATGTCATAAGAGAAGAGCGGCATAAAGACAGAAAGCAAGCAAACATCAAATATTCATGGTGAAGAAAGAAAAGGACGGCCATGATCTGGGGCAAAGAGAGACGGCATAACGGTGGAGGCTGGGCAATCGTACATTCGGCTGATACGTAACAGTTACACAATGCCATTTTTACTTCCCAGAATGCATTAGCGGAGGAGATGGGCAGGAAGGAGGTGAAGAATAGACAAATTTCAAGAGAAAAAAAAAGATTGAATTTTTAACCACTTCATAAACACAGTGACCACCATACATGTAGGTCAACTGCATATTGGTTACGTCTACGATTTCAAATATTTGTTTTGGTGTTCTTACTTACATTCAACCAGATAGTTATTAAAGCGGGACTGCACTACTTGTAGCTACTTGCGCCCTCTATACAGCCAACAATGCCTAAGCGGTACCCGTTGATCCCCCATGGTCCCCTTTTTCTCATGTTAATCGAGAGCTGATTTGATGAGATAACCACCTGCCAGTGACCACGCAGGGAGGTCTAATCCCCCCTGGCCAAACTAGTACAGACGTGCTTTAAATGCAACCAGATAGTTATTAAAAAAGGCAAATTTATGCTTGCACATACATTTGCATGTACATCGAGTTCACCACCAAGGGACCTATGGCTCTAAACAAACAAAATATGAAAGACCTACTTGAGTTCTGGTTGAAGACCCTTGTTGACATAGTGCCAGCAGATGAGACCGATCAGATCCTGGACCTTAGCGTTGTTGGTCACGACAACCTTCAAGAATCTCCTGTCTGGTATCGTCGGTTCCACCATCGTCAAGAAGATCTCGATTCGCTTCACGCCCCCGCCTCCTGCGTGGCCCTACCAAACCAAAGATAAATAAAAGAGGAATATTTTAAAGGGATCCGGCTATAGAAATACTTGACATCATGAAAAAGTACACTCATCAAAACATCACATTTTAATATTTAATTTCATATCATTATGAACCTGGTAATCATGATGTTAGATCACGAAAGAGATTCAAGACTTCATGTATATTCATAAGAAGCTCTCTGGAGAAGTCATGAAAACCTTTTCCATGATTATAGATGTCATAAAGAGCAGAATCCTTAATGTTTTCATGCCCTTTTTGAAACTTTGATCATTTTTGCCCGGAGATCATGCCCTTTCTGGCTTCCGCTGATGACTACATTACATCAGAGATGCCAACCTCTTGACACAAAAAAAAACAGACTAAGTATCATTTTTTTGTTTAAATCAGATTTTGGAGAGAAAAATCAGATTTCCATGAAAACTCGACACTACCACTGGCTCATTGGCCCTGGGCCAGTAAAATTTCAGGAAAACGTTTTACTACTACATGTAAGTACGGTCAAGTTAAATGTTTGTTCTTTCATTAAGATTTTATGAGAAAATTGTAAAGCAAAGTTTTTGTTGGGGTTGCGGCGGTTTACTTGTGCATGCTTGTATGCGATTCCACAGTTTTTATGGGTTTAATTTTTAATTTTCAAAAAAAAATTTAGAGATGAAAAATCATATTTTAAGGGGTGATATCGTATTGTCGTATTTCAGTCTTATTATCGTACTAAATAGGATTTAATCGTGTTACATGTGTTTAACCCATTTACACATCCCTAGCACCATTTTGAAAAATCATCAATTTTTCTAACTGTCGTTTACACTACTGGCTAAACCCCATGAAAAATAGTTGATGTTTGATCATACTGATTTCTGGTGAGTAGTAAACATGCTCGACTGTTAGCTACTCTGCGTGCGATCATATACAGAAACGAGGAGAGTCACATGACCAAAAAACGGCATCACACCAAAGTTTCAATTTACACTGCAAAGATCAGAGCAATTTCAACAGGCGTTTAAAGCACCACTGTCCTACTTGTAGCTACTTGCTCCCTCTATATAGTAAACTTCCCCAATCGGTGCCTGTTGGTCCCCCATGATCCTCTTTTTCTTATGTTAGTTGAGAGCTGAGTTAATAAGATAGCCACCTGTCAGTGACCTCGCTGTGTGGTCTAATCCCTTCTGGCCCAGTAGTATATGCGGTATTTAAAAGAAACACACCCCAGAGGTGCATTTTTTTATTCAGGTTTTGCATTATGTTTGCCGATAGTTGCAATGCAACTTCCAAAGAAACACCGGAAATGTGAGAAAAATTAACAATTTTTGTTCGCAGTGAAAATGAAGCTAATTCAGTTTATCAAAAATTCACATGAAGATCAATTTTCCGAGTTTACTGAAAGGTGTAAATCTAAAACAAGATTTAATGCATTGTAAAAATACATAATGAAGACATTATAAGTTGTTTACGAAGACCTCTCAGAACAATACCATTTCCTACGTTCGCATAAAAACATAGTTATGCCAGATTTTAATGGCGACTGTACTTGAGTAGGTTACGAGTTGCAAAGCTAACAACAAATATAAAGATAGGTCTATAACAGCAACAACAATAACATAAATGGGAGTGGTTAATGATTTAGCTCTCAAAAGCTCAAAAATTGCTGGTAAAAATGATAAATTATTCAAATCACTGTGAAAAACATCACACTTAAACAAGACCAAATCCCAAGAGAGCTCCTGCAAATAAGAAAAGTATATGTTGTTGTTGTTCGTTTGGTATTATAATGGCTATTAGTCAAATTTGACTATTGTTGCCAATTTCATCGCATCTCTTTCTTTTCATGTCTTGGTAAAATTATTATTTCTTTCTTTCTTTTTCCAATCTCATTTTAATATAATATTAGTCATAGTCTACAAAAATTAAAAACAAACAATTATTTCAAATTAAACCACGATCCGCACACAGTTCCAACTCACGCTGGCCCTGTCCTTTCTATGATGCCTTCTTACCAGCCCAGCGAGTTATGTTACGCCGTACGCTTCTCGGTTGATAAACTCAACCTAGGTCACTCTGGCATAGACAAGGGGGCGTCGTGTACCTGTATGTTTAGAGGGTTTATTTATTTATTAGGAGAAAGACAACTGCATAAGCAAAACACTTGTGGGCTTTATTAGTTTATATGAGTTAGTTCATGAGATTATTTATATAGCGCATGACTTTTAACTACTATAATCATTGGGGGGTGACATGCTTTCGAGTAATGATATAGCAAGTTTTAATTGCTTTTTTTTTTTTTTTTTTTTTTTTTTTTTTTTTTTTAAACAGGTCTATGGTATCTTCAATTTGCATACAACCAGGAAATATGAAAAGAACATTTTCTCTCTCTTTTCAGGGAATCAGTAAAAATTTAGTACCAGTACGTCTGTTTTTGATTTTGCAGTAATAACCATCGCTTTCTTCATAACTTTCTTTTTTGGGGTCAGATTTAATTCATACTTTCTTGATCTTTTCAGGGAATTATACAAGTTAGATCAAAGAGTACAGTAAATAAATTTAGTATGTCTGTTTTCATTGTTATTTTTATCGATTTTGCAGAACTAACCATCTCTTTATTCACAACTTTCTTTTTGGGGGTCAGATTTAATTCAAACGTTCATCAGTCTGCTTCCCTGGCGATTCTGCTTTTTTTTTAGTTGTTGTCTGTTGAGGTTGGGTTTCCCTTTAAAGGCATTGTTTAACAATGTTAAATCTGAGATGCATGGGCCTACGTGGTATCAGTGTCTGTGATGTGGTATCATATTGAAGCCCTAAAAGAAAAATTGCTTCAAAATGATCATGAAGTGCCTCAAGAAAAGTAACAATCCTTGAGTGACCGGTTTCACCATACTCATTTTTCCGAATAGACTGTAGTGTTATAAAAACCGTTAGGAAAGCAAAAAATGAAATTTTGATTTCCAATCATAAATATCTTGATAATCAGACAGGCGATCGACAGTCATGGGGTTCCTGACTGACCTAAAGGTTTATAATTATGATTGCGGCATGAGCTAAATCCAGGATTTTGTTTCAGAATCTGAGGCAACGTTACCGAGTCACTTTAACCTCATCTCTGAGCGTACACGATCCCTTCATCAATGGGATGAATTACCTTCCATTAATTAAATGACTGCTGATTGACGAAGCAATCTAATGCAAATGATGGAGGATGATTAATAGGGTAAAACTCAACGAACAATTAAACAGAAAAAGGTTCGAAGGAGCTCGGTTAATTTCTTTTAATCTGACATCTCAGATGTCTTCTTGTCAGTTTTCTTTTGTGCCTCCCCAAATTTGTCCTCCGCCACTTGTAGATTAGTGTGTCATCTATAACCATTAAGACAGCAAGGGAATCGCCTGTTTACAAAGTACGTGTAATGGCATAATTGTATCGTCCGCTGAGAGCCAGAAGGATGTTTACGGAATGTTTAAAGGAGGTGGAGCATGGAAAATACTGGTTAACGCCATCTATGACTTCTTTTGGACAACTGCACGTAAACGAATGGGCTTGATTAACGGTCAGCGCTTCGGTTTTGCGTATGTTGCACACACATGAATACTACGGTTGCCTCGTCCGGAGTCATATTATACCGGATTGGCCCGGAGTCAGGCCACGGGAAAGACATATTCTTGTCATGCTACACCCCCTTTAATATGATATAACGCCCTTTTCGTTCTTAACTCGGCGAACATTATCTTTCACAACTCCACATGAACATTGCTCACCATGTAAGGAATAACCTTATAGTCTTTTGAGAGCCAGAAGGTGTTAAATTTATGTTGATATGAAATTACGCCCTTATAGCTCTCAGCTGATAATCTTCCATAAAAAAAAATTCTTGTGGAATGGTTGATCATGGTTCTGAGAAGAGATCACGCATTCAGACAAGGTAGTGTTTTTTCCAATGTTTTCCAAAGTTCCAATGTAAGAACATATAATCTCCTTCGAACAATGATTTTTTTTGTTTATAAAAGCAATTTTTGATGATTCCAAGTACTTGTTTTCAATGTTTTCAGAGCAATAGCCAACTGCTCCCATGGTATAAACCAAAAAATAAGTCTGCGTCATCTAAAGTCCTTCTTCCGCAAATAATTTCATGGTGTTTGATAATAGTATTTATGACAGTTTATCCTTTCATTTTTGAAAATAATTGTTTTACCGGTATATATATTTGCTTATTTATGATTCAATGTCAGAAACATACTTATTGTATTTGATATTACTATTATTACCGAAAAACTGCATACTTATATGAATGCAGAAGAAAATCAAATCAAATCGAATCAAATCAAAACTTCACTACCACTATAAGACAGTCTTCATTCAGACTGTATTATGATAAAACAGTGGTCAATATTTTTACTGGCTACAACATTCACACAATGAAGCAGGGTCAATGAACATCAGAAAGGATCGCGAGCCGAGATGTGTTAGACTAATTAAATTGTATTTAGGGCTTTCTCAACAAGTCTTAAGTAGAAGGACAATAGCAATCATGATTGATGGTACATGTATTTTCAATAACGGTCCTTCATAAAAAAAAAACATTAAAAAAGAAAATAATTATTGCTTGAGTGATAAATGAGGTATCTCCGTGAAATCATTGCATGCTTAAAGGGATAGTTGAGTTCTGTTGCAGAGGGCGCTACACAAAATAATTTTTTTATGAGATAATGAAAAACTGAGTGTCAAATTTGAAAGAACATAATATTTAAATGACAAAATCATCTTTGTTTGATCAAAATCGGTTCAGAGACGGCTGAAATATAACGATTTCTAATAATTGTGTACTACCACAAATATTAGATATTTTGAAAAATTTGAAAAAACCAATGAAAAATTTGAAAAAACCGATGAAAACCGTTGAAAAAACCCTGAAATAACGCCTTTAACGTCGTATTTCAGCCAATGCCGATGTTGGCTTTTTGGTTGGCATTTTCGTGTTGTTTATATTATCCACAT